AGAACACCATTCAGGGATATACTGGACTTACTTTAGAAAAAACTAGATGTAAAAATAATGATCTGTAAGGAAGATATACCCCTTTGGTGCTGAGTGACCAACTCCTTTCCTAATATCTCTGTAAACTTTGAAGGTAAAAAATGGTAGACCACTAGTAGTTTTCGATGTTAAATGTTTTAACTCTGATACCTAAAATTATTTTTACGAAATAATTCCTTATGGAGCAAAGACAATGTAGAAGTCGTCATTTAATTCCCATGATTATTGTACATGATTATTGTACTGTACAAACAGTAATCTATTTTACAGTCTTGAACTTGATGGTTCCCCTAGATATGTTTTAAAAGACCAGATAATTTATAAAGCATACAATTCTTTTAATAAATATATTTGTTTTTAATTAATTTTTTGGTTTTGGGATATTTCATAGAAAGACATTTCATAGATAGAAAATTTCATGGACAGGACATTTAGTAGATAAGACATTTAATAGGTGCCATTTAATAGACAGGATATTTCATAGATAAGACATTTAATAATAGACATTTAAAAACAGAGAATTGGTCCATCACCATCACAGAATTTTAAATCATTTAATAGGAGCCATTTAATAGACAGGACATCTTATAGACAGAGAAAAAAGTTTCACATTTTCAAAATTTTCCCCATATTATCTATATTTTTGACCAAACCTTAAATTGTCTCTGAAAAAAAATGATTTTTTACCTGTTAATGAAAAATCCTCTCTGTCTTTGAAATATCCTATCTATGAATTTCTTTTTCTATAAAATGTCCTGTCTATAAAATGTCCTGTCTATAAAATGTCCTGTCTATAAAATGTCCTGTCTATAAAATGTCCTGTCTATGAATTGTCGTGTCTATGAATTGTCGTGTCTACGAATTGTCCTGTCTATAAAATGTCCTGTCTATAAAATGTCCTATCTATGAAATGTCCTATCTATGAATTTTCCTATCTATGAAATGTCCTATTTATGAAATGTCCTGACTATAAAATGTCCTGACTATGAAATGTCCTATCTATGAAATGTCCTATCTATGAAATGTCCTATCTATGAAATGTCCATCTATGAAATAAAACTGCCAAAAACATTGCAAATGTCAAGAAAAAAAAATTGGTGCATCAAACATGAAAATACTGTTTAGGCCGAGTTGGAGGATTTCGGGAATTCAAAAGCAAGTATTTTCAAACTAAATTTTATTTTTGAAATAATTATAAAATTTTTTACTCTTAGGTTGGTAGATGGCGAAGCTGGTTATGGAATACTATAGGTATGAATGAATGAGAAAGCTAGTCCTAGTTAAAAAAAAGAGAAATTTCGGGGTCGCATTCGGAAGTCGCAAGTATTAACTTACTTCGTTTTTAAAGATTTTTAAAGACTTTCTGACTTTTAAAAGGCCAAAAAAATACTATTCCAGTTTAAAATTTTACTTTTAAAAAAAAATGTTAAGTTTCATTAAAAAATAAAATATAAAGAAAACTCACAAAAATTGTCAGTTAAAAGAAAATTTTGAAATTAGGCAAAATTTAAGAAAAGCAAATATTTAAGAATATCGACAATTTTCAAACTTGTAAACATAACGTTTTGTAAAACATTTTATAGACCAAACACGTTAAAAGTTTTAAAAAAATTATCCAAGTTTAGGCTCATTACAAGTCACAAGGTACTTCCATTAAATCCGGAAATAATGATGAAAAAACTAACATTGTTCCGGAAATGTTGGATTAGAATTATATTTCAAGAGTTTCGATAACATCTGCTTTTATTCTGAATATACATCAGGTTGTAAAAATATAAGGATTAACAAATTTTGAGTTTATGGCAAAACTTAGTTGCTTGGCTTAACACTTAAAATATCCATGAACCAGTAACATGGGCGCAATGTTAAGAATATGCATGGAAAAGTAATTCGGCTCAATGTTTAGAATATCCATGGACCAGTAATTTGGCTCAATGTTTTGCTCTGTTTTCTCTGAGTATGGTTTTAATCTCGACAGTTACGTTTATCATTTCAACATTGGAAGAATTACAGGTATTAAGACAATCATAGATTTCTAAAATTTTATAATATGACATTTTTTCAAGGTATGAGTTGTCAAAAATAAATTGGACTTTTATTGGGTACAGTCTGCAGAGAAATATTTTAACTATTAAACATCAACAAAAATTTAATTCTGATGTCTGAATTTTCTAATAACGAAAAATATCTAAACTTACGGATAATTGATAGTTGGAGAAGTAATTTAACAAGGGTTTTCATTTGCAATAGCGCAAAAATAGCTCAAAACTTGATCTGTAGCTGGCTAACTTATCTTAACAAACATTTTCATGTTGCATGCTGCAACAAATTATTTGCCTCTGTTGAAATGGATATCAAACCAATAATACAAATTGTGCGAATCATTCTGCAAAAACTTACCGGATGTATAACAAAAGCAATAGCAAAAAAAAAGCTAGCTTTTTAACATTAACATATCACTGTAAACTCCGATAGGGCTGGGAAAAGCCCCGTTAACAAAACGTAGGTCTTTTTAAATCAACGGAAGAGTCCGTTAACGAACGGCAAAACAGTTTCAAATCGTTAACTAGAAAAATTAGCCGTTTTGAAGAAAAACGGATGAAAACAAAAACGAAACGGATTATTTTTAAATGGTGAATTTCGTTTTTTTCTGATTAAAATTGCATTGAATTTTTAAAAAACAATTACTTGTTTGATGTTTTATAAGAATGTTTTGGCGCGTTACTGGCGTTAATACTGTAACAGACCGTTGATGGCTGTGCCATAAAATATTTCTTTAACTGTTAACACCGTTAATTCTGTAATAATGGTTAATCTTTTCCATTAACGCTGTTGATAAAATTGAGATCGCTAACAAACGGAAACTTCAATTAAGAAACAAAGTTTCGTTCTTGCCCTCTGAAACTAACGGCTACCTGAGATTTTATTATAAAAACGGTTGGAATTAACGGTTGACGAAACAGCTTGAAAATGTTGGAACATGCCTATCCCTAAACTGCAGTTCATTTCAAATAACGGTAGCGAGAGCTAGCTGTACAGTACGAATAGACTATGGTGAGGCAAACCGGGACAGGACAGTACGCTAAATCCCCTTCTTGGGAAATTTGTTTGATATATAAATATATGACATATGTTTTACTGTCATTCAAATCATTTTTTTTAAGTTTTGGCCAAAATTTCTAAAAATTTGATAAAAACGTTTGTACTAAATTTACCGTGCATGCATAGTTCATCTATAGTTAAACTATGCATTGGTACGCTGTTCATTGAATTCAACCTAGCAATGATTTCTTCGGCTGTCGACCAACATTCAAGTTACCCTAAATGAGAACAGAACACTGCTTTATTCACAAAATTGGGCATATCATGGCCGATTCACAAGGGTGCCCTTGATTTCTTAATTTATTATCAAACCAACGAGGAAGACAGGGTTGTGTTATTGTCACATTTACAAAGAAGTATTATCTTTCATACAGGGTGTCCCAATAAACATGGTAATTCAGGGACAAATTTGATATCGTCTTTTTAAATAATTCTTTGATTTAGTATAGTGATACCTACTGAGAAAGCTGTAATCTGTAAGAGTTTCTTTTGCTATGTTTACAATTTGTTTGTTTATGTTTTGACTGCCAACGGGTGTACTTAGTAAAACAAGAAAATTGCAGTATACAAGAGTAAACTTGGATGTCTTCACTGTTCATCTTGCGGAGACATTATAGGAATATCTTTACAGTCTTTTACCCATTTCATAATTTACAATGCTAATTCATAACAAAGACGATTTCCAATTCGTCACTGAATTCCCATTTTTTGGGACACCCTGTATATAATAGGTATCGTTGAGATTCGGACATGAAACTTACAATAAATGGTAATTTTAAATCCCTTTCAGGAGAACGAGGTTGGTGTGATAGAATATCCTGAGATAGCGAGGATTATAGATTGGATTGATAACTTTGTAGTGGTTTTCTTCTCATTGGAATATATCGTCAGGTATTCAACTGAGGACTGTTCACAAAATTTAACGTGATCTTCTTTTTGAAAAGAAAAACACGTATTATTAGATCGTTTTAGAAACATTGAAAAATCATTAAATTCATCAAATATACATTTAAACAATGTGATTATCTAATTACGCGATTTAAGCAATGTACTAATTAAATTAATCAATTAAGCAATATTATTAAACAATCGTGTAATGCAAATAAGTAATGTAATTATACAATTATGTAATCGAGCAATATTTATTTTCTAAGATTATGGATGTAAGCAACGTAATTTAAAATTATAGAATTTATCAATGTTATTATACAATTATGCAATTAAGCAATGTAATTTTACCATTACGCTAATAAACAATGTAATTATACAATTAAACAATTAACCAATCCAATTATACAATTATACAATTACGCAATTAAGCAATATAATTATACGATTACGCAATTAAGCAGTGTAATTACTCAATTATGCAATTAAGCAATGTAATTAACTAAAAATTCCTCAAATCTCTAAGAAAAAATTATGCAGTTTTTGGATATGTTTTTATAAATGTTGTGTAGATAATGTCCTGTAAGAAAAAGGAGATGAAAAAAATCAATATCGACACAAAAAAGTACTATAGAAAAATATCTACATGAAATACAGAAATTTCGTTTTAGTGGTCTGTGTACACTGCACAACTTCATGGGATTAGCAGAAAAGAGTCTAACAGTCGTTTTTTTTCACAGCTAAATATATATGGAATTCTCTGTGAGGATGTTTTATGCCAGACACATATGCTTTTACTCAAGTGACACTGACAAACATACATCTTTGAAATATATATCTAGATTTTTTCTATTTTAGACTACTCTGCAGCCCCAAGAAGATTCAGTTTATAGGAGTAAGTTTTTTTTACAAATTTACTATATTAACATTGTTTATTTTTAAACGTTTTTTTAAGTGCATTCGATGTCACCCAACGTAAAAAATATGGAGTATTTTATCAATAATGAATAATGTTTTTATTTACAAAAGTTGAAATCCTAAATATTTACTAGTCATGTCATTTATTTTTGTAATATTAGGACATACTAATAGGCAATGAACATGATTGATCTTGTTTAAGGAGGCAATGAACATGATTGATCTTGTCTAAGGAGGCAATGAACATGATTGATCTTGTTTAAGGAGGCAATGAACATGATTGATCTTGTTTAAGGAGGCATTGAACATGATTGATCTTGTTTAAGGAGCAATGAACATGATTGATCTTGTGGCGATTATACCCTTCTATCTTAACATTCTTCTAGAGGGTTTAGAGGACTTTGAGATTATAGGTAAATTCCAGAACTTTCTACAGTGTGTCTCAATAAACATGGGAATTCGTCTGCTATGTTTACAATTTGTTTGTTTATGTTTTGACTGCATACGGTTGTACTTAGTAGAACCAAAAAATACAGTATACAAACATAGTAAACTTGTCCATCTTCACTGTTAATCTTGCGGAGACATTAAATACACAACTTTACAATAATTTACCTTTTTATTAAAATAAACTCTAGCAGACATAGTAATATTATGGCTTTTGAAATCAGGTATTACAATGCTAATTCATAACAAAGACGATATCGAAATCGTCACTGAACTCTTATGTTTATTGGGACACTCTGTATATGTTCTCTTTTATATATAATTTATATGTCAGCTATAGCTGGTCTAACGGCTAAACCAAATTGACTGAATTTTTTTAGGAAACATAAGCTCAAAAAAATTTGAACTTTTTTACCAAAAATCAAATTTTTTTAAAATCATTTTTTTTATTTTTGTCAAATTCCAAGGACAACACCGGGTACATCAGTTGTACACAAAAAAATACAAATTTTTAAGCAACCTCTCAATAAGAATATCAGGTTGGAAACAAAAAAAGTAAATTAAAAAATTAAAAATACAGGTACCCCATAGAACGTTGAAGGCATTTTAAGACAAAAACAAGCTCTAAAAGCCTAAACCTTTAAACACCGTATTTTTTTGTGTCGAGATAATATTTGATTTTTCTAGTTTTGTATGATTTCTTATTTTTTTAATTCTTGCATTAATATCTACCAACGAGGTTAATACTTTATATTTAAATTTAAAGGTTGAACCAACGAGGTTAGAGTGTATAAAGTGATGATGTACGCTAATCCTTTACTAATTGTATAGGCCATCAACTATACCGAGACCGTACTGCATATTTGTTTATTAATAGAAGATTGTCCCATATCATATTATATCGTCAGTCAGTCTAAATTATGTTTCTGGGGCTTAATAAGAAATTTTAAGAAAAATATACCATTTCGTAAAATTGAATAAGGCTTATATCATTTGTTTCTTGTAGAAAATGTTAGGTTTTTCGAGTATTTAGGGTTTATTTTGGCGTTAAAGCTTGGAGATAGTCTAATATGATATGGGACGCTCTGTTTATCAATATTAGTAAACAGTTGTATGTAACTGAGCACACAGGTAGAGAACTATCATCCCTCTGATATCTATACAAATATGTAAACCTCTAAAACGATGATCTATATGAATTTTCAGCTTCTTTATAAAGAGAATAATTTGTTAAGGAAAAACTGGAAAAATCATCAGACTTATTCGAGTTATGAGAATTCTCAGGTGACAACATGGGCATTCCGAAATGTGGTCTGCCTTTTTTTGTATTAATGATGTCTCTCATTTTATTCAACAAAATGAAAACTAACCGAAACTGGTAATTCTGAAATCACAAAAAAGGCAGACCACGTTTTGGAAATGGCTTGACTAGGGATATATTTGTGATTATTTTTTCATCAATCATATTTGTAAAATTAGATTGAAGCACAAATGCCGACAACTATTTTAATATCTCAGAAAAGTGTTAAATTGTATTTTTAGTTGTAATTAAAAATTAATTCCAGCTCTCTCTGACTATGACTGTAGTTTTACTTAAAAAATTTTGACTGCTAAAATTTGTTAGTCTTTTAAAATTGATAGTTTTCTGTCAAGCTATTTTGTTACTGTAGTAACAGTTTAAACTTTATGGTCTATATATTGAAGTGACATTTTTTCAGGATTTTCAAATTAGGCAAAACATAGATTTAAAATTTATCTTCAAAAAAAAATTTTAATGGATGTTTTTTATCAATTAAGATACTTTTTTTTCAAAATTAAAAAAATTTGATTTCTAATGCATACAGAGCACCCCATATTATATTGGATTATCTCCAAGCTTATAATGCCTAAATAGTAAATAATATTTGAAAAACCTAGTATTTTCTGCAAGAAATCTTATATTAGCCTTATGCATTTTTTAGATGATTCATTCTTTTTGCATTTTCTTTGTAATCCCTAAAATCTCAATTTAGTGCTGTAAACGATCTAATATGATATGGGACACCCTGTACTTGATAAGAGACATTTTTATAGGTACCATTATGAATCTGGCATTACCATATGGACTATATGGAGGGTCACTTGAAATTACGCGGGTACGCCGTACAGTCTCTTTAATAATTTAATAAATATTTATTATATCTATGTTTGAATTCCAGTTCGTCATTTTGCTGGTTTACAGTCCCTTTTCTATACACTACAACAGGTTAGAATTAAGATTATCAAGTACAACAGAAGCCGAAACTTTTTAACCATGCTTAAATCAGATTCTAACCATGGTAAACTGATCGAAGACTACAGATTTTTCTAACATGGTTAACTTTAACCATCTTTTTAACTACGTTAGAAATTTGACAATTGTACCACAAATCTCTTCAGTTTCAGCTTCAGGGACTTCTGGTCGCAACGGAATTTAAACCCAATTTAGCATGACGTTATCGGTGTTCATTTGGACAAGGAAGACGACTTTTTATCTCTTAGATTTTATATATTTTTCAAGAAAAGTTGTACAGTGTACAGTGGTTCCCAAAACGAATAAGGCTTTAACGACGACATAAAATGATTTAAATATATTAACTTGAAGGTTTAATATGGGTTTATCTTAGATATGGTTTTCTTATGCATATTTTATAACTTGCAGCAAAAAAAATAACAAGTGATGTCATTAGACATACAGTAATAACCAAAAAACTCTAAAATAAAAGACGACTTTTAGAATAAAGTTTTAATTTTTAAAAATCCAATGTGCATGCAAGACACAGCAATTTCAGTGCAGTGTAAACAGTCCCATTTTAGTAAAACTGTTTTGCTTTGTAACGACATCAAATATACAGACGTATTGCAATAATGTTGTAATTAAATTCCATTGTTTTCTGGTTATCACTGTAGTGATAAGATTTGGTAAGATTTTATTATAAGGAAACATGGATGATAGAAGGAAATGTTCAGATTAATGAACTATCAAAATAAGAGATTTAGTTGAACTGGTTTAGCTGGTTCAACTATATTTATAAATCCTAAACTCAGGCGTATCAAGAACTGGGTCTCCTCCTGGTTCTTGTAGCAGTAGCAATCCTCACCTACGCCAGCCTTGTGTATTTCGCAGAGAAAGAAAACAGTCATGGTAAGAAAGTATACAATGTCGTCTTCAAAGAAGACAGACATGGCAAAAATGGAAATCAATGTCGTCTTTCCAAAAACTATTTCTTAATTTCTGTTGCATACATACAGTTTACATCTTATTTGCATGTCCGATTAAAAAAGGTACTCTTTATATTTTTGTCTGATCGACGACGACTGAAAAATATTTGAGTATCAGAAAATGGATTTTAGGGTATTGAGTGAAACTTAATATGAACTATTTCTAGGGCTGAGCGTCGTTCCTTGTGAACAATCGTTCTTTCACGAGAACGAACGGAACGAATTGGAACGATTTCTAAAAAGTATGATCACGAAAATCGCATTTAGTCCATGTCCAAGATTGTTTGTTGAAAATTTGAATGAAAAAACTTTTTTGTGATTCACAAAAGGTAAATTATAATGTTTAAATAAAATCAAAACAGAGGCCGAATTTGAATAATTCGAGCCGCGTTTCAAATTTGAGTCGCGGCTCAAACAGGCTTGCGTCCAGTGTTGCGAGATTTGAGCCGGCGCTCAATTGAAACCGGTTTTTGGCGGTTCAGCGACGCAGTTTAAATTCTTTAAGTTAGACCTCAGCTTGCTGTATTGGTATCAACCATTTCAAGTGTTTTGTCGGATAAAATAAAGTGTAGCATTGTGCATAGAACATGCTATCACTTGAAATTACGTTTACGGTCCCTTTAACATAAAAAAGTAAGAGAGGGTCTTCTTACAATAAAATAAAATAATTCTAGGATTGAACTGTGTTGGTTGGGTGGCTAACTTTACCTCAGTACGTTGGACGGTGGTCGTTAACCATCCTTGCTACTCGTGGACATTCATAGAAAGCTTTTGGTAAATATCGTCTATATTATCAATAGAGATAATTGATGAAACACTGTTTTATTTTACAGGCTTACCCACAAAAGATAAGGCGCGTTTTTTTTAAATGGTTTCTTTCTTTATAAACTAATCGTCGTCGTTTAAATCAATACAATGAAGACAACTTTCAGGGGTGTAATTAGGCATTTGTCTAGGGGTTCAGAGCGCGTGGAGGTCCAAAAAAACCTAAAACTATAGATTTCACTATTCCAGGATGGGGGAACTGAGCGCCCCCCCCCTGAAAAAACCTCTGAGGACTTTCTATTTCTTCCAAGCTTTTAAACATTAGAAACATTTAAACATTTTAACAAATAGAAGCTGTTTATTGACAGCTTCTCTTTGTTTACTTTTAACTTATAATTTAAGAAATGCTTGTAATGGATAAAAGAAAATTTGTAATAAAGAATCGTCTTCGTTGTATTGATATAATCATCAATAAACTTTTAATATCTTAAAATCATTAAGTTTAGCTTAAATCAAAATTATTTTTTAATTTTTTCCAAAAAAAAATATTTTGAAATGTCTTGCTTTCTCTGTCTTCCAATTTTTTTTCTTTTCAAACTTGATTTTTTTCATCGCTGCATTTATTTTTCAAATCTTTTTTTTTTGTAAAAAGTGCATTTATTTTCTTTGATTCGATGATACCTTAATGACTGTAAAAGAACGTAATTTCGTGCAATATTTCATTCAGAGAGAGGCATGTAGAATTCATAACAGTATCTTTCGTCCCTTAGTATATAAGCATCTTACTGATTTGTCGATTGCCGGATTAATACGACAGGGAAAAGAAAATCAATTATATTCAACTTGTTTTAAGATAGAAAAACGAGGATATCTTTCTTATAATAGCTCATATAAAGGTTCAAAGTCTGGTACCGTTGTAAATCAGGTATGCAACAAAATAATAGTAAAAACTATTTCACCACACTAATGTTATATAATATTTATTTTTACTAATTTGCTACTATTACATTTTACATCAAATAAAATTTGTACATTACACAGTATTAAATATCGATACTTTGGTTCGATTTGACTTTGTGCTTCTGTGATGGTGTACCTTGTACATATTGTACAACAGCTGTCGCGCAGCTGAATGCCGCGTCCAGGAGAAAATACGCAGCATTTACGAAACAGCAGAAAAGAATGAAACACAGAACTGATACGATTACAAGTATTATAACGAAGAAAAGGAAATGAATGATCTGTACCAGCCAAACTTCGGGATACATCAACATTTTCAACATGACTTCACGCAAATAATTTTGTTCTTATAAATTCTTCTTTTCTGTTATGAACAAAAGTATTGTCTTTTCTTCTCTGAGGGGTGCAACTACGAATGATGATAATTCGGAATATAAAGATTGATTGGAATTTAACTAAAGAGCTACATAGCTACGCAATTCGCGCGGTCACCTTATTGCGCAGGATTGGATATTAAAGTTCACGACGCGTTGACTGGATTTAAATGCGCAAAAGAATTTTTAAAACAAGATTTACAATAAAAATTAAAGAAAGAAAGAAATTAGTAAAACAACAACCAAACAAACACAAAAACAGAGATTACTACTTTATATGGATTTATATTGTAGGTGGGGTCTGATGACTATTACAACTGTAGGATATGATCTTAATCCGAAAACACTATTAGGAAAACTTATAGGTAAACATATATGAACTGTGGTAACTTATAAATGAAAGAAACTCTAATCTGCTAAACCTGATGGTGTAAACTTTAGATATTTTATCCTAAGAAACCAGATCAAATAGTCGAAAATGGCCGGTTTAAAAGTGAAGACAAAGCGACAAATAAGTTCCTCATCTTTCTGGCTTTTAACGTGAAGTTTTCGAAGCAGTTTAACATTGGTAACTTTTATTTCGTATTTCAAACATCCAGAGAATCAAAAGTATCCAATTTTATTTCAGAAAAAAATCCCATCACATTTCAAAATGAAGAAAAAAAATTGCAGTGGAAGGCGATTAATCATTACAATGAAGATGATTTTCCATTTTAATTTTGATTTATATTAAGGATTTAAACAGCATGGATACAGATATAAACATAAAAGCCAAGAGAAGCTGTCAATTTAAAAAGCTTCTCTTAAATTACTTGTAAACTTGTATTTTGAAAAAAGCTTGTTAATAATCAAACCTGAAAAAGTCGTCTTCATCATATTGATGTAATCGCCTACCACGGTAAATTCAAGCCTTTTTCTTAAAGCAACAATAAGAAAGTAAAATGTAGAAAGCATGCAATTCAAATAAATTTTAAATTGTTAATAAATCATAAGTAGAGCTGAGAACTCTTGTATCGTGTATATCGAGATCAATGCTTAAACTCAAACTTTTGTTAATCTGCAGATTAGTTTAATCATTAATTGAAAGTCCTCACAGTGGATTTCGAGATCAAATTGAGTTTAAAAAAAACATGAAGAACTTGAACATTGCTTAGGACAATTTTTGTCAAGTCAAAATTTGATCAAAATTCTACATATCTCTGGTAGCTTTCAATGGTGACAAAGGCAGACCACATTTTATGAATTTCAGGACTAAGGGGTTTTAATAATTATTGTTTCTAGAATCAGAATATTAAAATTCAAAAATCAAACCGACCTTTAAGTGGATTCACCGACAAAGGGTCAAACGACCCAGGGTCAAACGACAAAGGGTCAAACGACACAGGGTCAAACGACACAGGGTCAAACGACACTGGGTCAAACGACAAAGGGTCAAAAGTGCGACAAAGGCTCAAACGACAAAAGGTCAAAATGATAAAAATATTTTTTGATTTGAATCATAGGAAACTCGCAATTTTAATCACAAAAATCCGCCAAACTTTTTTGAAGATTTAAAACGTTAGTCTGATTCTGGCTTCCATAATGGTCGGGTTGGCAATATAATTGACCATGTTGCCACAGCGCTCGGCCCCTTAGCCTGTCCTAGCCGCAGCGCTCGGCCCAGAAAGTGTCTTAACTAACCTAACCCGTGGCCGCAGCGCTCGGCCCCCTGGCCTGTCCTAGCCGCAGCGCTCGGCCCAGAAAGTGTCTTAACCTAACCTAACCCTTAATAATAATAAATAAACGGATATAAATGACCATGAGGCCATAGCGCTCGGCCCCCTAGCCTGTCCTAGCCGCAGCGCTCGGCCCAGAAAGTGTCTTAACCTAACCTAACCCTAAATAAAAATAAATAAATGGATATAATTGACCATGTGGCCATAGCGCTCGGCCCCCTAGCCTGTCCTAGCCGCTGCGCTCGGGCCAGAAAGTGTCTTAACTAACCTAACCCGTGGCCGCAGCGCTCGGCTCCCCAGCCTGTTCTAGGCGCAGCACTCGGCCCAGAATGTACCTAACCTAACCTTAAATAATAATAAAAAAAGACTAACCGTCAAAATTAAAAAAAAATTGCCCTTTTGTCGCATTTTTTTACTCTTTGTCGTTTGACCCTGTGTTGTTTGACCCTTTGTCGCGTTTTTGACCCCTTGTCGTTTGACCCTGTGTCGTTTGACCCTGTGTCGTTTGACCCTTTGTCGTTTGACCCTGGGTCGTTTGACCCTTTGTCGGTGAATCTTCAAGTGTCATGTCTAGTTTAGCCAAGACTAGAAAAATGTAGGTCAAAAACTTTAAATTTCTTATCCCTATATCTTTTCAACTCAAAGTTTTAAAATGAATGAATTCTATTAAATCGAATGATATAACTTTGAAATATAACACAATCAGGTTTAAAAAAAAGTTTTTTAGATAATTATATTTTTATTTTTTGCAAAAACTTAATTCATTTGTACAGGTGGATTCTGTGCACTGTCCGGCGTATTTATCTTGACTCTACCTATACCCATAGTTGTAAACAGCTTTGCTAGCTACTACAAAAACAGGTATTTACACAGTAAGCACCAGAGATAAGAGAGTTACAGAGATCGATTAACACCTATAATATGCGATATTTTATGGATGATTTTAAAAGTCGGCTTTGCGCTCACACTCAGTAATAATTCATCATTAAAACGTTCTATATTTCTCAAATAAATCCTAAAAAAAATTCTCCACAATACTACATTCTCAGTTAAACTACCTTACATTGCTCCGGTCTCTCCCTTTAAAGAGTATTATTGCTAATATAAAATGATACTGAGTTAAAGGAACAAAGTTCTAGCGCAAAACTTTCTTTTCTAAACCTTTGCCAACCAATGTCGTAGACTTTTGATTTTTAAAACTATAAATTCTGTTAGATTAAATATTCTAAGCTTGAATTATCTAGATTTGCACTCAGGTTGCAAGGATATTGGGCTTACAAAGATATATTTCGTTGAAAGAAATCATAGTTCCTTTGTTCAGTTTTCTCCAGTATAATATTTTCTGAGTCCGAATTTAATGAATTTGAGCTGCGTCTCAAATCCGCCAAAAACCGGTTTCAATTGAGCGCCGGCTTAAACCTTGAAACATTAAATGCAATTTTAAATGGAACCAATAATATTTAAGCCGCGTCTTCAATTTAATCCGCGGCTCAAATTCTTTAAATTCGGCCTCAGAACAGCTGATCTCTGTCAATTCGTAATTCTCGTAATTCTGGTTAAAATTTTTCCGGGAAATTTAAATTTCCCTTAAAGTTTAATGTAATCTTATCTCTAAATTTTCTCTAATCTTAAATAATTTTGCAAATTACTTTATTACGTGGATTATCTCTTTAAGGCTGTAGAAAAAAATCTAGTTCTCTTTAATCTATAAATAATGTTTTTAAAGGGTAAGATTGAAAATTACTTTATTACAAACATTTTGTGAATTATCTCTTTAAGGCTGTGGAGGAACGAGGTTGAACACAAAAAGAGAGAGAGAACATTACAGATTGCCAGTGAACTCAGACAACAACAACAATTCTCACTTTTCCAGGTCAAATCCCCCCCCCCCCNTAAATCTGACGGAATTATAAATCTGACAGATTTATAAATCTGACGGAATTATAAATCTGACGGAATAATAAACCTGACGGAATTATAATTCTGACAGAATTATAAACCTGACAAAATTATTAATCTGACGGAATTATAAATCTGACGGATTTATAAATCTGACAGAATTATAAATCTGGCAGAAATATAAATCTGACGGAATTATAAATTTGACGGAATTATAAACCTAATGAAATTATAAATCTGGCAGAATTATAAACCTGACAAAATTATTAATCTGACGGAATTATAAATCTGACGAATTTATAAATCTGACAGAATTATAAATCTGGCAGAAATATAAATCTGACGGAATTATAAATTTGACGGAATTATAAACCTAATAAAATTATAAATCTGGCAGAATTTTAAACCTGACGAAATAATAAATCTGACGAAATTATAAATCTGACAGAATTATAAACCTGACGGAATTATAAAACTGATGAAATGATAAAGATGACAGAATTATAAATCTGAAAGAATTATAAACATTATGGAATTGTAAAGATGACGGAATTATAAACCTGACAGATTTATAAACAAAGAGGAATTATAAATCTGACGGAATTATAAATCTGACGGAATTATAAACCTGACGGAATTATAAAGATGTTCCAAAAATGTGCTTGCCAGTCGGATCGCTTCACGCACGAGGGTGCTAGAGCATTGGGAAACCTGTCGGTCGCATTGTGCAATTTAAACTGCCCTTAAATGACGGAATAATAAATCTGACAGAATTATAAACATGACGGGATTATAAAGATGACGAAATTATTGACATGACATGATGACAAAAGTACAAAACTAACAGATTTATAAATTAAAAATCTTAATCAAGCTTTTATTTTTTTTGTTTAGGCTATGGCAGCCCCGGGAATAAATGTGGTTGCAGCAGGTGGGGTCATTCAAAATACATGATTTTTAAATTCAACTTTATAAATTTATTTTGTAATTATATTTAGAACTTTACTTTTCTGTAATTATATTTAGAAAATTATGCTTTTCTGTAATTATATTTAGAAATGTATACTTTTCTGTAATTATATTTAGAAATATATACTTTTCTGTAATTAAATTTAGAAAACTATACTTTTCTGTAATTATATTTAGAAATATATACTTTCTGTAATTATATTTAGAAAACTTTACTTTTCTGTAATCATATTTAGAAATATATACTTTTCTGTCATTATATATAGAAAACTTTACTTTTCTGTAATTATATTTAGAAATATATACTTTTCTGTAATCATATTTAGAAAAATGTACTTTTCTGTAATAATATTAAAAAATATATACTTTCCTGTAATTATATTTTGAAAATATACTTTTCTGTAATTATATATAGAAAACTATACTCTTCTGTAATTATATTTAGAAATATATACTTTTCTGTAATCATAATTAGAAAACTATACTTTTCTGTAATTATATTTAGAAAACTATAAGTTTCTGTAATTATATTTAGAATTATATACTTTTCTGTAATTATATTTAGAAATATATACTTTTCTGTAGTTATATCTAAAAATATATACTTTTCTGTAATTTTATTCAGAAATCAAAAATTTATGGTTTTCTGAATTGATATTAAGAAAACTATATTTTATGTTATCTAAAAAGAACTTTTTTCTACATTTTTTAGAAAGTATACTTTTAACGTTTATATTTAGAAACTAACTAAAAATTTTCATAATTTAGATAATCTGTTATCGCCATCACCTGTGAAAAATCTAGAATAAAAACATTGCAATCAGCTGTATCCTGTATCAATGAAGTGTGTTCCTGTATCCTGTATAATGAAGTGTATTCCTGTATCCTGTATCAATGAAGTGTATTCTTGTATCCTGTATAATGAAGTGTATTCCTCTATCCCGTATCAATTATATGTATGATGTATCTTGTATCAATGAAGTGTATTCTTGTATCCTGTATCAATGAACTGTATTCTTGTATCCTGTATCAATGATATGTATTCCTGTATCCTGTATCAATGAAGTGTATTCTTGTATCCTGTATCAATGATATGTATTCTTGTATCCTGTATCAATGAAGCGTATTCTTGTATCCTGTATCAATGATATGTATTCCTGTATCCTGTATCAATGAAGTGTATTCTTGTATCCTGTATAATGAAGGTATTCCTGTATCCTGTATCAATGATATGTAATCCTGTATCCTGTATCAATGAAGTGTATTCTTGTATCCTGTATCAATGAACTGTATTCTTGTATCCTGTATCAATGAAGTGTATTCTTGTATCCTGTATCAATGATATGTTTTCCTGTATTCTGTATCAATGATATGTATTCTTGTATCCTGTATCAATGATATGTTTTCCTGTATCCTGTATCAATGATATGTATTTCTGTATTCTGTATCAATGATATGTATTCCTGTATCCTGTATCAATGATATGTATTCCTGTATCCTGTATCAATGATATGTATTCCTGTATCCTGTATCAATGATATGTATTCCTGTATCCTGTATCAATGATATGTATTCCTGTATCCTGTATCAATGATATGTATTCCTGTATCCTGTATCAATGATATGTATTCCTGTATCCTGTATCAATGATATGTATTCCTGTATCCTGTATCAATGATATGTATTCCTGTATCCTGTATCAATGATATGTATTCCTGTATCCTGTATCAATGATATGTATTCCTGTATCCTGTATCAATGATATGTATTCCTGTATCCTGTATCAATGATATGTATTCCTGTATCCTGTATCAATGATATGTATTCCTGTATCCTGTATCAATGATATGTATTCCTGTATCCTGTATCAATGATATGTATTCCTGTATCCTGTATCAATGATATGTATTCCTGTATCCTGTATCAATGATATGTATTCCTGTATCCTGTATCAATGATATGTATTCCTGTATCCTGTATCAATGATATGTATTCCTGTATCCTGTATCAATGATATGTATTCCTGTATCCTGTATCAATGATATGTATTCCTGTATCCTGTATCAATGATATGTATTCCTGTATCCTGTATCAATGATATGTATTCCTGTATCCTGTATCAATGATATGTATTCCTGTATCCTGTATCAATGATATGTATTCCTGTATCCTGTATCAATGATATGTATTCCTGTATCCTGTATCAATGATATGTATTCCTGTATCCTGTATCAATGATATGTATTCCTGTATCCTGTATCAATGATATGTATTCCTGTATCCTGTATCAATGATATGTATTCCTGTATCCTGTATCAATGATATGTATTCCTGTATCCTGTATCAATGATATGTATTCCTGTATCCTGTATCNGGTTGATTTCAAGTATCTATCTATCTTTATACATATATCACTGTAAACTCCGGTTAATTTCAAGTATATATCCATCAATATACATATATCACTGTAAACTTCGGTCGATTTCAAGTATCTATCTAGCTATATACATGAATTATCCCCTTCTAGTGAAATTTATGTGATATTGTGAACCGATCAAAAGGAATATTGCTCGAAGCGGGATGAACTGAAGCAGAGGATATGTAACTCGAAGAATGACAAATCCAAAGGTGAATAGGCTAGGGAAACACTCTTTTCTACCGTCCATACATAGATGAGAACAACTTCTTGAAAATGTATATTTCAGTAACGAAGGTTTCCTACAACAAAATACAAATTGTTATTGACGTACATGTGTATAAATAATGATTGTTAATAAAGATTAATCAGTTGTGTGAAATTATCAATTGGTTTAGAAACATGTACCATTGAGAATTGGACAAAGGCTTAAAAGGTATTTGAAACTCTAGGTTTTGCAGGTTTAGGAAACTCAAGGTTTTGCAGGTTTAGGAAGCTCTAGGTTTTTCAGGTTTAGGAAACTCTAGGTTTTGCAGGTTTAGGAAGCTCTAGGTTTTTCAGGTTTAGGAAACTCTAAGTTTTGCAGGTTTTGTAGATCATATTTTATTACTGTTGTGAATCGATAAATAAAAGTTTAAAAAGGTACTGTTGTGAATTGGCCAATAAAAGGCTTAAGATATTGTTGTGAATTAAGTATACGGAACTTACAATCTAGAAAACTGTAGGGCGGCGAAAAGTTGTTTGAACTGAAGTCTAAAGCAATTTAATTCTTCTGAAATAAATATTTAACTGGTTAAAGTATAATGTATAATCTATCTGTTATATCTATCTGGATATTCTATCTGTATAATCTATCTGTATAATCTATCTGTATAATATCTATCTGTATAATCTATCTGTATATTCTATCTGTATAATCTATCTATCTGTATAATCTATCTGTATAATCTATCTGTATAATGTATCTGTATAATCTATCTGTATAATCTATCTGTATATTCTATCTGTATAATCTATATCTGTATAATCTATCTGTATAATCTATCTGTATAATCTGTCTGTATAATCAATCTGTATAATATCTATCTGTAAAATCTATCTGTATAATGTATCTGTATAATCTATCAGTATAATCTATCTGTATAATATCTATCTGTATAATCTATCTGTATATTCTATCTGTATAATCTATATCTGTATAATCTATCTGTTAAATCTATCTGGATATTCTATCTGTATAATCTATCTGTTAAATCTATCTGGATATTCTATCTGTATAATCTATCTGTATAACTGTATAATCTATCTGTATAATGTATCTGTATAATCTATCTGTATAATCTATCTGTATAATCTATCTGTATAATCTATCTGTATAATCTATCTGTTAATCTATCTGTATATTCTACTTGTATAATATATCAGTATACCCTATCTGTTAAATATAACTGTATATTCTACCTGTATAATCTATCTGTATAATCTATAGCTGTATAATCTATATCTGCATAATCTATCTGTATAATCTATCTGTTAAATCTATCTGGATATTCTATCTGTATAATCTATATCTGTATAATCTATCTGTATAATGTATCCGTATAATCTATCTGTATAATCTATCTGTTAATCTATCTGTATATTCTACCTGCATAATATATCTGTATACCCTATCTGTTAAATATATCTGTATATTCTACCTGTATAATCTATCTGTATAATCTATCTGTATAATTTATATGTTAAATCTATTTGGAAATTCTATATCTGTATAAATCTATCTGAATATTCTATTTGTATATTTATCTGTATAGTCTATATGAATAACCTATCTGTATATTCTATCTGTATGTACTTTCTGTATAATATATCTGTGTTATCTATCTGTATATACTATCTGTTAAATATTTCCGTATAATCTATCTGTTTAATATTTCCGTCTGGATATTTTATCTGCTTATTCTATATAAATATGTATAATCTATATGTATATTCTATCTGTACAAATATATCTATAAAATCTGTAAATCTATCTTTGAAACAAATAGATTATCAGCAATTAGAACTATTTACAAGAGTTAATTTTTTTATTTATGAAAATGTATAAAACTATTCCAATGTGTCAATAAAATTAATTTGTACAGAAACAATCATTCATACAACATATTACGTGTAGTGGTTTTGTATACTAAAAAATATCAAATTTGTATACGATATGGTTAACCATGTGTATACTGATTTAACCAAGTTAAAGTATAAGTACTAACAGATAGAAGTGTGATAATTTAGATATTATTTAAATATAATTACATTATCACTTTGCAAACCCTACTTTTACAATTTCACAATTTAACCGGAACTAAATGATCTAGAATAATATCTATTTGATGATTAATAATGGTAGAATAAATTCTAGCTTTATGCTTTATGATTTAACAAGGACGGACAGATAGTTATGAAAATTAATTCTTCATCAAATATATGTCAAATATTAATTAAATCATTGAACTGAAAACGGTCTGTTCTGTTAAATAAAAAGGGACTGTTCTGTCAAATAAAAAGGGACCATGCTCCGCTTATGAGATTCTGCACATTACGATAAGAATTGGTGGAATTGTACACAACACAAACAAAATATTGTTTATAACTTTTCAAGGGCAGGGCCCAGGGGGGCCGAGAATTGTTTTGGAATTTAAAATCTTAAAAAAAGTAATTAAGTTTTATTATCCTTGCTTTTGTCGTTTAAATTTCATTTTTCAATCTCTAGGGAAGTACGCCCCCCCCCCCCTCTCTCAGGCAATCTTTAGTAACTATTTTGTTGTCCATGATTGCTATAAATATCATTGAGAACTGAACTGTCCAACTGTTGTGAGACGGGGAACTCCGTGTTTAAAGTCGTCTTCGTCTCGTGTACAGTCTGCTGACCCGGCCAGGTAGTTGTACCGTACACATCCGCCCAGTCCTGGGCCGAGATGGATTGAATCTGAGACCTAGGAGTCGGGTTGGTGGGCTGCCCTAAATTTAGAATAATGTAATACTATGATTTACGTTAAAAAAATACAGGGTGTCCCAAGTAACATGACAGTTGGTGAAAAGTTTTGAATGTCTTCTTCCATATACAGTACTGGATGTTATAGAATTTTTGCACTTTATCTCTTTTTAAAAACTCGTTTACTCAAGTATATTTTACTCTGAAATCAATTTTACTATAATATGGCAGACTTGTAAGTAACATTTGTTATTAATTCTCTTAGGTGTCAAACAAATAAACAAATTACGGAAGAGGAAATTTTAAGCTATTGGCCAACTGTCAAGTTTCGCGGGACACCCTGTACAGGAAGAAGAAGATTTTTTATTTTCTTTTGTCCACGAATCGAAGAAATTCTACCATAATTTTTTTAATGAATTTTTACTTGTGTAATTAATGGTTGGGAGGCAAATACTAAGAGAAGTGGCGTGAAGAATCCTGAATTTTCAATGAATTTACCTGGATAAAAATTAAATCTGGGTATTTTTCCCGGCCTTCGTTCATTTCGGAGATTTGGAACATTGTCTCCCGGATTTTTAAAGTTTAAACTTTCACCATAATAGGGCTTAGAACCAACAATACTGCGAGATTCCTACAAATAATAGAGTAAAAAAATACTTTTTGATAAAAATCAAATATATCAATACAAGTTTTAAGCTCTGTTGTCAGTTTGGTTGTACAGGGTGTCCCACGAAACATGACAGTTGGTGAATAGTCCCGAATGTCTTCTTCCACATACTGTATTAGATGCAGTTTATTTCTTTAAAAAAATGTTTTAACTCATATATGTTTTAATGTGAAATCAATTTTGTTAAAATGTTATTAGTCTCTTTAGTATCAAACAACTTATCAAATTATGGAAGAAGACATTTTAAACTATTCACCAACTGTCATGTTTCGTGGGACACCCTGTATGCCCGATGATAACAGTGAATAATTAAAATCTAAAATACATGCAATAATAAGAGAACCAAAAAAAGCTCTCTAGCCCCTTATTTTAAGGGACACTCCCTCATTTAGAGTGGCATGTCCAATTTCAAACAGTACCTTATACGCCTTATTTCAAAATTGTACGCCGTAAAAAATGTCTCGTTGGTATCAAAAGAATCCTAACGTTTTGTTCTACAATACTGAACGTTTAGCTCAAATACCATGTCTAGCCGATCTTGCCCTTTCATAAAACAAAATATTAAATTTTACCTTCTGAGGTTCTCCTGATCCTCCTGCTCTGCGTTTGTTTCTCGACCAGTAATCACTATACCTAAACACAGAATTAATCATAGTTTTGTTTGATATTGTATATAGGGAGTGTGCAGGAAAGAGTATCCCAATAAAAAGAATAACCAAAGTAAAAAAAGTCTAATCAGCTTTTCAAAATATGCAGTTGTGGAGATCAATTTAACTTTTTTCGGAGTATTGGAATTTGAACATTGTTATTCTAATAAATTGCCGAATTTGAATCCAATCGTAACTTTATTGTATGGTAGCCATAGTTTCTTATTTCTGATTTTTCTATCTATATTGTATAATGTCCAATGTATAGGTGTCCAATGTAAAACTGTCTCTGTTCTTAATTTTGGTTTAGACTTCAAGCATATTTCAGAAACTGGAAACAAAGTTTTTAGATGAACTTTGAAAATCTTAAGATATGTTTTATTATATTCTATTCTATTATTTTCTATTCTATTCTATTCTATTGTATATTATTCTTTTCTATTATATTTTATTCTATATTATATTATATTCTATATAAAACTTCAAATTCGGCCTGGTTTCATAATTTTGAATTTTGATAATTTTTAGATCACTAAGCTGTGTCTGGGATATTAAAAAATCGTTTTTAAGGTAAAGGTTAGTAGCAATATTTGGTTTGTAAAAAAAGGTTATTAGAAATACTTGGTTTGAAAAACAAAGGTTAGTAGAAATATTTGGTTTGTAAAACAAAGGTTAGTAGAAATATTTGGTTTGTAAAACAAAGGTTAGTAGAAATATTTGGTTTGTAAAACAAAGGTTAGTAGAAATATTTGGTTTGAAAAACAAAGGTTAGTAGAAATATTTGGTTGGTAAAACAAAGGTCGGAAGAAATATTTGGTTTGTAAAACAAAGGTTAGTAGAAATATTTGGTTTGGAAAACAAAGGTCGGAAGAAATATTTGGTTTGGAAAACAAAGGTCGGTAGAAATATTTGGTTTGGAAAACATGCGTATCCATGCATGTTACCTTCTGTAGTTGTTTTTTGCGGTTGAAATAAGTTTAGGCAAAGCATTGACCAATTTGTGGAAACGATTGAGACTAAAACATGACAAATCTTTAGATCTCTCTATACATAAATTAAAGGGACTATCGACGTAATGTCAAGGGGCCCTTTATTTAAAGATATGTCCATTTCACAACTGCACCCTGTACGCAGCTTCGTTTACGAATAATTATGAAGCAATTCTTGTGTGTCTATCTAAAACTGATAACTTTGAATTGGATTTACAAAACAAAAGTGACTTGCAGATTTATTCAGTGGAGACTAAAAATAAAAATATTGTAGCTCAGATTAATCGTATCGTTGTAAATAAGGCAGGCAGAGTCTAAAACTAAAGAATGCGCGAAAATTAAGTTACAGCTTAATAGTTCCGAAAAACAATGAGTTGAGACTTAAATATTAACCTTTCTCAATTTAAACCTTAAGGGAAACTTAAATTTTCCGGGAAAAATTTTAACCAATCAGAATTACGAGAATTACGAATCGACAGAGATTACTCAACATCAGCTGTTCTGAATTCGAATTTAAAGAATTTGAGCCGCGGCTTAAATTTAAGCCGCGGCTCAAATATGGTTGATTTCACTTAAAATCGTATTTATTGCTTCAAGATTTAAGCCGGCGCTCAATTGAAACCGGTTTTTGGCGGATTTAAGACGCAGCTCAAATTCATAAAATTCCGACACTGTTAAGTCAGTTAAATCAGAAGTGGCATTTAAGCTGAAGATTAAAATATAAGTCTGAATTCTTCGTTCTTTAGTTTTAGACTCAGCTCTCTAAATTGAGGATCATTTGAAATCATCCTTTTCAAAAATTAGCGGTTTCAGTGTGAAACAGATTAATACGTAATTGCGGTCTTGAGTACTGTAAGAAAATAAAAACCTATTATTTTGTTCAAAACACCGCAAACATTTCTCAATCACGTTCATGTGTTATATGGTTATATCCCTAATATTTTATTGGTTCTTTTAGCAATGCAAATGATAATTCGAAAATAAGGAACCAAATTTCAGGTTTTAGGTTTCAGATTATAAGAAAATATCTTACACACTCATTCCCTCTTCTTCCTCATCCTTCCTCCGGTTCTTCTTCAAGCTCTTCTTCTCCTTCTTCATCATCTTCTCCATCTTCTCTATTTTCTCCTTGTTCTTCTTCATGTTCGCTTTCTTCTTGGATGGAACCGGGTTACTGGCTGAACTATAGTAATCATAACTGTCCTCGTAGAACCCCTCGTCATTGCTTAATCTAAAATTTAAAATATTTTCATGATTTTGAACATTTAAAGGGAGAGACCGCCTAGGTAACATATTTAAAACGAGAGTGCAGTATTATAGAGAAAATATTTAGGATTCATTCGATAAAAATAAGACGATTGTTCACTGTATAATTTCTAAGTAAGAGCGTAAATTTGTTCGTAAAATTTTATCAGGGGGTATGTTCCGCGTAAGAAACTTTTTTCTATAAAAAATGCACTTTCGGTTGAAACATGTTTAAATAAACCTGAGTTTACAACTAGATATAAACTAGACCTGTATCCTAGGGTATCATATTCATCATACAAATCCACATCCTCCCTCCCTGACAGTTCGAGAATCTTGGAAGGAAGATAGCCAATAATAGCAGCTCCTAAGAGAGATAGATATATAGATAAATAAAATTGTCAAATCTAAGCAGAATTATATATTTATGTTTATTTCTTGAAAGGGAGTAGAAACACATATCTCTCTGTAGTAGAGAGAAATTTTGCGAAATTTCGTTTTTTCGCAAAAAATCAATTTTGCGGAGGCAAGCGAAAAATATTTCGCGAAACAAATACCGCGCACAACTATAGTTTTGCAACTGCAACAATTGATTGCGCAAAAAAAATGTTTTCCAGGTGGAAATGCTCAGCATTCGAAGTTTTATTATTTTATAATTCTCTTCCTTTAATTAAATAAATGTTTGGTGAACTTGATCTACCAATACATACATATATATTTCTGTCTGTTATGTACATTGTACATAAATATATATTTCTGTCTGTTATGTACATTGTACATATATATATATATTTCTTTCTGTTATGTACATTGTACATATATATATATATTTCTGTCTGTAATGTACATTGTACATATATATATTTCTGTCTGTTATGTACATTGTACATGTATATATTTCTGTCTGTTTTGTACATTGTACATGTACCCAAATCCAGCCAGCCGCCCATGAGCCAGCCAATATTTGTTTGCAAATTTTTTTATTTATTGTTCGCGAAAATTCCACATTTTTTGCGGAATTGATTAATACAAAATTCCGCAAAAAAATGCCAAAGTGTTAGCGAATTCCTTTTCTACAGTTTTGCAGTACTTATTATGTACATTATGGTCATTAATCATTAATCTAGCATGTCGGATACCTGCACCGAAGAGCAAAGCTGCTCCTACAAAAGTCTGGAGATCTGAATACGCCCCCGTCGAGCTGTTGAAGTAAACGCCATAATCCTTCCTGGGCAAGGTGAGGTAGGTGGAGAAGGTGTCGTAGGATACAATCTTCACCTTCTGTAGGAAGTTGTAGAACGATGAGTAGCTGTTATAAAATAGTCGACCTCTGACAAAAAAATAATTATGAAATTAGTATGTCTTTAAAAAAGTTGCTGTTTTTAAACCATTTTAGGGGTTTTTAAATTACTTCAACCCTTTGTTTTTTTTAAAATAATATTTCATAGAAAATACAGAGTTTTCCGGCGTTATTGGAAATATTTTTGATAGGATGATATAAGATAGGTCTAGTTATGATGAATTCAAAATTCATTTCTTAAAAAGTCAAATTGTTTTCCTCAAAAATCGATTTTTTTGAATAAGTTTTATTTTCCAAATTCGATTTTCAAAAATTGTGTATTTTAAACATTTTCAAATAGGAGAACAATCATTTGAAAGCGTACTTTTTACTCTTTTTTCTTTATTGTATTTATTTTTACTTTTTTTGCAAATTTTAGTAATATAGAGTGACAAAAAAAACAAAATAAAATAGATTGTTTTTTTTGCGATTGTATTTTAATTTTAAAAGATTTTCCAAACGCATATAAATATATACTTTGTTTGTTTGTCTGTTTGTATCCAATAAACGTCAACATGGCTGAATTGAAATTTTTTTGAACATGCGCCGATTCGAATAAAATATCCGTCAAAATTTGGGAATGATTAAAAATGGCCGACTTTCAGAGCAACAGTTCAAAACTAAAATTATTTATAGGACCGGGGGTGCGAAGCTCCCTTAAAACTTAGTTTAGTAAAAGAAGAAAAAGTAAGAAATATTTAAAAATCTATTATTGGATTTAGACTTTAGTAGAGTATTTTGTACTTCTTAATAATAAATATCTTCAAAGAACTGGATTTTGATGAAAAAAAAATCTTAAAAATGTAAAAATAAGTCATAATGAAAATGCCTCCCTATCTATCTATCTATCTATCAATCTATCTATCTATCTATCTATCTATCTATCTATCTATCTACCTATCTATCTATCTATCTCTCTATCTATCTAAACGAATCTCGCTAAGTTTATTTAATTTTGATTAGAAACTTTTTTGCGTAATTAATAAATTAATTTTTTTTAAATATTTTTTATTTTTAACGAATTGGGTCATTGTCGCAAATTTTCTCATTCCTATATCTGTGCAACCTGATATTTGAAACTTAAGATTATTTAATCTAACAGAATTCATAGCAATTGAATTATTAAATGGGGTTGCAACGATATAGTGATTAGAAAATCAGAGTTTGTGGCAAAGACTCAATTCCTTTGAGTACTTACACATCAACTTTGTTGGGGTTAGTTAATCCGCTTCCATCAGTTGTTTTTTCTTTAGTTAGTCCGTTTCCATTTTCTTTTTCAGAACAGATTACAGTAGCTATTAAGCTCAAGCTGACTGGACAAATTCAAACATTTATTTTTAATAATTTCAAAGATTTTCTATATTTTTTATAAATCAAATCAATTTGTAATTTCTGTGCTGTTAATTAAATACTTTTACGTCTTAGAGAAAAAAAATATAAAATTTCAAAGATTTTTTAGAAAAATATATAATATTATCATATTATTATTAACCTAAAATGCAATTTGTAATTGTCTGTGCTAGTAATTAAATACTTTTATGTCTTAGAGAGTTTTAGATTTTTTATTAGCAATATATTGTTTGTGCTGTTAATTAAGCACTGTTACTTAGAGATAAAATTAATCTAAAATTTTTTCGATTTTTATTATTAAAAATAAAATTTGTATCATTGTATATAATGTTAATTAAATACAGTGAGTCTTAACAATATTTAATATCAATTTAGAAAATAAAAATCGACATTTTTTAATTCAAAAGAATTCGTAAAACTTCACTAACTCACAAACATATTTATATGCAAGGGCCAAAAAGAATAAAGTTTCATTCTTTCTTTTTTATTTTTCGCCTTATTTCGATAACCCCTGCAAAATGCCGAAAATCAATCTTTCTAAAGGTCATGACTAACCCTGTATTTTAAAAGTATATTTTAAAGAATTTGTTAACTCGTTAAAAATAAAAAGCTAAATAATTTATAAATGTAGTTCCTAGAAGGGCAATGTAGGTTCTCCACATTTTGATTTTAAGAATAGTTTATTTTATTTGGAAATTGTTTAGAAAACAAACGGTGACATTATATTTTATACCAGTTGGTTAATAGATCGGGGCCCGGATGGGATGGGCTAGGTTAGGACAATCCAGGACGAATGATTGGAGTATTTAATAAAAGATGCGTCGTGTTGGATCGTTGGTAATCAACTGCTCTGATTTCTCTGATCTCCCAGTGTACGCAGATCGTCATGGAGCTGAACGCAATTATTTGCGTTGAGAGGCATATTCACTAAACCTTGGCCTTGAACGCGTATATATTTCATTATTACGCTTTCTGAATATCATAACATAATCAATAATAAAATCGTCCTCGTTTCAACATTTAACAGATATACATTCAGTGAAATATATCATACTTTTGTTGCGGCGATAGATATAATTAATATTTAAGAAATTATAAATGTTTTTTATCGTGCTAGGCTTCGATTTTAACTTTTAATTGATGCTAATATATCGTTTTTTGTGGATTTTTAAAAATTTAAATTCTTTCTTGGCAACTTTTTTAAATTCCGATATCTTTAAACCTTCCCTGGGCCAAATATGAGGTTCCAACAAAAATTTGGGCCCAAACGGTTCGCCAGCTATGACAAGCAAATATATTCATAAATAGGTCTAGATCGAGTGTTAGATCATCTGGTCTTTCATGAAATAATAAATCAAAAAAAAAACTAGATATAACATAAAATTAGCAAAATGGTGCGGTGTACCCAATAAGGTTTTAAAAACGTTTTTTTTTACTTTTGATTTTTGAAAAATACAAACTTCAGAATCTTTTTATCCTATGTTACCCCCAGGTTAACCATAGGTTCATTAAAAAAATCAGACCTTTGGTCCAGCCGTTTGGCCAGTTATAGGGAACATACTCACGAATGTCTTATTTTATGATATAGATATCATGAATTCATAAAAAAAAATCAAGATTTTTTTATTTAGAATTTTGAATTTTGTACACACGAGACTGAAAAACTTTCACTCTGATTAAAGCCAAATGATGCGAAAATAATAAATTATAGAGATCAGCATGCAACAACTTTACATATATTTAAACACAAATATAAAAAAAGGAAATTTAGTACGCTTCGCGCACCTTCGTCCAGTAAAAGCCTTTCTAAATATTTTTCCCTTTATTCAAGGGACTGTGAGTGTAATGTCCAGTAATCCTACGTGCAAAGATTACATTGCCAGATTCACAACAGTATCCTTGAAACCTTTATCTTATCGATAATGGGGAAGATATTGTCGTTTTTCCAGAATTAAAAGTGTTAAATTCTGAAATTCCTAAGGAAATGTTGTCGATCATAAATTGCTTGGTTTAAATGGAGGCTCACTTGAAAGTACCCTAACAGTCCCTGTAAGAAGACTCAAAGAAGATCGTAGTAAGATTTCGATTCTACTGGAGACCACCGGAGGGATTTTATTTTCACTGGAGGGGTTTGAAAAAATGCTTTTTACAATTTAAAACTTTACGCAGGGTGATTTACATTCCACTGGAGGGATTCTGATGTCCTTCCTGGGGGGTTATAATTCCACTGGAGGAATTCAGTTATCCTTCCTAGGGGTTTATAATTCCACTGGAGGGATTCAGATATCCTTCCTAGGGGTTTATAATTCCACAGGAAGGATAACTGAATCCCTCCAGTGGAATTATAACCCCCCAGGAAGGACATCTGAACCCCTCCAGTGGAATGTAAATATCACCCTGCGTAAAGTTTTGAATTGTAAAAAGCATTTTTTCAAACCCCTCCAGTGAAAAAGAATTCCCTCCGGTGGTCTCCTGTGGAGTCAAAATCTTACTACGAACTTCCGTGACTCCTGTAAGAACCATATTTTTAGAAAAACCCAAAACTCAACTTTAATCAATTTTGTTACCGTGTTTGTGTTCAATGAAGTCCTATCGTTGTGTCCAAGGGATTAAAAAATATTTCAAAATGAAAGACAGTTTTCTTAAATGCTGTTATGAATAAATAATTGGATCGTTCAGAGGAATAAAACTATTGTTTTTTAAATTAACGAAAATAATTAACAATCGTTAACATTTTATTTCACACAATCTTGAACAAACCATTTTATAATCGTTAGTTTAAGAACTTGAATATTCAACAAACTAAACATTGCATTGGAAATGTACCCCCCACCCTACCCCAACCCAACCTGACCTTTGTCATAACGGACGATTTTACTGCAATAACATTGTAGCTGAACAAATAAATTTTGTTCAGCTGAACAAACAGTTTTACGAAAAGAATTATTTTACTGATTGAAAGATTTCACTGAATGATTTACAGATATAGAAGGAAACTAAACAATTTTACTGTAGGCTGAAAAATATATTTGAGAATCAATTCATATTTTTCGGAGACTTTTTCCATGGCAAATTTTCAATGTTTCGATCAGAATGTTAGAAAAGTTTCTATTTATATTTCTTTTATGTAACTAATTGTCAATTGTAAAGCTATGATCCCAATACACATAGGATCAAGAGGCAACTGTATTTACAGAATTTACAAAAAGTGCCATACTAATTTAAGAGGATTGGAAAGCCATCACTTATTTCCAATTATTATTAGAGCATGTTTATTGCATGCATTAAAACAAGAAAGAAAATTTTGCGAAACTATTTAATGGTGAAAATACTAAAAAGAACTGATTAGACTAATTATATTTCTAATCATAGAACATGACATAAGCTACTCCAGAAAATGCCTCCAGAACTGGTCCAGCGGAAAGCTTTCCTTCCATTGGCCCACTTTGACCGATGTAAACCACCTGTATTGTCCCTCCAACTTTATCTATTGCTAGCATTATGTCTTCTTTGATGGCTATAGATCTGGGCCAGGATCCCTCTAGGTTAAACTCTTGGGTCAACTCATATGCTCCGGTACTATCCAGCTGATAAACTGCAACTATACCACTTCCTCTGCTTGTAGCATACACTGTTGGTCCTTTAGGAGTAGTAGGACCGACCAAAATCTCTGCTCCAACATCAGAATCAGTAGAGGAGAAGGGTAGCTTTTGTAACAGTAGCAGATCCCCAGTTTCCCCATCATAAGCGTAAACTTCAACAGCGCTCTTCAGCTCCCAGGCTAAGAACGCCAAGTTGTCCGTGGGATGAAGAACCATATGTCGAGGACCCGCTCCATCCTCTACCACAGTCTCTCCTGTCCTCTCCAGCTGGTTTCCATTTATTCTATAATGATAGATACTGTCACATCCCAAATCCACCACCCAAACTAAATCTCCCTTGCGTACTATTTGATGTGGGTGTGAATTGTCTCGGCAGGCCTCATATTCTATCTTCTGAATCACTGCACCCAGTTGTCCATCTTCTAGAGTAACAACTGTTACAGAGCCACCACCATAATTAGCTGTAATTGCTAGGTTATGATCAAGATCAAGTATAAAGTGAGCAGGTCCATTACTTTGCAAACTAACATGTTCTCTTCTCACCAACTGTCCGCTTTCCATCTCCCATCGACTGATCGCGCCACCGGACTCTCCTTCAAAATCATTTGTTTCATGAGTGGCAAAGAATGATTCTCCCTCCTGCTCCATCCATGTTAGGTTAGGATCTACGATCTGGGATCCCTCCCTGGACAAAACTCCATCTGTGAGGGAATAAAACACTAGGTCTGAACCGTATCCAGACGCTAGCACGTTACCAGATGCTCCAGAGGCACGGGGGCTTGCTGTAGCAGACATTGAGGATAAAACCACTGAGGACAAGATGGGGAGATATGTTTTCATTCTTCAGCTATAAATAAAAAAAAACTTTTTAAAATATGAAGAAGCTCAGAAAGGTTTAAAAGAACTTTTAAGATATTAAATAAATTTTAAAATATTTAATCAAGAGAAGGCTTGAATCTTTTCAATAAAGTAAAAACATTATTTTGGCTCATACCAATTGCCCTCATTTCAAAGATGTCAATGCCCGATTCTAAATGATAACCTTGCAGTCAATAATGTAAAGTTTCTAGGATTAAAAGTGTAGAATTCTAATGACTTCTTTATATTTTCCTGCTATAGAAATTCGGAAGGCACTTTTGTAGAAAAACCACCATTGAAAATTCGAATTTTTCAAAATTATCAACATTGACATCTAAGTCATACTTGATCAGACAAAACTTTTAAATGTACCGTTGTGAAGCGGGCATTGTCATCTTTCCAGTGGGGGGTCACTTGAAATTACGCTCACAGTCCCTTTAAGTGTATGTAGGTAAATATAAGTTGGGACAAAATAATTGGAAAAATGTCGTTTTATTTAAAATATTGAATAGTGAAAATCTGAAATAAAAAATGATTTTTTTTTTCATTTATTTCTAATCACAAATATTGAAACAGAAAAATAAACTTATTTTCTTGGTAAGGAATTGAGTCTTTGCCACAAACTCTGATTTTCTAATCCCATCTTATCTTTGCAAAGTATTGTCTTAGCACTTATCAAAGGCTTACACCATCAGATTGCAAAGAAATAGGAATTATAAAATTTGAGTTTGTGGCACAAACTCAATTCATTTGATCTTAAATTTGATTCGCAAATAATTTGAAAAAATGTGGAGTAATAAACAACTCAAGGCTGAAATGCAGTCAAAACAAACAGCTTTTTACTAGTTCTGGTCAGCTATAGTTTCATGCTGCCTCAGTTTCAATTTTGAACAACTTTTTGAACGGTTTTCGAATATGATTTCAATATAATTTATTTTTATAAAATTAGAAACGCATTCAAATCAAAAATTGAATTTACAAATCCATTTCAGAATTTTATTTTACAAATGAAAACTTCTGATAGGTCCTATTTTAAAAACGAAATTAATGTCTTTTAAAGAAATAAATTAATAGAAATTTCGTATAAACAATTGATAATTTATTAACAAAACAGAGAAAAATTGCTTGACGTTGAAGGTTGAAGTTTAAAATATTAAATTAAACCTTGTTATATTCCGATAGATAGCTGTGAACTAATTACATACATTATCTATCAACATCAATATTCAATTATCGTTATCTTTCAAAAACATTTTTTTAATTATTTATTTGTACAGTTATAAAGGAGATTGATAACAGTGTGTAACACTTTCAGTAACCTTTCGTAGGAATTAAAATGAGCTGTATATACAAAAATGGAAAGGAAGACGACATTTGAACAATTTTATTTGTATTTGACGTTGTTTTACAGCAAATATGGGTACCACTGTAATTACCTAGATCCATTGTTTCCTATCGCTGTCTGCATCTAGCTATAGTATTGCTTGAACATTTTCCAGAATTGAATTGGCAGATTTTTCGTGTTTAAAATTGCTTTCTCTTCTGGGCGAAACCACAATTTCTCTTTTCAAACTTCATTAGTGGTAATTGTGTTTAACGATATATTTGTATTTATCAAATGTCGTCTTGACAATTTTCCAATGGTTTTTATACTATTCTACGTAAATCTCAGTATTTGCGAAAATAAATTAATAGCCATGAATATGCAGGAACAGTTTTAAAGAACTTCATATAATCATTTAATTAAAAAACTAAATATCTGCAACATTCAGAAAGTGAAGAATGCGACATTTGATGAATTCTTTCGATGTATTTAATATATATGGTTTAACTGTATAAAACGAGTTTTTCAGGAAAATTTTAACCAGATGTAAGTTCATTGTTTATCATAAAACAGAATTATTGTTTCCACATAGACATTAGGCTGTGAAAAAAGGTTTCATTTATTTTCAATATTATTATATATTTGATCACCAATGACATATATTTGATCACCAATGACATGTATTTGATCACCAATGACTTGTATTTGATCACCAATGACATGTATTTGATCACCAATGACATATATTTGATCACCAATGACATGTATTTTATCACCAATAACATGTATTTGATCACCGATTACATGTATTTGATCACCGATTACATGTATTTGAACACCAATGACATGTATTTGATCCCCAATGACATATATTTTACAATACTGACATAATTTTACGTCAAACAAAAGTATATTAAACGTAATTTTGAAATATTACATGTTTTCAATCATTACTTCTTTTAGTAAAGAGCTGTAAGGGGAAAACACTTTGAAGGTCTTTGATATGTAGCCAAGTATATTTGATTGTACAGGGTGTCCCAAAAAACATGGGAATTCAGTGACGAATTCGATATCGCCTTTGTTATGAATTAGCATTGTAATACCTAATTTCAAAAGCCATAATATTATTATGTCTGCTAGAATTTATTTTATGAAAGGGTAAAAGACTGTAAAAATGTGTCCACGTCTTCTCAAGATGAACAGTGAAGACGGACAATGTTTGTATACTGCAATTTTCTTGTTTTACTAAGTACAACCGTATGCAGTCAAAACATAAACAAATAAAATGTGAACATAGCAGACAAAACTCTCACAGATAACAGCTTTCTCTGTAGGTATTACAATATTAAATGAAAGAATTATTTGAAAAGACGATATCGAATTCGTCACTGAATTCTCATGTTTATTGGGACACCCTGTATCATGCTTATGCGTAAAAGCAAAACATGAGGAGCTACGAGGTCACAAAACCGTGCCAGTTAAATTTGAACTTCTCTTTCTGTTTAGTTCGCAGTGATTTGAACTTAATTGCAAATTAAATAACACAGTTTTAACCAAATCTCACCAAAAAATGCACGGATATAATGCAAGAAAAGTTATTTTAGAGTTGTACGCTTTTTTGTACTGCAGTGTACTGAGTTCGGGCGGAAAAGTAAACACAAGACGGATTCCACAGCCTGACATGGAATCCATTTTCACAAAAATAATCTATAAAATATTCTGGTCATAGGAAACTATTATGTGAATTATCAAAATTATTAGAATTAAAAGCTTTTATCCTCCTCGGATACTAGACGAACACTGATGCATCTATTCTTGTTTACAAAATCTGCCCAGAGAGAACTAGTTTCAATATGTATGCAGAGTATACACAACTTAATTAACTTTCCTTGCATTAGTACCTTGAAAAAATGTATCTTTTTCTTATTTTGATGTATAAATATACAAAAAAACGTTTAGAGCATGGAAGTGATAGATTGATTAAAATAACAAATAGGACACTAGATGTCGTCATTTCAAGAAGTATATTTGTTTCGTTCACAATTACCCTAAGACCAGGGGCTGACACAGGGGGGTGGCGGGGGGACATTCGCCACCCCCTGACAGATTCAGGGAGGGGCGTAGCCCCCCCCCCCTGAGATTTCGAGGCAAAAAATGTGTTTTTCAATTTTTAGCTATTTGATTATTTTTTATTTAATGGAAATATAATAATTAATATTTATTGAAAAATTTAATCATCAGAAGAGAAGGACGAAAAAAATATTTTTCTAGCTTGTTAAAAATAAATATAAGTTTATAACCAACGATGTAAGTATACGACGACAGATCCTGTGTCCGCCCCTGCCTAAGACAGAAGCCCAAAGGGGTTACGCGTATTCTTTGTAGAACAGGCTCTATTTCTGACTTGTTCTATAGTGGCTTCGCTTAACTTCTTTGGGCTTTAGCCTCAGGGTTATTGTCAACGAAGCACAAATAAATCTTGAAAAGACGACATCTAGTGTCCTATCTATTATCTTAATTAATCTATTATATTAGTAATGAAGGGACTGTAGAGGTGATTTTGACTCTTTATTTATGCATGTCCGATTCACAAAGCAAAACCTTTTTATAAACAACAAAAATTAACTTTTGTCGCTCTTCTATCACTTTTATAAAACTAAACTATAATCAATTTTCATTGAGAAAAATAAGTACGACTCATTCATCCTTTTGATCAGACAAAGGTTTTCAATTTGCAATTTGCAATTTGTGAATCAGACATGTTACTTTATCAATAGATGGGGTCACACACAGGAAATTACGTCTACAGACAAGTATTGATGTTTGAACAAAACTACACTGATGTTCTAACTAACCCGGAATAATATTAATTGATTGATAACTTCTCAGTCGTCTTTGATCTTAGAAAAGCTTGCGGCATTCAACATAGGTAACTTGATTTGAGCAATATTTTTTATCTGATTTTATAGACGCTAAACAGAAACAGTTTGCTCTTCCTGAGTTATTTCTTACGGCGATCCAAATTAGTACATTTATTACAGTGATCCAAATTGGTACATTTATTACAGTGATCCAAATTGGTACATTTATTACAGTTATCCAAAGTAGTACATTTATTACAGTGATCCAAATTAGTACATTTATTACAGTGATCCAAATTGGTACATTTATTACAGTTATCCAAAGTAGTACATTTATTACAGTGATCCAAATTAGTACATTTATTACAGTGATCAAAATTGGTACATTTATTACAGTGATCCAAATTAGTACATTTATTACAGTGATCCAAATTGGTACATTTATTACAGTGATCCAACATAGTACATTATTACGTCTAAAGATACAGGGTGACCCATGAAACATGACAGTTGTTGAATAGGTTAGAATGTCTTCTTCCATAATTTGTTAAGTTGTTTGATATCAATTAAAAAACAATACAAATAGTAATGGGAGTCATGTACAGTAAAATTGGTTTCAAAGTAAAATATATTTCAAAAAAAGATTTTTTTAACGAAATAAACTGCAAAAATTCTTTAATATCTAATAAAGTATATGAAATACGACTTTCATAACTATTTACCAACTGTCATGTTTCGTGGGACACCCTGTATATATATAACTGAATACAATATTCAGTTATGTATATCTACAAAATTTCTATACCCCATTCACGACAACTCAGTTTCCGATACTGGGTTTTAAAATTATACCGATGCTCGATTCACAACGGTACCTTTAAGGTCAAGTATGAATCAGATATCAATGTTGATAATTAAATAAAACTGATTATTTTCAATTGGGATTTTTCAACAAAAGTGCACATTTCTACTGCAGGACATATCCTTAAAATATCTTCCACTACTGATCGCTTAAAGGTTCTAAGCAGGGTACCGTTGTGAATCGGACTTTGCAGGGAGGGTCACTTTTAATCACCCTTACAAGTGACAGTCCCTTTAAAAAATCTTTAATCGAGTGAATTCCAAACTTCTTCAGTTAAAATATTTTCTAAAATTAAGCAAACTGATGAGATTGATTTCTCTTAGCTTTATCCTCTTGTTTAGAGTTTAGACTTGGTTTGAACTGTGAACCAATAATACAGATATTCAGAGGAACAATATCTCCTTCAATTAGAGATGGACATCGTTTTTATCAACGAACGAAATTTTTCGTGGAAAAGGGTGTTGCTCAGAAAAAACGAACGATGGACAATCGAAATAAAAACGAATGAAAAAAAACTGGAATAAAAAACGATTGTTCTTTTACTGACCCCACATTTTTTTAGAACAAACGGTTTTGCTGAACGATCATTCAGTGAGAAAAAAACGAAATAAATGGAAAATTAATAATAATTTTGAGAACGCATGAAATCAATTTTTTAAACGTTTGAATAAAACAAACAAAATGGGTTGTTCAGGAACGATGAACGAACAGATTGAAAAAAGTCGAACATGCCCATCTCTACCTTTGATATCCATAGAGTTACCAGAGGACTCACTCACACACTCCCCATTGCACGTGGCGATATTGTTTCCACAGAGGACATTGGTGAGGATCTTATCTTCCTCCCTTCCTCCACCTGCCCTCCCTCCCTCTCTCCCTCCACCAGCCCTGCAGCCCTCCCTACCTCCACCAGCCCAACAGCCCTCCCTACCTCCACCAGCCCTACAGCCCTCCCTTCCTCCGCCTGTTTTGATGGATTTAGAGGATCCTGGACGTAGCTTGAAGCTTACTCCATCATTACGAGATAAGGGTTGATGAATATATCCATCATTTTGACTACAAGGTCCAATTGAGTCATCTCTGTCCTAAATTTAAGATGGATCTCAAATCATTGAAATCTTGAAAAGTTGATCCTCAAAGTTTTCAGAATTTTTCAAAAGTTCCAACGGAAGTTATTTTCCTAGAAAATTTCGAAAAAATTATTTATGCCATGGCATCAGAAAAATGTTTTGAAGAAATGAAATTGCAAGCTTCATGAAACTTTGGTACATATTTTGTTCTAACCGCTTTTAGAGATTTTGAGCTAAAATTTCAGATTAGTGCTCACAATTGGTCCAATTTGAAAATTGAACAGAAATGTGACAGGAAAAATAAAAAAATAAAATATTTCTTGAATTTTCCATTTTTTTTAACTGAGAGGGTTATTTTCAAGAACGAACTTATACAGAATTCAAAAAATTATAGTTTGTATAGATGCCGCATCGTTCATGAAAGCACAATGGACTTAAAGAACGAAAATATCCCTGTTTTCATAATCACTGTTACAAAGTTCTAGCCAGCCACGCTCCCTCTCCGGAACAACTGGACACACTGTGGAAATATATAACAAAACAACCCCAAAATCTACACCTCGATTGATTGATTAACTCAAAATATAAAGCTACATGCAGCTGACTGTTCAGTAAATCTCTATCAGGCAAGATAGGCAGGACGGTCTGCGTCATTGATCCATCTATGATTATCGGATCTAGCTATGTCTACACTACTTACCATATGATGGCTTCCATTGTGTGAGTTCTCTTCAGCCATTTCCGGTTCTGCTTGAGAATGAGATTGTCGCAACTGATGCAGCTGAAACAAAAACAAACAAAAATTCCACAGGAGGGGGGGAAGGCAACCTCCCCTGCACAGCTTCCGAACCTCAATTTACCTATTTGCGGGCTAGGGTTATTAATCGTTTTGGAACACAATCGTTATTTGTTTTGTTTTTTGATCGTTTTCAAAAACGATCGTTTCGTTTTCGGAGAAAAGGCTTTCTCCACATGCAGGTAAGGTAAACGAAGGGTGGGTTTGGGATTACCCTCCTAAAACCAATATGAAATCAATGAAATCAATGAAATCAATGAAATCAATGAAAACAATGAAAGCAAAGAAATCAATCAAATCAATCAAATCAATCAAATCAATCAAGTTATCTACCTGTAGTGCTGTGGAATCCACACGTGCAGGAAATCCTCTTCTATGAACAAAAATATGCATTTTTATAAGAATAAGTATATTAATGGACTGTAAGTGAATTTGAATTGAGGGTCACATGAAGTCACACGTACAGTTTATATATACAGCACTTAACCAAAAAAGTTTCAGTTTTTCATGTTTATGATTATCTCCTCTTCAGTTAACAAACATAATATTTAGATATATAAATATATATATGGCCAAACGACTGCACAGGAAACCCACGCGTCGGGTACTCCGGGGGCAGGGAGGGAGTCCAGAGTTCCTCAAATAGTAATCACCGACACCCAAATCTGTTTTGCGGCAAGCGCGCTCCTCAATTGGTAATCTCCACCACCTCAATTAGTAATTACCGTAAAATTTTGTTTTCTGTGATTTGAATTTAATGCACTTTTAACACAATTTTCGACATCTATCGGGGTTTTATGGCATCTGTATTGACTTAAACTAAATTTTCAAATTATTTTCAGATTTGTTTGGTCAACAAAAACTGAGAATCAAGGCACAGTTCATTTTAGCCGAATCTTAGATCCAATTCGCCACTTTAATGACTTCATTTCTATAAATGTCCTGTCTATGAAATGTCCTGTCTATGAAATGTTCTGTCTATGAAATGTCCTGTCTATGAAATGTGCTATCTATGAAATATCCTATCTATTAAATGTCCATCTTTTAAATGTCTTTCTAAGAAATAACCCAAAACGGGCAACACCGGGCATGATACATGATACAGAATACAGAATACAGAAAACAGAATACAGAATACAGGATATAGAATACAGGACATAGAATACAGAATACAGAAAAGGATACAGAATACAGTACCTGCATTTTAATATGCTGTACACGCTGCTTCCTGATCCAATATAGTAAACAAGGAAGTTGATACTGTACATGTGAATACAACATCAAGTTTGATGTTTTGAAAATGCTATACATTGCGCACGGACCATCAAAAGTTGCAAGAGACTTCGCTCCAACTGTCATTTTTTACTTTTTACAATTCACCCTGTTAACCCTATTTAGCCTGATGTCTGGTGTACCGACTGGCTTCCTGGGGGGAGGTGTCAAATTGACCCCCCCCCCGTGTTTTCTTATTGTGATACAAATATATGACATTTGGAAAGCCCTTGGGCCCTACTTCATTAATCGGCAAAAAAATGGTAAATTTACAACAACAAAAACAATAGTTATTGCGAAATCTAGTTATTATGCAAATAATGTGCCAAAAATGCGCAATTACAACAAATTATAAATTTTTGAAAAGTCCTTGACCCAGCGAATTAAAATGTCCAAAACCATTTGCAAACTTTTTAAAACCTAAATAAAAGTGTACCCAAGAAAAACTGAAAATGTGCAAATTCCCTTCAAAGACGTCTATGAAAAATCTGTGAAAATTTTTTTTGCAAAAATTGTGCAATCTTCTTGATTTTGTTATAGGCTTTCCAAAGAGCTATAAAATGTTGATATCCAATGGCTGGAGTTAGATCTAAATATAGATTTAGTCTGGTGTAGGTAAAATAAAGCATTTAGGCATTATGCTTGAGGACTCAGGCAGTAGCTATAAAATCTAAACTTTTAGCCTTTAGTGAGGGGCATTTGTTATTTAGAAAAGTCTGAAAATTTGAGCTCAAATACTTTTAGAGTTATCGCAAACCTCCCCAGATAGGATTAATATAAATGCTATTAAACGAAGCAGAAAAAAACTATACTGTAATAAGAGGCAAGGGGGAAAATGAATTATTCAATTATGTTAGCCTTATTCATTAATAACCACAATTGTAATTATAACCTAATTAATTATTGTTATATTTTCAGTATATAATCCCAGAGTAATGTGACGAGAATAAATAAATAAACACTTTTTTGATCATTTCCCCCGTTGCAAACCTATTAGCAAGGGTAAATATACTTGCTAGGATCTGAACACATCCTACGTTCAGTCAAGAATGTAAGGCAAGGAAGGTTTATTGCGGTTGTGTACACTCTGCGTACATAATGAAACCAGTTCTCTTTGGGCGGAATTTGTAAACAATAATAGATGCATCAGTGTTCGTTTAGTATCCGAGGACGTTAAAAGCATTAAATTTTGAAAATTTTGATAATTCACATTATAGTTTCCTATGACCAGAATATTTCATTGATTTTTTATGTGAAAGATGGATCCTATGTCAGGCTTTGACATCCGTCTTGTGTTTACATTAGCGCCCAGAGACAGTACACTGCAGTACAAAAGATGTGTACACTTCTGAAATAACTTTCCTTGCCTTACATCCTTGCGTTCAGTACACAAGTTCTTAGCTGGAGAACGAACGGAAACCCAGAAAAGTTGTTTTTAAACTATTTTACGAATTTTACTAAACGTTAAGGAACGTCTGGAAAAAAAATCTAGATACCAATGCTAGACTACTTATGGAATAGAATATGAAGACATCATTTAAGCAATCCTATGTGTTTTAATGTTGTTATACCACTATCTAGATGTTACACAATTATTAAATAAAATAATTTTGTGGATATTGCACAACTGCTGTGATTTATGACATTGGATTATTTTTTAGGCAAAGTTTTAGAGCAAAACATTTGTTTGGAATAGTATTAATTTTAAAATGCATAAACCCATAAAATTGTTAAAAAATTTCTTGAATGTCGCCTTTTTATTCCACAATTTTTGTGGGTCTCACTGTTAAAAAAAAACTTGATGTTGAGTTTCATTTCCTTGAATTGATTGTAATAAGAAGATGAGATACTTCAATCATACCCGGCACCAAACCTGAAAAAAAGGACAAAACATATATATCTTGAATCTGATTATAGCGCGCAAAATCCCCCCCCCCCCCCACACGCACAGAGAGAAACTATTAATGGTGAACTGTAAGCGAGATTTTAAGTAACCGTCTTTGCAAAGATGGCAATGCCTGATTTACAACGGTACCCTTGAAACCTTAATCTGATCAAAAATGTTGAAACCGAAAAGTGTTTAATCCTGATAATTTACTTTTACAGGAAAACCATATATCAAAACATGGAGTTTAGAGATGAGATTTTAAAAGCTTAAACCCGAGTGAAACCCGGTCTTTGCGCCTGTTTAGACCCAAGTAAAGCTCAAGTCAAGACCCAGGTTTTGGATGGCCTTGAGTTTAGTAAAAAACAACCATCTAGGTTTTTTCTCTCTCTAGACTTGAGCCTTGATGATCGTAAATTTCATAAAATCTTTTATATTTTTACATTTAAAATCTCGGAAATATTTGTGGTGTCAAATTTTATTAAATATATAAAATAAACTTACTATAAAAATAATGTATTTACATAAAGTTTGAATTTTCGAAATTTACATCTCCTTTTCACAGATGATCTGACGGCATTCTGTCTGCTACAGAGAGAAATACCTTGCTAAACAGTTTCTCATTGGTCGAATCAGAACCAATCCTGACTTGGGTTCTATCTAAGTCCGAGTTTGGGTTTTACTCGGGTTTAAGCTTTTAAAATCTCATCCCTGATTTAAACTTGGTCAGACAAGGATATGTTTGGTACCGTTGGAGGATCACTTGAAATTAAACTTAGGCCCCCCCCCCCTTCACCACCACCACCACTGAAAACAAACAAACTGTTGACTTAATTCAAGTCGTAGGTGTACACTTTTTACTAAGTAATTTGATAACTATATTTTGGTGGATTTTCTGAAATAATCTTTAATCCTTCAATTTAAATTTTGCACTTGAACATATGAAAAAAGAGACTGCTTAAAATTCGTTTATAAAAAAAGAATGGGCATTTAAAATTATGAAGATGTACAATTCTTAAAAATAATTTAACAAATTGAAAATTAAAATTATTTCTAAATCTACTCCTCAATCTTGTACAATTTACATAGCACATGAAAACATATATGGAGTTTATGTTTTGAAGAGAAATTGGGTGTGAACATTTGATATTTTAAACTTTGGCTATTTCAAGGTTTTATTGAGAGGAAAGTTAATTGCAGTTGCGTATACTCTGCGTAGTGCGTACATATTGAAACTAGTTCTCTCTGGGTGGAATTTGTAAACAAGAATAGATGCATCAGTGTTCGTTTAGTATCCGAGGAGGTTAAAAGCATTAAATTTTGATAATTTTGATAATTCACATAATAGTTTCATGACCAAAATATTTCATTGATTTTTTATGTGAAAGATGGATCCCATGTCAGGCTTCGACATCCGTCTTGTGTTTACATTACCGCCCAGAGACAGTACACTGCAGTACACCTCTGAAATAACTTTCCTTGCATTATAATCTTATTATTATGACCTTATCTACATAGTTTGAAATATCAAAGGCAAGACATCAGAGTGCGAAACTTTAAGCTCATGATTCTTAAGCCTAGCTATAGAGATATATAATACAGAAGTGTTTGAACTCCAAGGTTGTGAAGATATTAGTATTAGTAAATTAGGGTTTGAGACAAGTGTTCAGTTACTTATCTAAGTGACAAAAAATGAAACGTCATTACAAAAATGTTATATCTTTGTCATAACACGAAAAATGTAAGATTTAACAAATTTTTAATTTGCATATTTAAACCAGGATAAAAGTTTATTTTCTAAACACTTTTGAACTAAACAGAAACAATAAAATGTTTTCTCAACATGAAAAAGAAAATGTTTTCTCTCCCCCCCCCCATTCCCCCCTTTGGAAGTTTTTAATTAGAGAGAAAAAGAGAAGCGTATCAATGTACAAAACCTTTAAAATAAATAATCCAGAAAACTGCAAAATGGTTACTACAAAAAAAAAGCTTACCCGGATCTCCCGAAATTATTTCACTGAGGTTTGGAACGAGCTAAAAATAATTGAATTTTTATTATGATCAACTTTATTAGCTTATTTCTGTTTCTGAATCAATGATCCTTAACACCCTGTATTTTAATTTATCTCTACATTAAAATCCCTCTGATCTCACCCTGCCACAGATCACCTGACAATCTCCTTCCTTCCAATCAACTCCTTACCTATCCAAAAACATATTTTGATATGTGTAACCAATTATATTCAGTATCGTTAATAAACTTTGGGCCAACCACTCAAAACAGCCAACCCTGGTTAGGCGGGTCCAAACTGCATAGTTAATTGTGATTGCTTATTTGTAATATCTCATGCTTTGTAGTTGAATAAATATATGAAATATGAATTAAAAATCTTTGTACCTATTTATCTATCTATAAACTTTGCTTGTTTGTCTGTCTGTCTACTTGTTTGTTTGTGTCCAATAAACTTCAAAACGGTTGAACCGATCGGACCCAAATTTTGTGTGGGACCTTGTGTGACCCCAGAGAAGGTTTATGGATGGTCGAATTTTCAAAATTTTGCTTCTAACAAAATTAGATTTTGAAAATTTTGAAAATCCATGCAATTTTTGTTTGTTTTTATTTTTATAAGATGGAAAATCAAATAAAATAAAATGTGGAGATTCAAGGAAAATAAAATATGGAGAATCAAGGAAAATATAAGAGGGAGAATCAAGGAAAATAAAAGAGGGAGATTCAAGGAAAATAAAAGATGGAGAATCAAGGAAAATATAGAATTGAATAATCAAGGAAAATAAAAGATGGAGAAAACTAAGAAAATAAATAATGGAGTGATTATGGAAAAAAGAAAGAAAAATGGCGGGAAAAGGAAATTAGTGGTAAAAGGAAAAATGACGGAAAAAGGAAAATATAAAAAGGCGGAAATTAGAAATGTTGTGGATTTACATTGGACAGGTATATAGGAGGTACTGTCAGTATCCCCAGCTTTAGTTGGGAAAACCGAAAGTAAAAAGAAATATAAAAATAATCAATTCAAATTGGAAAAATGTTCTTGTTCAAACTTTTTTTAGTAAGCTTACTTTTAAAGTATGGCAGACCATAAAGAGAATGACGATGCCTAAAATTGACTCAATCAATAAATCCATAAGAAGTATCTTTGTACATTTTTTTAAACGGATTTTTTAAACCATTTATTTGCCCTTGCACAGTTTGGTTTGGCGGATTTTAGAGTAGAATAAAGAAGTTAAAAATTTATTTATGTTTTGTTTAGATTTTTTATTGATTGATTTAATTTCCTAGAGAAACTCTCGCCATTCGTAGTTCTCGTTGCCTCACCTTGGCATCCCCTGTCCTCCTAACAGAACTAGACGCCTGGATAATATAGAAATAGGAGTAGGAGTAGGAGTAGGAGTAGGGGTAGGAGTAGGAGCAGGAGTAGGAGTAGGAGTAGGAGTAGGAGTAGGAGTAGGAGTAGGAGTAGGAGTAGGAGTAGGAGTAGGAGTAGGAGTAGGAGTAAGGAGTAGGAGTAGGAGTAGGAGTAGGAGTAGGAGTAGGAGTAGGAGTAGGAGTAGGAGTAGGAGTAGGAGTAGGAGTAGGAGTAGGAGTAGAAAGCATTATTTACTAAATGTGTTCTTTAACCTCGATTCAATATTTGAATTGTATTGGTACAACTTTTTTTCCCGTTAAAAGATCTTTAAAAGTTAAAAGTTAGCACAAAATGATGAAAGTTGAACTCGAAAGTGAAAAGGTATATGTAGAAGTTTATGTAAGGTATGTTTGTTTGTTTTATAATATTTCTTCAAATTCAGTTTTTTGAATATGCAGAAATGTAAGCAAAATAATGTTTACCTCGCACAGTCCCTTTAATAATGTTTATCTCGCACAGTCCCTTTAATGATGTTTATGTTGCACAGTCCCTTTAATAATGTTTACAACGCACAGACCCTTTAATAATGTTTACCTCGCACAGTCCCTTTAATGACGTTTACCTCGCACAGTCCCTTTAATAATGTTCACCTCGCACAGTCCTTTTAATAATGTTTACCTCGTACAGTCCTTTTAATGATGTTTACCTCGCACAGTCCCTTTAATAATGTTTACCTCACACAGTCCCTTTAATATTGTTTACCTCGCACAGTCCCTTTAATAATGTTCACCTCGCACAGTCCTTTTAATAATGTTTACCTCGTACAGTCCTTTTAATGATGTTTACCTCGCACAGTCCCTTTAATAATGTTTACCTCACACAGTCCCTTTAATATTGTTTACCTCGCACAGTCCATTTAATGATGTTTACCTCGCACAGTCCCTTTAATAATGTTTACCTCGCACAGCCCCTTTAATAGTGTTTACCTCGCACAGTCCCTGTAATGATGTTTACCTCGCACAGTCCCTTTAATAATGTTTACCTCGCACAGTCCCTTTAATGATGTTTACCTCGCACAGTCCCTTTAATGATGTTTACCTCGCACAGTCCCTTTAATGATGTTTACCTCACACAGTCCTTTTAATGATGATTACCTCACACAGTCCTTTTAATGATGTTTACCTCGCACAGTCCCTTTAATGATGTTTACCTCGCACAGTCCCTTTAATAATGTTTACCTCGCACAATCCCTTTAATGATGTTTACCTCTCACAGTTCCTTTAATGATGTTTACCTCGCACAGCTTCCTGTGAATAATCTTGTTGAGGGAGAAGAGTACAATGAAGGGTAGGATGGTAACCATGATAAAGTGCATCCACAATATATATACCTTGAATATATTTAGTAATAATAATAATAATTTTAGTATTAATAATAATAACAATTATGATGTTGTTACTGTATTTTTTACAATTTATTTTTAAATTAAGAATTTTTAACAAAATTTTAAAAAGAGCAGTGAAATTTTTCTCTGACTTGTATCTTCTTTTTGGCTAATCTGCAATTTTCAATTTTGCCAGGAATATCTGACTCAACTGATTAAAGGTTCAGATTCAAACATAAATTCATCGTTCAATATTCTTAAGGTTGGAGAAAAAAAATTGATTATAATTATATTAATAATGATAATAATAACAATAATATATCCCATGGGAATTCAAAAAAAAATTTGAGCCTTTGTGACTCCAGGAAGCCCAAGGGTTCCCTCAAAAATGTCAGCCAATTTGGCTCAGCTGTTTACCCAGCTGTAGCTAACATATATTGAGCGAAGAGCTTAGTTATATTTATAGATGATAATGATAATAATTATTATAATGATAATAATGATAATAGTATATATTACTAATAATTACCGTAATAAATGTTTTGTTGGACCTGAAGCTAGCAAATTTCAACTGCGGATGATGATCCTGATAAAAGCAATGTTTTGTTTTGTTGTTTTACAGTTAAAAGGGACTGTATCCATTTTTTCAAGTGACCCTAATAGTAAAGTTTTTTTACATTTACGTTTTTTAAATGGTCTATCCATTTCAATTACTTTAAAATATATTTATTTTATTTAAAGAAATTGACCATTCTTTAAAAGATTTACCTCGGTTTCCTTAAAATCTTCATATAATCTATAAAGTGAAAGATATCATCGTTTTCTTAGCTTTAAAAGTGTTCAATTCGAGAAGATTCTCCCCAATGTTTTTGTAGCAGAATACTGCAAGTTAGTTGCTAAAAAATAAGTTATAATTCATGAATATAACATAAGTTCTTACTCATACAAGGCCGTTGTGAATCGAGCCCACCACTGGCTATACGAAGGGTCACTTGAAAGTTCGTCTACAGTCCCTTTAATTAAGGTCCACCTCTGTTTCTGTATCCGTGTACAGGATAAAATAGTTCGGAAGAGTGAAGAGTATAGAGAAGAGGAGAGGCGGAGAAGAGAGATAAAAACAACTTTTCCAGGTTCCATTCGTTCTAAGATATATACAAATCATTAAAGGAACTGTAAACGTAATTTCAAGTGACCCTCCAATGAAGAACGGCATGTCGGATTCACAACAGTATCACTTAGAAGCTTTGTCTGATAAAGTATGTTTTAACTTTTTGAAAACCTTTTTTTTTATTTGTGAGTTCTTCGCTGAAATAGCGACATAAGGATTTCTTGCTTCATAAGCAATGGAGAAATTATCAAATGTAATCTTCCACAGTATTAATCAGATAAAGGTTTCCAGGGTACTGTTGTGAATCAGGCATGCCCTCAATTCACAACGGTACCCTTTAAACCTAAATCTGATCAATAATATTGTCTTTTAAGTTACTAGATGGAAAATTGTATAATTCTAATAGTTTCCTCCATCAGTTCTGAAGCAGAAATTCGCAAGTAACTTTATAGAGAAAGTGCAATTTTAAATAATCAATTTGTAATGAGTTATTGATGGATTTTTCATGCATCTTGATCAGAAAAAATGGCACCGTTGTGAATTGGACATGCCGCTTTAAAAATGGTGACCAAAACTGAAATAAGTGTACACTGTACAGTCCCTTTCAGATTTGTTAAAACAATTAAAATCCCTATCTTAGAATTTTAAAAAAGTATTACTTAAAACAAACTATGATCGGACATTCGTTCATAATTTCCCTCTGACCGGCCAAACGGCGGGAGCGGGACCGAATGGGCTGAAATTTTTTGCGGACACTCATGGGTAGCCCGGGGAGTGATATAGGCTTAAAAAAACTCTTCTTTTTTATAACATTTTTTATCTTTTTCCAATTTGTTTTTCGAAATTTTTTTTCCATTGGTAATAATAAAACAAGACATTCGTGTATATATTCCCTAAAGCCGGCATAACAGCTGGACCGAATGGACTGAAATTTTTTAGGGAACCCTTGACTACCCCGGGGGTAACATAGGATAAATATTAAATTTTTTTTATCGAAACTTTTTTTTCGGAAATTTTTTTTCAATTTGATTTTTAAAAATAAGAAGTTAATTAAAAAAGGATTGCAATTTATAAATGCCTCTTGAACAATTAAAACTATGAAAGTAATGGATCAGATTTTGAAGGGTTTTGTTTTCCCTCATATATTAACTCACTAATACTTTTTTGTAGCGTTAGTCATATATATTTCAAAACTGCACGTTGCAAGGTTTTTGTTTTTAGTTTTAGTTTAAAAGAAGTGAATGGCATAGTACTGTCTGATTAGTTTGTAAAAACATATTTAAGTTTTCATATTACCAATTTAATAAACAACCTAAAGGGACTGTACGCGAAATTTTAAGTGAAACTCCATGGAAATATGGCAACGCCCGATTCACACCGATGCACTTGGAACCATAATCTGATAAAAACAATGGAAGAAATTGTTGTTTTTCCGGCTCAAAAAGTGTTTATTTCTGTTAGCTTCTTTTTTGTATCAACAAGAAATGCGCAAGTAACTTTAGCAGATAAACCAAAAATGAAAATAATCAACATTAAGAAACGCAAACAATGATATCAATTTCAAATGTGATCAGAAAAGGGTTTCAAGAGTACTGTTGTAAATACGGTGTTGTAATCTTTGCAAAGAGGGTCACTTGAAATTACCCTTACAGTCCCTTCAATGTAAGTACTTTACCTATGTCGTAGGAGCGGATGGACTACTGAAATATATCGTTCTAAGGTTAGAGAGATAGTTAGATAAACAGACATCACCATAGTTGTCTAGAATACAAGATAGTTAGATATGTTAGACATCAAAATAGTTGTCTAGAATACAAGATAATTAGATAGATAAACATTACCATAGTTGTCTAGAATACAAGATAGTTAGATAGATAAACATCACCATAGTTGTCTATAATACAAGATAGTTAAATAAATAGACATCACCATAGTTGTCTAGAATACAAGATAGTTAGATAAAAAGGCATACCAATTGTTGTCTAGAATACAAGATAGTTAGATATATAGACATCACCATAGTTGTCTAGAATACAAGATAGTTATATAAACAGACATCACCATAGTTGTCTAGAATACAAGATAGTTATATAAACAGACATCACCATAGTTGTCTATAATACAAGATAGTTAGCTAGATATACATCACCATAGTTGTCTAGAATACAAGATAGTTAGATAAAAAGGCATAACAATTGTTGTCTAAAATACAAGAAAGTTAGATAAAAAGGCATAACAATTGTTGTCTAGAATACAAGATAGTTGAATAAACTTACATCACCATAGTTGTCTAGAATACAAGATAGTTAGATAAACAGACATCACCATGGTTGTCTAGAATACAAGATAGTTAGATATATAGACATCACCATAGTTGTCTAGAACACAAGATAGTTAGATAAAAAAGGCATAACAATTGTTGTCTAGAATACAAGATAGTTAAATAAACTTACATCACCATAGTTGTCTGGAATACAAGATACTTAGATAAAAAGGAATAACAATTTTTGTCTAGAATACAAGATAGTTAAATAAACAGACATCACCATAGTTTTCTAGAATACAAGATAGTTAGATAAACAGACATCACCATGGTTGTCTAGAATACAAGATAGTTAGATATATAGACATCACCATAGTTGTCTAGAATACAAGATAGTTAGATAAAAAGGCATAACAATTGTTGTCTAGAATACAAGATAGTTAAATAAACAGACATCGCCATAGTTTTCTAGAATACAAGATAGTTAGATAAACAGACATCACCATGGTTGTCTAGAATACAAGATAGTTAGATAGATAGAAATCACCATATTTGACTAGAATACAAGATAGTTAAATAAACAGACATCACCATAGTTGTCTAGAATACAAGATAGTTAGATAAAAAGGCATAACAATTGTTTTCTTGAATACAAGACAGTTAGATAGACAGACATTACCATAGTTGTGTAGAATACAAGATAGTTAGATAGATAAATAACACCAAAAATGTCTAGAATACAAGATAGTTATATAAACAGACATCACCATAGTTGTCTAGAATACAAGATAGTTATATAAAAAGACATCACCATAGTTGTCTAGAATACAAGATAGTTAGATAGATAAACAACACCATAAATTTCTAGAATACAAGATAGTTATATGAACAGACATCACCATAGTTGTCTAGAATACAAGATAGTTAGATAAAAAGGCATAACATTTGTTGTCTAGAATACAAGAAAGTTAGATAAAAAGGCATAATAATTGTTGTCTAGAATACAAGATAGTTAGATAAAAAGGCATAACAATTTTTGTCTAGAATACAAGATAGTTATATAAACAGACATCACCATAGTTGTCTAGAATACAAGATAGTTAGATAGATAAACATCACCATAGTTGTCTAGAATACAAGATAATTTGATAAACTGACATCACCTTAGTTGTCTAGAATACAAGATAATTAGATATACAGACATCACCATAGTTGTCTAGAATACAAGATAGTTAGATATACAGACATAACCATAGTTGTCTAGAATACAAGATAATTAGATAGATAAACATCCCCATAGTTGTTTAGAATACAAGATAGTTAGATACATAGACATCACCATAGTTGTCTAGAATACAAGATAGTTAGATATACAGACATAACCATAGCTGTCTAGAATACAAGATAATTAGATAGATAAACATCACCATAGTTGTCTAGAATACAAGATAGTTAGATATACAGACATAACCATAGTTGTCTAGAATACAAGATAATTAGATACATAGACATCACCATAGTTGTCTAGAATACAACATAGTTGTAAACGCGCAGATGGGCAAATATTAAAGGGAATTGCCGTGAATTGTAGTTCCCTTTTTTAAAGATAATACATTGTATATTAACTAAACACTCCCTTTAAATACCTGTGCTAGGGGAAGTGTATAAGGAAGGGTGTATTTGTACAGGGTTTCAGCAAATTCTAAAAAAAACATATGTTTGTGATAATTAAAAATTAGCATTTTTTCCGAAAAGAATGATTAATGTCCATCAGTAATAAAGGGTTGATACAGGGTTCGCCACAAATGATGACGTTTCAGAGACGACTGTACGGAATGTATAGTACCTGTGTATAGCAGTGGAAGGGAGAAGGATAGAAGGGAGAATAGAAGGTACAAAGTATCAGTTACAGCCAGCTGCATTAACAGTCTAAATAAAAATATTTGGTAACAACTATCTGAAATATATTTTCATCATTTTTTATATTTTTTAGCCTTTTTAACCCCCTGGATACCCATGGGTTCCCTAGAAAATTGTCAGCCAATTTGGTCCTGCAGTTTGGCCAGCTATAGTTAACATATTTATACATTTCCATTTTCAATTTCACATTTTATATGGCAAAGAACTGAATTTTATATGATTTGTTTCATGCTATGTTTCATGATATTAAATATATATATATATATATATATGGCAAAGCATGAAACTATATATAATTTGTTTCATGCTATGTTTCATGATATTATATATATATGGCAAAGAACTGAATTTTATATAATTTGTTTCATGCTATGTTTCATGATATTAAATATATATATATATATATATGGCAAAGCATGAAACTATAGAACTGAATTTTATATAATTTGTTTCATGCTATGTTTCATGATATTATATATATATATATATGGCAAAGCATGAAACTATATATAATTTGTTTTATGCTATGTTTAATGATATTATATATATAAATATATGGCAAAGAACTGAACTATAATTTGTTTCATGCTATGTTTTATGGTATTATACATGTAATAAATATCCCCGAGTACTATATCAGGGAAACCTGATACCTTATCTATATTCCTTCTAATAACTATTATCATCATTTTATGCACACTTCGTAACCAAATAAAAGATTAACTTTATCGTTCATGAACCTTGTAAATATATATAAATGTGTCCTAGTTGGGTGCCCGCTACGCCGGTCACCCTATTTGACCTGTAACCTTATGTTTAAAAAAATAGTTAGTTAAGTGTAAAACCTCGCGTTGAATAGACCTGGCTTAAACCCTAGGTAGAGAAGAAAGAAATACAGTGCTTTTTCTGTAGTTAAGATTGATTTAGAAAGACTGGCGTTATGTGACATATATATTTATGGCAAAGCATGAAACATAATGTATAGTTTAGTGCTTAAAAAATTCCCGTGATTACAAAATAAAATTTTCTCAGTGTGATAAAATCTACAACAGTACAGTTTTGAAAAGCCCTTGGTCTCTACCTCAATAATCTGCAAAAAAACTTGTCTTATGGGCTTTACACAGAGCCAATGACTGGAAGTAGGTCTAAATATGAATTGAGTCTGGTTTAGCTAAAGTAAAGCATTCAGGTAGTATGCCTTAGGACTTGTTATAAGTTGGTGACACTCTATTAAGAAAAATAAAAAAATTAGTTACTCAAAACAAACACATCATAAATAATATGGAAAATAAAAAGTATTATTCAACCCTATCCCGGTTAGGTTATTTTTGTCTATCAAAGGCCCCGGGGAGGTATGTTTTCCAGTCCCCCCCCCCCATGATTTAGCCCTTAAAGTTGAGATAACGGAGTGTGAAACATGTCCTTTGTTCAACTATTCAAGGCAAGCTCATTAAAAAAATTACATCTCAAACTTTAATAGTTAGGGTGCAAAAAAGGATTTTTTTAAATTCAAAAAGTACGTCGGTAAATTTTTTAAAAATAATTATTTTTAATCTAATAGCTGAATTAATAAAAAAGTTTTTAAGTAATTTAGAAGAAAAACACGAGGGGTTTAGTTTGCTGAAAATATTTTCTTTTCTGAAACCTAAGGTTTATTGACTTCAACAATCAATTTATTTAGCATTGGTTTAAGAATGTCACTGACAAAGGATGGATTATTGGAGATATTTTTCAGACTCTGCAGGAGAAAAGAATGAATGAAAAATTCCTCAATAAAACAAGGTATTTCAAGTGACCCTGCATTTATAGAGCAGGGTCTTTCTGATTCACAACGATAGCGCACGGGCAGCCGTAGTACATTTGAATTTCCGAGCCGGGTCAACTTTTCCGTTGACAGTTTGTACTGTACCTAGCTCTGTGGACAGGACTAGCCGGTGCAACAAGGTTGACGCGGTCTGACTTTATGCTTCATATAGGTTGAATTTACTAATACTAAAGGGGCAGAGGTGCGTGAGCTATCGAGTTTCATTTGAAGAATTATTGGGAATAGTTCATTTAAAAACGATTTATATCCATACGGCAATTAAAAAGAAAATACAATAGCAATTTAACATTTTTTAGAATTTTGTTAATACGTTCCCGCATTTCCATCTACTGACGTTTTTGCTAAGAATTTAACGGTTTTTTTCATGTTTTTAGAAGAAAAAATAATGACAATTTGGATTTTTTTGGACTCTTACTAATCTATATTTTTGGCTAGTTTTCCAGGGATACAAAATAATTTACTGGGACATAAATAGTTTACTAGGGATATAAAATAATTTACTGGGGATATAAAATAATTTACTGGGACATAAATAGTTTACTAGGGATATAAAATAATTTACTGGGGATATAAAATAATTTACTACGGATATAAAATAATTTACTGTGGGGATATTAAATAATTTACTACGGATATAAAATAGTTTACTAGGAATATTAAATAATTTACTAGGGATATAAAATAATTTACTGGGAATATTAAATAATTTACTGGGGATATAAAATAATTTACTGGGGATAAAAAATAATTTACTGGGGATATAAAATAATTTACTGGGGATATAAAATAATTTACTGGGAATATTAAATAATATACTGGGGATATAAAATAATTTACTGGGGATATAAAATAATTTACTAGGGATTTAAAATAGTTTACTAGGGATATAAAATAATTTACTGGGAATATTAAATAATTTACTGGGGATATAAAATAATTTACTGGGGATATAAGATAATTTACTGGGGATATAAAAAATTTACTAGGGATTTAAAATAGTTTACTAGGAATATTAAATAATTTACTGGGGATATAAAATAATTTACTGGGAGTATACATAGTTTAATAGGGAGGATATAAAATAATTTACTGGGACATAAATAGTTTACTAGGGGTATAAAATAATTTACTGGGGGTTTAAAATAATTTATAAGGGGTATAAAATAATTTATTAGGAATATTAAATAATTTACAAGGGGTATAAAATAATTTACAAGGGGTATAAAATAATTTACAAGGGGTATAAAATAATTTACTAGGGATATAAAATAATTTACTTGGGATATAAAATAATTTACTGGGGATATAAAATAATTTACTGGGGATATAAAATAATTTACAAGGGGTATAAAATAATTTACTAGGGATATAAAAAATTTACTGGGGATGTTAAATAATTTACTGGGGATGTTAAATAATTTACAAGAGGTATAAATTAATTTACTAGGGATATAAAACAATTTACTGGGGATATAAACTATCTGTCTAAAGTGATGTAGATTACCTATGGAATAGTCTCTGGGTTCGTTGGCGGATGAAAAAGCAAACAGATAGAACATTTAGGATAATTCCACATACTCCTATTCCAGTCATCAGTACTCCCTCCACCAGATAGATAAATATCTAAACATCACGGGTATATAAAGGTTCAATCCTCAGCCCAAAAAACTGAGACTTTCAATCCCAATTTCTCGTGTTAAATATATTTTTTTCGCCTTTCTCTTTGTGTATATGCTCTCTGAATCGAAAAAGTAAAAAAAAACTCCACAAGTTTAAAGATTGTTGAATTATAGACGAAAACGTGATAGAATTTAGATAAAAGTACCCAATTGCATCTCGGCATCATTCCACCATTGCTTTTATAACAAGAAATCCGTAGGTAAAATTTAAAGAGAATTCAAAATTGAAAATAAACTAATTTCAAAGAAAAATCTTGAAATTACGTAATTAAACTGTGTGTTTCATCAACTTTTCGATGACATTTATATTTGTTTTCCAGTTCAAATGCCATAGATTTTAAAGGTTAGTTTGAGTGTCTTTACAAAAGAAAAATTTAGATATAACCGTTATCATATGGTGATAGGCAATTCGACTTTCGATTTCAATTTTGATTTATGTCAAGCTTTTAAACAGCATGGATAAACAAAAACATAGAAGCAAAGAAAAATTATCTATTTAAAAATTTTCTCTTTAATTACTTGTAAACTTGCGATTCGAAAAGAGCTTGTTAAAAATTAAACTTTTTTTAAAAATGTCCTCTTTATTAAGTGCACCGGAGAAGATCAAGATATGAACGTGAAGATTACAAAATAATGCAGGGTCACCCACAAAGGATAAGACTTTAGATACGACTGTACGGCATATAAACTGTCTGTTTCCTTACAAAACCGGTTTTCTGCAATTGTAAACTTTTTTAGATGACTAATTTAAACTTTGAATTTTCCTAATTTATGAGTTTCAGGCCGTCTAAACAGTCTCATCATTTGTGGGTAACCCTGTAGGTAGGATATCTTATAGACTGGACATTCATAGATAAAAAATTTCAATTGAAAATGACTTTTTTATAGAAAGGACATTTTATAGATCAAACATTTCATAGAGAAGACATTTAATAAAACAGACAATTCAAAGACAAATAAGATTTTGTTTTCTGTTTTCGTCAAATGGCTGTCGAAAACCTTAAAGTGTAACACTCAATTGTCAAGAATTTCTTTTAAATAATTGATAAACTGATTGATTGATTGATTGGTTGACTGATTTATTGTTAATTGATTGATTGATAATTACCTCTTTAGCCTGGCCTGCGGTGCCAGGGTGCATAATGTTGACATCTTCCACAGGTTCCACTCCTGAACTCTAAATAATAAAGTGAGTTAACGCCATTACTCCAGTACTCTACGTAATAAAGGGAGTGAACGCCACTACTCCTGTACTCTACGTAATAAAGGGAGTTAACGCCACTACTCCAGTACTCTACATAATAACGGGAGTGAACGCTACTTCTCCTGTACTCTACATAATAAAGGGAATGAACGCCACTACTCCATTACTCTACATAAAAAAGGGAATGAACGCAACTACTCCTGTACTCTACATAAAAAAGGGAATGAACGCAACTACTCCTGTACTCTACGTAATAAAGGTAGTTAACGTCACTACTCCTGTACTCTACGTAATAAAGGGAATGAACGCCACTACTCCTAGTACTGTGAATTTCTTAAGAATTTACGGGTAAATGTTCCAAAGAAATTTTAGTAAATTTCTTGTGAAAAAATTTGGAGAAATTCACAAAAAAAATTTCAAAAATCTGGGGAACAATTTTCAACAAACTTCTCAAAACTGTCCAGGGAATTAGTTACAAGAACTTGTTTTTTGACAAATTCCATGGAATTTCTTCAAAGTTCTTCACAAGAAATTCTCCAGATTTGGTTATAAGAATTTCTCCAGAATTCGTTAAATAAATTCTTCAGAATCAGTTGCCGGAAATAAACTGAAGAAATACCTTGTTCTCAATAAACTGAAGAAATACCTTGTTGTCCTTCATAAACTGAAGAAATACCTTGTTGTTCTCAATAAACTGAAGAAATACCTTGTTGTCCTCAATAAACTGAAAAAATACCTTGTTGTTCTCAATAAACTGAAGAAATAACTTGTTGTTCTAAATAAACTGAAGAAATACCTTGTTGCTCTCAATAAACTGAAGAAATACCTTGTTGTTCTCAATAAACCGAAGAAATACCTTGTTGTTCTCAATGAACTGAAGAAATACCTTGTTGTTCTCAACAAACTGAAGAAATAACTTGTTGTTCTCAATAAACTGAAGAAATACCTTGTTGTCCTCAATAAACTGAAGAAATACCTTGATGTTCTCAATAAACTGAAGAAATACCTTGTTGTTCTCAATAAATTGAAAAAATACCTTGTTGTCCTCAATAAACTGAAGAAATACCTTGTTGTCCTCAATAAACTGAAGAAATACCTTGTTGTCCTCAATAAACTGAAAAAATACCTTGTTGTTCTCAATAAACTGAAGAAATACCTTGTTGCCCTCAATAAACTGAAGAAATACCTTGTTGTTCTCAATAAACTGAAGAAATACCTTGTTGTTCTCAATAAACTGAAGAAATTCTTCCAATATTGGGTCTTCAGGGACAAAACTAGACCTAGAATTAAAATTATTTAATCAATTAATCAATCAATTAATCAATCAATCAATAACATCAACAGATCAATAATCAATTAATCAATTATCAATATTATTTGTTTATTAAGAAATTCCAATGACAAATAAACCAGGGTCACAACTTTTGTGTCGTGAATCTGGGGATCAAGCATTAATCTCAACCTGGGAATTAAGTTAGTTCCTTTTCGGTATCCCGTTGTGGTCAAGTCAATCAAACACATGCAGGAATAATTTAAATTGAGAATACACTACACAAAAGTTCCGGCTCCTGGTTGCAAAACTTTATTCAAAAGTTGACACTTGTAGTCAGTAGATGTAGAGCCAAACAATATTACGGTGCCAGAGCTGAAAACTTTAGAATGAGATATCCTTAATTTACGATTGCTTAATCTGATGTACACAATTTTTATTTTCTTTTTATAATCCTATTTTTGGATATTTCTTCTGTATAAAAGTTACGTTTCATACTATGCTATATCGATTGGACTAATATCCGATTGAATTAAAGTCAGTTGTTCACAAGCCAGCTTTTAAACAAATATTTAATCATGTTAATATAAAATTATTAAAAAAAATATATTAGGACAATTGTCATTTTGAACGTTAGTCTTAATAAACATTAATCCAAAACTTACGTTCGTTCAATCGATGTTTAGTTCACCTAACATGATACCATCAACACCAGAAATCAAAACCGGTTTTTCAAAAGTTAAAGAGTACATCTTAACGCTGATTGGTTAGATTTTTAACTTCTTTCTTGGATATCGAATGCGTTTTAAAATAATCTTGGGTTTAGTAAAACCAGGAGTTTAAGCATTAATCTTGATATCCACCATTCTAAAGTTTTTTGCTCTGTCTCTTTAAATCAGGATATGCATTGATCTTGATACCCACAATTCTAAAGTTTTCAGCTCTGTCTCTTTAAACCAGGATATAAGCATTGATATTGATATCCACAGTTCCACCCCACCTTTACTCAGTTCCACCCCACCTTTACTCCTGTCAACATGTATACATATACCGGCTGCAGTACAATCTGTAAGCTGAATCAGTTGAATTACACCTTATAGTTACTATGGAACTCAGACAAAGGATCCTAGACTTGTATCATCAGTTTTCTCTATCAGGCCTAGATGTTTCACTAAACCTGTGGTATAGGGGAGGTCAGGAGTTTTTCACACTCACGAATTCTCCTCTATCCTTGTCCGGGGATTCTCTGTCATCAGGATGGAACCAGGAGAAACAAAAAACACAAACTCAGATTCGAAACTTAAGGAGAAGGATAAATAGAAGAAAAGAAATCCTGAGGCCCGTAAATGGAACCCCCGGAGCAATTTCTTTAGCAGTTCCTGACCTTGGAACAGGTTCCAGTACAGCCGAAGCCCCTAGAATGGTTCTATCCAAAAAAAGAACCAGCAGTAAAGGTTTCAGCCAGTTAGGACCCAAAAGAACAGGTGCAGGTCAAGGAGGAACACTTAAAGCAGTTTCTGATAGCACAGGAACCCCTAGAGCGGGTTCTACTGGAAAAAGAACAAGAGCAAAAGTGGGGGATTTCTATGCCTGCTTTGTCTCAAAAGATTCCAGCACAAAAGGATGTGATTTGGTTCATGCACATTCGAGAACTGATCTTTGTTTAATAGACAGTGAAAATATATAAATGTAAAATGTCATTATAAACATGTATGTTTAGTATATACACATATTTTTAAACCAATAATGTTTTATGTTATAATTCTACAAAATAAACATTTAGATCTTAAAAAAAGATATCCACAATTCTAAAGTTTTCAGCTCTGTCTCATTAAACCAGGATATAAGCATTGATCTTGATATCCACCATTCTAAAGTTTTCAGCTTTGTCTCATTAAACCAGAATATAAGCATTGATCTTGATATCCACCATTCTAAAGTTTTCAGCTCTGTTTCATTAAACCAGCATATAAGCATTGATCTTGATATCAACCATTCTAAAGTTTTCAGCTCTGTCTCATTAAACCAGGATATAAGCATTGATCTTGATATCCACCATTCTAAAGTTTTCAGCTCTGTCTCATTAAACCAGGATATAGGCATTGATCTTGATATCCACCATTCTAAAGTTTTCAGCTCTATAGCTTTAAACCAGGATATAAGCATTGATCTTGATATCCACCATTCTAAAGTATTTTGCTCTGTCTCTTTAAATCAGGATAAGCATTGATCTTGATATCCACAATTCTAAAGTTTTCAGCTCTGTCTCTTTAAACCAGGATATAAGCATTGATATTGATATCCACAATTCTAAAGTTTTCAGCTCTGTCTCATTAAACCAGCATATAAGCATTGATCTTGATATCCACCATTCTAAAGTTTTCAGCTCTGTCTCATTAAACCAGGATATAAGCATTGATCTTGATATCCACCATTCTCTTTGTCTCATTAAACCAGCATATAAGCATTGATCTTGATATCCACCATTCTAAAGTTTTCAGCTCTGTCTCATTAAACCAGGATATAAACATTGATCTTGATATCCACCATTCTAAAGTTTTCAGCTCTGTTTCATTAAACCAGCATATAAGCATTGATCTTGATATCCACCATTCTAAAGTTTTCTGCTCTGTCTCTTTAAACCAAAAAATACAAATGGTGACCTTTAAAAGATTAAAATGAATATTTGATACACGTGCATTACAAGTCGCATATAAAAAAATAATATCTGAAAATAACGTATGAAAAGAATTTTATATTTGTCTGCAGGGTTACCCACAAAGAATGAGACTCCAGAGAGGACTGTATGTAATTTATACTATCTGTTTCCTTCTATTCATGATTCACTGCAACTGCAGTACTCTTCTTTCTTTCGTTGCCAATCCTTTCATAAGGCATTTAAAACCCCATTCAAGGCAGTATTTTTAATTCAAACTTGGTTTCCTATTTGAAGCATTTCAATTCCTTTTAACAGTCTCTTTCTTTGTGGGTAACCCTGCAGTAAAATATAAAATTATTTTTATATATAAAACCCCTTAATCTGTAAAAGTAACTACAAAACTTTAACACAAAATGTAAAGAAACTTAAATTCCAAAAAAGTTTTAGAAATATAAATTTTGATCAACATTGATCAACATGAAAACTTATTTTGCTGTCTAATTTGGATCTAATATAGGAAATTTAATGAAGCAAGGTACTAATGCAAGGAAAGTTAATTACAGTTGCGTATACTCTGCGTACATATTGAAATCAGTTCTTTCTGGGCGGAATTTTTGAACAAGAATAGATGCATCAGTGTTCGTTTAGTATCAAAGAAGGTTAAAAGCATTTAATTTTGATAATTTTAATAATTCACATAATAGTTTCCTAAGAACAGAATATTTCATTTATTTTTCACGCGAAAGATGGATCCCATATGAGGCTTCGACATCCGTCTTGTGTTTACATTACCGCCCAGAGACAGTACACTGCAGTACAAAAGATGCGTAAACTTCTGAAATAACTTTCCTTGTGTTATTACCTTGAAATGAAGCAACCCTTAATTTTATTATGATCTTACGCAAGTCAAATGTACTCTAAGTAAATTCTAAATTCTTAAAGATCGGATGGTTTCAGCGCAGGGGCGCATACAATATATTATACATAGGGGGTAAAATCCTCAAGGAGGTTAAGCCCCTCCCCCCTGACTTCTAGAGGGTCCATCAATTGCGTTTAGAGTTCTAATATTTCCAAATAAAATAAAAGTATTAAATTTTTACAAAGAATGTACTTGTTTTAAAGGGGAAAAAGGCAGAAGTGTTTTATTAAATTCTAGAGTACCGTTCAATTGTTCTTAAAGTTATAATATTTCTAAATATTAAAATTTATTCGGTTTATGTACAGGGTCCCCAACAAAGAATAGGACATAAAAGACGAAATATCTTTTTCAGCATTGATACATTTTTTAACGTATTCAGTATCTGCAAATTAAAAGCATTAAATTAATAATACAGTTTGACCCACAAGGAATGAGCCTTAAATTGTAAAAAGTCACGACATTTTGCAGAAACCCTGTAGTTAAAACCGGTTTTAAGGGGACCTATTGGTCTCATTCTTTTTGGGAAACCCTGTAGAAGTATATACGTACAGGTCCAACAGTTCCAAATTCATTTTCAGCACTGAACACCCTTCTCCTCTTAAACGTATTTAACCATTTTGTCTGAAATTGAATATAGAGTAAAAACATTTAAACGTTGAGAAATGAAAATGTTCGTCTCCAAGTAAAATGTGCAATGGATATCTTTAGTTAAAGGAACCGTTCACTTAATTGGGTAATTTCAGGGTAAACTAAACAGCCTATTCGCTCTTGATTGGTAATAGTCTTACTTTTCAAAGACAACTGTGGCCGGAGAAAAAGCAGATTTTTCGTTCAGAATTCCAGCGCAAAGAGACGGTCCCTCTCTATAGACACTATTTGATGTGTTCGTTATTATGTACTTATAAAATATGAAAACTTTTGATATTTGAGTTAGCAAGAAATTTACGTTTTTCGTATTAAAACATGTAAAATGTGTATACAAAGACGACGTCTCTACGACAATCAATTAATCATTACTCGTATTTTGGTTCGTATGATTTTGTAGATTTTGTTCCCGCATGTGCACAACTTTTCATTTGTCATGCCGCGTTCAATTCAGCTTTTTACACAGGCAATACACAATTTTGAATGCAATAAAATAGTGTTATTTTAGAAATAGAAAGTTAAAAAACAAAAAAATAAAAAAATAATGACATTTACAATTAACGATTAGATACTACAGTTTAATTTTATAATCGAAATTTATTTTGATTCACAACATACTGATAAAAACATCAATTAGTGAGTGTCTATAGAGAGGGACCGTCCCTTTGCGCTCGAATTCTGAACGAAAAATCGGCTTTTTCTCCGGCCACAGTTGTCTTTGAAAAGTAAGACTATTACCAATCAACAGCGAATAGGCTGTTTAGTTTACCCTGAAATTACCCATTTAAGTGAACGGTCCCTTTAAGTTTTCAAAGGCAATGGACAAGATATAATAAAAAGCAACGTGCACAAAAATAATTTTAAAAAGTAATAAAAAGCGAGAATTAGATAATCGGACTCCTGGTAAGTGGAACGAACCTTTGATAGCGGACGGGTTGGACCTGGATAGATACATTTCAAGAACTTGTTATGGAGTAGGTGTTTATTACATTCACTCTTCAGTTTAAGATTCTAGTGGGGGGGGGGGGGTTACGCTACCTCCCCCTTGAACTTACATTGATAAAGAGACATGTCAAATTCACGACAATACCCATTAAAGCTTTATCTGATAAAGTATGGATTAGATATCCATGTTTTTGTTTTTGAAACTGCTAATTTTCTTATCTTGTCTTACACAGGTTTCAAAATTACGACAACATTCCCTTTTATCAATAAAGAAAAATTTTAAAAAAATGTAAATAAAATACGTACTTTCTAATACAAAGAAAGAAAAAGAAGTTTTACTTAATTTTCTCCGTGGCTCATATTCCAAATTATATTGTTAAACAAACAGTGCTGTTGTAGATACAGGATTGGTTTAGTGTATCCTGTAACAGAATCAATTATACAGGGTGTATTCTGGAGCAGAATCAATTCTAGAGGGTGTATCCTGTAACAGAATCAATTATACAGGGTGTATCCTGGAACAGAATCAATTATACAAGGTGTATCCTGGAACTGAATCAATTATACAGGGTTTATCCTGGAGCAGAATCAATTATACAGGGTGTATCCTGGAGCAGAATCAATTCTACAGGGTGNTCTTCATTAACATCTTCTTCATCAACGTCTTTTTCATTAAGATCTTCTCCATAAAGATCTTCATCTTCAACATCTTCATTATCAACAAATTCAGCATCAACATCTTCATCATTAACATCTTCTCCAAAAAGATCTTCATCATCAACATCTTCATTATCTACATCTTCATCATCAATATCATCAACATCTTCATCACTAACATCTCCATCATTATTATTGCCGACTACAATTCCATCCATTTGTTCTGCATCGCCCTCTGAGTACTGTTCAGAGTCAGAATGGTGTTTACGGTTAGAGTAGTAATGGTCATCATGTGCAGGTGATTGAAAGTCGTCTTCCGGCATCTCATTAGCGCCATCGTACAGCTCGAAATATTCTACATCTTCACTAAACATGACAATTATACAGGGTGTATAAGAGAATACTTGAAGGGACAGTGTTATCTAACAAAGTTCATAGATTTAAATATCAAAGGCTGCACTGATCAAGGACTAAGAAAATGTATACAAATTATAATTATATATTATATATAGCTCAAGTGCCCGGCGTTACCAGTGGATTTTTTAAAATCGAATTTTGAAGAAAAAAATTTATTTTGAAAAAAAACATTCATACAAATATAAATTATTGGCAGGCGTTGGTGACTAAGTTGACTAATTGACTTGTAGACTCATTGTTTAGTTGACTCGTTGATTCATTGGCTCATTGTTTAGTTGACTCGTTGATTCATTGGCTCATTGTTTAGTTGACTCGTTGATTCATTGGCTCATTGTTTAGTTGACTCGTTGACTCATTGGCTCATTGTTTAGTTGACTCGTTGACTCATTGACTCATTGTTTAGTTGACTCGTTGATTCATTGACTCATTGTTTAGTTGACTCGTTGATTCATTGGCTCATTGTTTAGTTGACTCGTTGACTCATTGACTCATTGTTTAGTTGACTCGTTGACACATTGACTCATTGTTTAGATGACTCGTTGACTTATTGGCTCATTGTTTAATTGACTCATTGACTCGTTATCTCGTTGTTTAGATGACTCGTTGACTCATTGACTCATTGTTTAGTTGACTCGTTGACTCATTGTTTAATTGGCTCATTGACTCGTTAACTCGTTGTTTAGATGACTCGTTGACTCATTGACTCATTGTTTAATTGACTCATTGACTCGTTGACTCGTTGTTTAATTGACTCATTGACTCGTTGACTCGTTGTTTAGTTGACTTGTTGACTAAGCTCTTTAACTCGGACACAAAAGTTGCAAATATTCACAATATTCCTGGGGGATGGGGGGGGGGGGAAGGAGATAGATTTATGGTCAAAAAATATATATATTTGAGAGGGGTTTAGGAGATAGATTTATGTGTAAACAAATATATGTATATTTGAGCGAAAAGCTTTATTACATAGATATATAATACATAATAAGATCAAATAGATACATAATTGTTAATTGTAAAAAGTAGCTGATCAATCCAAGGTACTAATCTATTTATCAAGCGTACTGTTCCTTTGGTCAGTAGACGTATAATTCATCTGAAACAAAAATTTCAGTGAACCTTTCGCTTATACCTAAGATATATTTAATTTTCTATTTTTCCTTTGTTTTCTTTGTATTTTCTCTTCTGGCACTTTACTGGACAAATCCTGAAAATCTTTAAATCAAACAGCTTACCAATCCTACTCATCCAACTAATCCTACCCATCCTACTCATCCTACTCATCCTACTCATCCTACTCATCCTACCCATCCTACTCATCTTACTCATCCTACTCATCCTACCCATCCTACTCATCTTACTCATCCTACCCATCCTACCCATCCTACTCATTCTACTCATCCTACTCATCCTACCCATCCTACCCATCCTACCGATTCTACTCATCCTACTCATCCTACTCATCCTACTCATCCTACCCATCCTACTCATCTTACTCATCCTACTCATCCTACTCATCCTACTCATCCTACTCATCCTACTCATCTTACTCATCCTACTCATCATACTGATTCTACCCATCCTACTCGTCCTACCCATCCTACTCATTCTACTCATACTACTCATCATACTGATTCTACCCATCCTACCCATCCTACTCATCCTACTAATCCTACTCATCCTACTCATCCTACTCATCTTACTCATCCTACTCATCCTACTCATCCTACTCATCCTACTCATCCTACTCATCCTACTCATCCTACTCATCCTACTCATCCTACTAATCCTACTCATCCTAATCATCCTACCCATCCTACTCATCCTACTAAGCCTACTCATCCTACTCATCCTACTCATCCTACTCAGCCTACCCATCCTACTCATCCTACACATCCTACTAATCCTACTCATCCTACTCATCCTACCCATCCTACCAATCCTACCCATCCTACCCATCCTACTCATCCTACCCATCCTACCAATCCTACCCATCCTACCCATCCTACCCATTCCTCTCATCCTACTCATCCTACCCATCCTACACATCCTACTCATCCACTTTGGCTCCGTAATAAATGAGGTAGTTGTGAAAAATCCATTGAACATTATTAATCAATATTCCAATAAATGAAAGGTTTAGATCAGCAATTAGAAAAAAATTCTTAATAAAAAAACATAAGTTTTGAAGAAGGATTTACAAAAAAAACACAGCTCTTTTTAAACAGTATAATCGGTAATTAATCAATGGGGTTTTAACAATTTTACTTGGATTTGAACTTTATTTTTTATAATCCGTTTCATAAAAGCTGTATCACTAGGGCCGTACTTTATTAGTGGAAGATGATTTCACGTAATTTACATGCGGAAACAAATAGATTTTAGGGTGCTTTTAAAGGCGTTTAGTGAAAAAGGGAAAAAAGACGATACTTAAATGATTTAAAGAGTATAACGTTGAAACAGTTTATAAAAAATACATTTTACTACTACATTACTAATTAACAACTAATTAACAACAAATGCATTCAATTAGAAATGCTATGAGGTAAAAAAAGTGAAATTGAAAATTAATAACTTTTTGTGATAAATAAAAAAAATGTTTGATTAAACAAAATGTATTATGGAATTAAAACTAAAAAGGATATATTTAACATTTTATTAATCGAATCTAATAAACTATTTTATAAATATAATTGAATATGCAGGGTATCTAACATATATAATAAAGCTCTGTGCTCATATATATATATATGTTATGCTACAGCTGGCCGGCCAAACGGCTGGACCAAATTGGTTAAGATTTGTTTGAGGAAACCCATGGGTACCCTGGTGGCTACATAGGCTAAATAAATCTATTTTTGTTTTCTTCAAAATTCGAAGGGCAGCTTCGTGCACATCAGATATTTATATACTAAAAATGTGCATGTTTTCTCTGGATAAAATAAAATATTAATCTTTATGTCTGTTTTGTAAATAGATAGATTGTCAAGTACAATAGATGGCAACGTAGTATTTGTACACTCTCAGTACAACTGAATTCTTACGTCACAAGGGTCAACTCAGTTTTTGTATCCGAAAAAAAAATTTAATAATGGTGATCATTTTAGATATATGTTCTTATCTTACAGTGAAATGATTCAAATTTTATGGGTTTTTTAGTTTCTGTTTTAACAATTTTTTATTTAATCTTGGAAAACATGTCAACTAATGTGAGAAAATATCGTTTCTTGTTATATTTGACACTTGTGACGTCGTGTATATATGGTCCATTTCTCTGTTGTCATCTATTGTATTAATTAATATATTTGGGATGAATGTACTTTTTGATAGGCTTGGTTTGGACGATTAAGATTGTGTGACACTATAGGTCTAACAAGGCGAAATATAATATCTTATAAAGAAGCTTTTTATAAAGAATAATATTTGATAACAATGTTTATTTTTCTTTAAATATGTTTACTTTATCTTTTTGGTGCACTGTCTGGAATTCACGGGCATACTGGGGGGGGGGGCCGGGGGGCCCGACCCCCTCTACGCGTGCCCCATCCTGGGGTGGACACCAATATTAAAAATACTTTTAAATCTCACTTTTGCCCTTGACTAAAAAAGTTTCATTAAAAAAGCTTTCATAAATACTGGCTGTATAAAATATATAAATATATATACATACTTTGCTTGTCTGTCTGTTTGTTTGTGTCAAATAAACATCAAAACGGCTGAACCGATCGACCAAAATTTTGTGTGGACCTCACATGACCCCAGTGAGGGTTTATGGGTGTTCAAAATGTCAAAAAATGCAAATACAATCCCTGTAAGATTTAAAGAACACCCTGTATTTTCTAACTGAAAAAAAATACATTCTTTATTGTATATACTTGTGGAATTTTATTCGTACTTTCAAGGGAGTCTCTATTTATGAATTATATGCCAGGTATACCTTTATCGAATCAACAATGAGTAAGTTTTCTATTTTGAAAATATATTTTTTATCCATTTTCTTCCTTGTCTCTGGTGCATAAATAAGCAATTGAAGAATATAATTTCCGATAATAAAATGATATCTTCATGGTCCAGACAAAAGTACTGTTGTTAAATAATGGAACATTGGAAATTACGCTGATTGCACCTTCAAGAATTAACACAGGGTTGCCCACAAAAGATGAGACTGTGAAGACGAATTGTGACGATCCAACGGTTAAATTATGTTTGCTGCATCTTAGAGTTAGTGATATAATGGCTTGTTTAATGATTTGGCAAAGAAACATACAAGTTGCCGGGAATCATGAATGTAAGGAAACAGACAGTATAAATTCCGTACAGTCGTCTCTGAAGTCTGATGCTTTGTGGGTGATCATGTTTATTGTTTTGAAAACACCAGATGCTATGATAAAGAGTATGATTTTGTAAGGCTCTAGTTTGAAGACTAAAGGATGATCTACGAGAATACAAACCTCCAAACGAAGTATTACACAGACACGGGTTGGAGGAAAACTATTTAGTAGAAAGGTAGATATGGAAATAATAATCTCGGAGTACGGACATTTCTCTCTTCAAACCACTTGCGGATACAGAGGGGGGGACTCGGATACAGGGGAGGGAACTCGGAGAAAATTTAAAAACGTCTTTTGAACCTCTTATTGTAAGATTCAAGTCGTCCTAGTAAACTGTTTAATAAAATAATACAATTTTGTTTTCTAAAAGCAAAAAATATTATTAACTTACTTACAGGCCCGGGTGTTATTGTGAACGAAAAACCCCTGAATCTTGAAAAGACGACATCTAGTGTTCTATCTGAATACATCAAATAGATTATCAAGTACAATAGGTTGCAACAGAGAAATTAACCAATTATACACTACGTCACAAGTGTCAAATATAACAAGGAAAACGAAATTTTCTCAAATTAGTTGACATGTTTCCCAAGATTAAATAAAAAAGTGTAAAAACAGAAACTAAAGAACATATAAAATGGCACTTATTTTACTGTAAGAAAAGCACTTTATTCTAAAATTATCACTATTATTAATGATTTTGTCGGACACAAAAACTGAATTGACACTTGTGACGACAGAATACAACTGTATACTGAGAGTGTACAAATTCTACGTTGCCATCTATTATACTAGAATCTGTTTGGAATACTTTGTTTTTAATCTGTGTAGCGAGTGTAGAGCATACAAAAGTTAGATTAGTTTTTTAATTGAAACTAAGAAACCCACTTTTGAAGACTTTTGTTCATTGTCTGTACACAATCTATTAAAGACTAGAAAATGCATTATTTTCCCCAGCAGGTTCAATTATGTACAACTGGAGAACACGATCAACAGTCCTCTGTATTCAGGAATATTTAAGGATCCTTTGGATACGATATAGAAAACCTTCAATTATAGACTAAATTCATAATTTTATGTTTTATGTTAAAGTCGGAGTATTTCTTTAAAAATTGTAAAACTTAACCCCTGACTGAGTTTATATCCAGCAAGTGGACGTTAGATGGCAGTCAAAAAACCTTTCGTGGAAGTGTAGAATGGCGTGCCATGACACTACATGCCTGCTTAGCCTATCCAGGTATAGCTTGTGAGGAGTATGTGTTTCAGTTTGGTGGTACAGCTAGTGTAACAATTGTTCCGGATACAAAATGCAGAATGATTACAAATATTTGAAATGCATAATATCTCAATTATTTACTAGAAGATTATGCCAGCAACAAACTTTGAAGGGGGGGATGAAAATTTGTCGGTGAAAAAAGTAGGCTACAGGGTGTCCCAATAAACATGGGAATTCAGTGACAAATTCGATATCGTCTTTAATCTATGAATTATCATTGTAATACATAATTTCAAAAGCCAATAATATTATTATTTATTATAATTTATTTTCTGAAAACGGTAAATGACTGAAAAGGTGTCTATAATGCCTTTGCAAGATGAACAGTGATGACGGACAAGTTTGCTCTATTTGAATACTGTAATTTTCTTGTTTTACTAAGTACAACCCTATGCAGTCAAAACATAGACGAAAATCTTACGGACTAAAGCTTTCTCAGTGGGTATCACTATAACTAAATCAAAAAATAACTTGTTAAGACGATATCGAATTCGTCACTGAATTACCATGTTTATTGGGACACCCTTTACATTACATCGAATTGATATTATAGCCTGCCAACGTAGTTAACCTAATCACTTTGTAACAACATCGAATACTCTTGATTACCACAAATATGAAAAAGTAGCAAGACGACTTGAAAGTCGTCTTTGAACTTTTAATTTATTTGTGATTCACAGTAGTCAATTAACTTTTCCATTTATGATTAACTTTAAACAGAAACCACAAATTTCTGGAAATGCCAGGACTAGGATAATATTTCGGTTATTGTTTCAAGAATCATAAATGTGAAAGTAAGTTGACGACTGAATGTCACAAATAAATTCTTAAGTTCAAAGGCGACTTTCAAATCGTCTTGCTACTGTGATGTTTCGTGAGACATCCTGTAATATATCGAGTTAATTTCAGCGACGAGGTGGATGTAGTTAACTCATCAGTCATCACTCTCCACTAAAACCTAATATTTCCTGGGTCAGTGTACTGCAAATCACTGAAGTTTACACTGAAAGCTTCGTTGAGGATGTCCTCTCCAGTTTCTACAGTAGTTTGTTCGTTGCAAATAGATTGTTAAGTACAACGTAACGTAACGTAACGTAGAATTTGTTCACTCTCAGTACAGTTGTATTCTGTCGTCACAAGTGTCAATTTAGTTTTTATGTCCGACAAAATTGTCAATAATAGTGATAATTTTAAAATAAAGTGCTTATTCTACAGTGAAATAAGTGCAATTTAATGTGTTCTTTAGTTTCTGTATTTACACTTATTTATTTAATCTTGGAAAACATGTCAACTAATTTGAGACAATTTCGTTTTCCTTGTTTTATTTGACACTTGTGACGTAGTGTATAATTGGTTCATTTCTCTGTTGCCACCTATTGTACTTGATAATTTATTTGGTCCGTTAAATATCTGATATATTGAAAAAAAACTTCTGAAAACTAGTTTCTTACCGAAAACATGGATCACTATCTTAATCGTAGAGTAAACTTTTCTTTCAATAATCTTACCGAGAAATTCTATAAACCAAAAAAGTGTACTTAAATTTTATCCTAACATGAAAAATATATTTTGAAAACTTGTTAAGAAAGAATACGATTTATATTTATTTAGTTTTGACTGAATTTATCACAACATAATTTTAATTCACATACATGCATGTAATCTCAAATCTTAAATTCAGAGATTGGTTTAAGATTTTTTGAGTTTCAAATTTATAAGGCACTTTATCAACTTATGAGCAACCTTTAAATACCGTCTATACAGTAAAGGATATTTTAATTTTTTAAAATTCATGTAAAAAGTTCAGACAATTATAATGCTAGATTTCAAAATAATCGTGATCATCACAATCATAACCATTATCGTCGTGGTCTTCATCGAAGTCTTCATTAAAAGCGTCAGTATGATCATCATACTCTTCATATTGAGAAGTGTGTCCCTCTTCTACATCAACATCTTCTTCATTAACATCTTCTTCATCAACGTCTTTTTCATTAAGATCTTCTCCATAAAGATCTTCATCTTCAACATCTTCATTATCAACAAATTCAGCATCAACATCTTCATCATTAACATCTTCTCCAAAAAGATCTTCATCATCAACATCTTCATTATCTACATCTTCATCATCAATATCATCAACATCTTCATCACTAACATCTCCATCATTATTATTGCCGACTACAATTCCATCCATTTGTTCTGCATCGCCCTCTGAGTACTGTTCAGAGTCAGAATGGTGTTTACGGTTAGAGTAGTAATGGTCATCATGTGCAGGTGATTGAAAGTCGTCTTCCGGCATCTCATTAGCGCCATCGTACAGCTCGAAATATTCTACATCTTCACGATCTTCTTCATCAAGATCTTCTTCATCAAGATCTTCTTCATCAACATCTTCTTCATCAACATCTTCTTCATCAACATTAAGAAAATACTAAGCTTATTTTCAATTTTGCTGTAATGATGTAACAATAAAATGTATTGATTTAAATTAAAATTCAACTTCTTTCTCTACTCGAGAACAAAATCTTTTTTTTTTAAAAAGTCCTGTTTAATAATACAAAACAACATTTAAACCTTTTATTGTTATCATTCAAGCCTTGTTTTTTTATAAAGAAAATCCTTTTGTAATTTAAAAACGTAAACCTAGATCATGAAGAGCGGCTTGCACAGCATACTCGTTGCCCCCGTCATACTCCTCTAAGTTGTAGAAAGGTTGATGTCGTCGTATATAATAATCATCTTCGCCTCCTTCTTCATCCTCGCTGTCTTCTTCTTCTACGTTTTCTTCTTCTTCATTTCCGTCTTCTTCGTCATCAGAATATTCATCACCGTGCTGATAACCCTAAGCAGGAAACAATCAGTTCTTGGTGGTGTGAAATTAATCATTCTAAATTTTAAGGGGCTGTAAGCGTAATTTCAAGTGACCCTCTATACAAATATGGCAATGCCCGATTCACAACGATACCCTTTTAAGCTTTGTCTGATAAAGTATGAATAAGATATTAACGTTGTAAACTCCAAACAGACTATATTCAATTGTGATTTTCTACGAAAGTGACTTATGCATTTCTACTGCAGGAAAACATATAGGAATAATCAGAATTAAACACTTTCAAACCTAGATAAACGACACTATTTACCACATGATTTATCAAAAAGTGGTTTTAAGGGTACTGTTGTGAATCGGAGAGTCACTTCAAATTACGCTTACAGACCCTTTATGGCGTGTCATGAACGAGTTCCCTGAGTCTACCAACCTGCCAATATAGATTACAACATCAACCAATGTTCAAAAATTCTGCCAATATTTTTAAAAAATCTTCTCATTTCTGCCGACATATTTGTGCGCGAAATTATTTTTTGTGCACCCCCTAGAAGAAGTTGTGCCCTCCCCCCCCACCCCACGGGCACCTGTAGTTCATTTAAATTTCCGAGCCGGGTCAACCTTTCCGGTCCCAGTTTGTACTGTACCTAGCTCTATGGACAGGACTAGTCGGTGCAACAAGGTTGACGCGGTCAGACTTTATGCTTCATATAGGTTGAATTTACTTTTACTATAGGGGCAGATTTGCGGGCCCCTAAAACCACCAATTATGACAAAAATATTGATAAAGTTTTGATCTTTATTAAAGAACCTTAAAGAGATAGACCGGCTTTGTAAGGTATTTAAAGAGTATGCAGTGTTGTGGACAAATTCTTCAGGATTCATTTGAGACATATAAAACGTTTCCGCGATGTAAAATTACTGAGATTGAGCGCAAAGTCGACGTTCAAAATCATTTTGGGTGGGTACGTTTTCAGAATCGATTTTTTAAATTATTAAATAACGACAACGAAACATATAGTAAAAATTCAATAGTAAACTAATTAGATGTTTAGGAACATATTTCTCAAAAGAAAATTGTCAATAAATCGATGTTAGAAATAATTATTACCTTTTACATCATTATATTGAATTTCTTATTTTCTATGCATTTGTTCGCAGATTTCTTCAAATGTCGTCTTTTAAATAAAAATTCCAAAAATCTGAAGAAAATCTTTTTGATAAAAGAGAGATTATAGAAACTAATAATTGAATAAGATTACTTATTTTCGATGATAAAAGTTAATTTTTATTTTCCCAACCTGTTCCTAAACAACTAATAGTTTTCAGTAGAATTTTGTTTACATATTTTGTCGTCGCTATTTAATAATTAAAAAAAAAAATTCTGAAAACATATCCACCCCCAATGTAAGAGTTTTGAACGTCGACTTTGTGCTCAAGCTCAGAATTAACAAATCTTTAAAAAGTTGTATATGTCTCAAATTAATCCTTAAGAATTTCTCCACAATACTGCATACTCAGTTCAACTACCTTACATAGCCGGTCTGTCCCTTTAAATCTTATGTATGAAAGGATAAATACATGACTTTTAATACATCCAATTATTCCCCCAGTTCATCAAAAATTCAATAACTCCAGTTCATCAAATAAGATATTTTCCTCCAGAAGTTAGGTTTGTCTGAGATAATTTTTAGGGTTTTAATTGCCGAAATTGGGCATTAAAAACGTATAAAAACTAGGCTATCAGGATTCAGGGCGTATATTCTATTTCAACTTTAAATCGTTCTTAATTTTAGGGAGATAATTTTTGGTTATTTTTAGAATCCATAAACCTTCCCTGAGATGTCCCACACAAAATTTGGGCCCAATCGGTTAAGCCGTTTAAAGATAGACGGACAAGCAAATACTTACCCCTCTAGCGTAGATTTTATTAGGATCATAGTTTGGAGGAGGTTGATCAATGTTAAGAGTTGGATCATTCTTTAGTTTTCCTTCTAGTCCAACCTTCCCGCTCTTTGCAGCTTTCAATACTTCAGCCTTAGAGAAGATAAAGATCAACTAATCTAGGTTCAACTAAGGTGGAGGGCAACTTTTTCTACTTTTTTGATACTTTTTACCCAATAATTAATTGAGATTATCCTAAAAAATCATTCCCCCCCCCCCCAATTCAGCGAGTATTACTCTTATTTTTTCTCTCTCTCGTGCAAGCATATTTAAATGTCTTAGGGGGAAAAAACATTTTCAAAAGGGGGGGGGGGGATAATTTTTTGAGAAAATATACACTTACACTAATGAAATATCTTATAAAAGCTGATATTTGGTCTAAAGTATTAACAAAAAAACTTGTATTAGTATATAAAGATGGATAAAAAGAAAGAACCTTGTGTAGATTATCATTGTCTGAGTACAGAGGACAAAGATTTGGTTTAGGACTTGCTCCAATACCTGAAATAAGATTACATTACACAACCTGGGAATACGACAATTCTAAGAATATCTAGCAGAAACCGAATAAATCAAAGCGTGAGACAACTTCTCGTGTTGAGGTTGCGTGGCCCGGGAAATTAAAAAAATCGAATACAAAAAATGTTTTATAAAAATCGATTTGATCTTTTTTAATTCAATTTTTTAATAACTTCACGGGCAACGCCGGGCACTTCAGCTAGTGTTTAATAAGTAAATGTAATCACCCTGCTGCGTACATTATCTATTATTATTATTAACAATCAACTGACAGAGAAAGTATTTAAAAAGACATCAATAAACTCCAGTAATTAGTAATAACTCTTGTAATAATAGATAAATTAGTGCTAATTTTGTACCTGCATTCTATTTATCAATAAGGGACATGAATATTTAATTTTTCATCAAGGGCGTAGATAGGGAGCCGGGAGGGGGGCAGACCTCAAATGAATTCTAAAGAATTTGTCCACAACAGAGCATACTCAGTTTAACTACCTTACATAGCCGGTATGTCCCTTCAAAAGTATTTTTAATTGTCAATATTTTTTTTTGATTTTCAATATTGTAGGTCTGTTATAATAATAGGCCATGAAAAAAGAGCCTAACAAAAATGTACGTAACTAAACAGGATGAGTCCTGTAAGGTTCAGGGACTAGAAAGCCGAACTTTGAGAATCTTTTCTCTGTCCCTTAAGGATTGCAAGCATGCAGGTGCAAAGCTGACAAGATTTATCTCTATTTTCACGAAAGTTATATTACTGGAGTTTATTGATTTCCTTTCATCATGCATTGATTAAGCATAGAGTTATTAGCACAGAATTTATATTGGTTTCTAGAATTAGAATGAACTTTTTAGTAAAATCAAAACAACCCAAGGTTTTACTCATTCTAGCTCAGAGTTTACACAAATAAGGAAACCAGATGAATCTCATGTCTTCTTTAATTTGGCTTCCACAGATTCTGTTAGAATAGTATTTTTTTACAATAAAAACTGTATCTCTAATGTTACTACAGCCTGTTTTTTTCACATAAAAATATAATTCCTATAAATTATATAATTATCTGGAATTATATAGAATTGTGTAGATAATGGTCAATAACTGTTTTCTTCTTCATTTAAATGTGTATAGATATAAATAAGTATAATTGTCTGTATCTAATGTTTTATCATAGAAATAAGTATAATTGTCTGAATCTATTGTATTACCATAGAAATAAGTATAATTGTCAGTATCTAGTGTATTACCATAGAAAAGTATAATTGTCTGTATAGTGTATTACCATAGAAATAAGTATAATTGTCAGTATCTAGTGTATTACCATAGAAAAGTATAATTGTCTGTATCTAGTGTATTACCAAAGAAATGAGTATAATTGTCTGTATCTAGTGTATTACCATAGAAATGAGTATAATTGGCTGTATCTAGTGTATTACCATAGAAATATGTATAATTGTGTGTATCTAGTGTATTACCAAAGAAATGAGTATAATTGTCTGTATCTAGTGTATTACCATAGAAATGAGTATAATTGCCTGTATCTAGTGTATTACCATAGAAATATGTATAATTGTCTGTATCTAGTGTATTACCATAGAAATATGTATAATTGTCTGTATCTAGTGTATTACCATAGAAATAAGTATAATTGTCTGTATCTAGTGTATTATCATAGAAATATGTATAATTGTCTGTATCTAGTGTATTACCATAGAAATAAGTATAATTGTCTGTATCTAGTGTATTACCATAGAAATATGTATAATTGTCTGTATCTAGTGTGTTACCATAGAAATGAGTATAATTGTCGGGAACCGGTTTCCTACAAAGATAACACATTGTGGCACCACAGTCACAGTGCATCAGATTGCATCCTTCCGTCTTAAAAAATCTAAAACATGTTTTAAATTTTAGAAAAACCTCAGCGGACCTTGTTGAGAAGGCATCAGCAATATTGGAACTGAGCCAACCACCCACTGAGGGTTTGTGCATTTGTTTCGTAGAAAAAATATTTCAATCAAAAAGAAAATTCAAAACCATTCGCACAATTCTGATCGGACGGTCTTGTATTGAAGAAATTACTGTAAACTCCCAAAATCAAAATTTTTAAAATTTTCATGTTTTATCTCTTTTTCTTAGAAATATTATGCGCATTTCAAATTCGGAAACATAGACATACAAGAATATAGATCGCTAATGCAGACTGTAAAGCTGAAAATTGTACAACCCCGTGTACATCATGAACTCGTCATTTAAAGAGGTCATTGAATACGTTTTACTTCTCGGGGTCAATCTGTAGAGTATTTTTTTTACAAAATTATTTTTAAAAGTTTCATAAAAAAAACTAGGCTTCTCCCATTCACTATTATTACTATTTTAGCTTTTAACCCTAAAAAAATACTTTTTTTACCCTTTTTTTCAACCTTCCCTAGCGCTCAAACTATTTATATTACACATTCCTGGAAATGTAAAAAGCATAGAGAATAGAATATATTAGAGAGGAATTAAAAGAATCTCTCGGTATGAATTGTTTCAGTCCCTTTCAGACTGAAAGGGAGTTCAAAGTGTACAAATCATGTAAATGTTCACAAATTATATGCAGTAGAGTACATTAATACAGTATGTTCCCTAGACTATCCATTTCAATTTCGAATTTTTAAAACAGTTAACTAAACTTTATAATGAATTAGGTGAATAAAAACATCATTTAATTTATAGTTAATAGTTATAACGGAAAATCATCGTTTGTAAAGTGGAAGTCTATAGAGTCTGTGAAATGATCATTGGTCAATTATGAAACCAGCCTATTTCATAATTTAGTTTTCTTTTAACAATAAGTTTAGATTTTCTATAAAATGATATTCCAGGGCCCAAAAGGTTATATAGCATAAATATGTGAAGTACACCTGCAGTATGGAAACAGTACAACAAAATGCCCGTTTTACACTTTTTTCTAGTAAATTCCTCTCTATATATTCTATTCTCTATGGTAAAAAGACACAGAATTTCTACGGGAAGTCTATAAGCCTCAAGCATCTATAGCATTAAGTCTATGACCGTTCTGCTGATAATGATCTGCACATCCAAAGTCAGTGACATAAACCTTAGCATTTCAAATAATAACTATGTTTAAAAGATTTTAACTCTCAGTTGATTACTTAAACCCTATGACATGATTACCTAAAATGGCTATCCAAGAGTTTCTCGAGAAAAAATTAACAACAAAAAATAACAATTTAACCCTATCTCCTAAATTAAAAACTTGACGAATTATGAACAAATTCAAATTGCCAAAAATAAAATATAAAACCCATCAAACGTGCACAAATCAATATTACGACCAAATTGGGACTGCCGCCTTTAACAGTACGGCATAAAGGAGCACTGGCTCCAATGCTTCAATCAAAGCAAATAGTTGATAAAACCCCACTTGAGAAAAATGCATGATCTAATCTCACCTCTTCTTACACTTGTGACATATTCTGACCATTGCCTCGGTCATCTGGTTTTCTAGTTTAGTTCTTGCTTTCACCTCTTCATCCTTCTCTACCTCATCACATCGCAGGGGTAAATGATTCTCCTCCTAATTACAGGGGTAAATATTAGTTCAGAGATTCATATTTTTACCCCCCCCCCAGAAAAATACACACCACTGAATAACTGACAAATATCATTAAATATTCAAGAGCTGTTACAGAATTAAAATGTAATTATTTTTCCTTCTGTATTTAGGTAAGTAATTATTTTTTCCTTCTGTATTTAGATAAGTAATTATTTTTTCCTTCTGTATTTAGATAAGTAATTATTTTTTCCTTCTGTATTTAGATAAGTAATTATTTTTTCTTCTGTATTTAGATAAAGTGATTATTTTTTCCTCCTGTATTTAGATAAGTAATTATTTTTCCTTCTGTATTTAGATAAGTAATTATTTTTTCTTCTGTATTTAGATAAAGTGATTATTTTTTCCTCCTGTATTTAGATAAGTAATTATTTTTCCTTCTGTATTTGGATAAGTAATTATTTTTTCTTCTGTATTTAGATAAGTAATTATTTTTCCTTCTGTATGTAGATAAGTAATTATTTTTCCTTCTGTATTTAGATAAGTAATTATTTTTCCTTCTGTATGTAGATAAGTAATTATTTTTCCTTCTGTATTTAGATAAGCAATTATTTTTTCCTTCTGTATTTAGATAAGCAATTATTTTTCCTTCTGTATTTATATTAGTAACTATTTTACCTTCTGTATTTAGATAAGTAATTATTTTTCCTTCTGTATTTAGATTATATTAGGGTGCCCTTTTTCCACTCCCCACACCCGAAGGACTATACTAATTAAGGTCTGAAGAAGGGTATATAGGACATATATAAAAGCAAGTTTCATCATCTTTTTAGATACTTTTGACCAAAGTTGATTTATTTTCCCAATTCAGCGAAAAAAAAACCAAATAAATATTATTTCCGAGTGGGGGTAAAAAAAGATTTTTCAAGAAAAAATGTCCCTCTGGCTCATAAAAAATATATGATTTTCAACAAAAATGAAAAAAAATGTTGTTTACCTTACATAGTCTGCAAGAAACTTTAGCACAGTCAGGATTCCCACATCTGATTAGTTTCTCACTGAATACAATCAATAATGAATTCTAAACCCCACGGGCCCATTCTCATTTAAATAAACATTAGCAGACACTTTTTTGTTCAATGCACGATATGTCTATCTTTCTGTCTCTTTCAGTCTCTTTCTGCCGTTCTGTTATTTCTGTCTTGTTCTCTGTCTGTCTCTGTCCGTCTCTTTCGGTCTCTTTCTGTCTCTTTCTTTTGTCTCTTTCTGTCTCTTTCTGTCTCCTTCTGTCTCCTTCTGTCTCCTTCTGTCTCCTTCTGTCTCTTTCTGTCTCCTTCTGTCTCCTTCTGTCTCTTTCTGTCTCTTTCTGTCTCTTTCTGTCTCTTTCTGTCTCTTTCTGTCTCTTACTGTCTCTTTCTGTCTCTTTCTGTCTCTTTCTGTCTCTTTCTGTCTCTTTCTGTCTCTTTCTGTCTCTTTCTGTCTCTTTCTGTCAAATAATTGTTACTTGTCTGGCATAATAACAGCATAGGTGCAGTGGGGGCACTGAACCAGATCCTGCAAATCAGAAAAATCTTAAGACGAATAGTTTGACATAAAAAACTTCAGGAATGATCGATTTCTGCAAATGTTTTCTACAATAAAATTTGTCTGGTCTAAAAGCAGAAACCGTTTTGGTGTCCAAAGTGACAAAGATGGCTACTTTCAGCCTTCGGACAATAAATGAATAAATGTGTCCGTTCTAGTGCTGTAAACTCCCTAATAATCAATACCGTTAATGGTAGACCTTGTTTCTTAAAAGTTACCATTTTGAGTAAAGGAAAGAAATACTAATAAAAATTTTAAAAACCTTTAAAAACTATAAAACCAAAAAAGCCAACTTTCAGGTGAGTTGTTTAAAACGGGTCCTATTGGGTTTTTTTTTTTTGGGGGGGGGGGTTAATTTTCTATGCCAACCCCCCTGGAAGGAAAATAGTCTATCTAGCGTAATGTCCTATGAAGCGTATGTAGTACATACTAAATACCTGAATTTTAGCATTCACCACATCCTCAGCTTGTCTTTTCTCCATTAGTTTCTCATACACCTTCCCCTTCAATACTTGCTTCAAGACCTAGCAATAGGTTTATATTAGACCTTCCCCCTCAATACTTGCTTCAAGACCTAGAAATAAGTTTCTATTAGACCTTCCCCTTCAATACTTGCTTCAAGACCTAGCAATAGGTTTATATTAGACCTTCCCCCTCAATACTTGCTTCAAGACCTAGAAATAAGTTTCTATTAGACCTTCCCTTTCAATACTTGCTTCAAGACATAGCAATAGGTTTATATTAGACCTTCCCCTTCAACACTTGCTTCAAGACCTAGCAATAGGTTTATATTAGACCTTCTTCCCCTTCAATACTTGCTTCAAGACCTAGCAATAGGTTTCTGTTTTAGACCATCCCCTTCAACATTTGCTTCAAGACCTAGAAATAAGTTTCTATTAGACCTTCCCCTTCAATACTTGCTTCAAGACTTAGCAATAGGTTTCTGTTAGACCTTCCCCTTCAATACTTGCTTCAAGACCTAGCAATAGGTTTCTGTTAGACCTTCCCCTTCAATACTTGCTTCAAGACCTAGCAATAGGTTTATATTAGACCTTCCCCTTCAATACTTGCTTCAAGACCTTTTAGACCTTCCCCTTCAATACTTGCTTCAAGACCTAGCAATAGGTTTCTATTAGACCTTCCCCTTCAATACTTGCTTCAAGACCTAGCAATAGGTTTCTGTTTTAGACCTTCCCCTTCAACATTTGCTTCAAGATCTAGAAATAAGTTTCTATTAGACCTTCACCTTCAATACTGGCAAAAGGACTAGCTTCCTAGACTTTTCCCTTCAAAAGGAATTAACACTAGAATTTGAACCGAATATAAATGTTTTAACCTGCATCTCTATCTCATTATCACACTGTTCCTGGAAACAGATTATCCTTGTCCTTCCATCTCCGATCTGAACCTCACTACCCCGCCGTATACACAATCCACAGAACATATGATCTAAAAGATCTAATAGATATTTTTTATTCCCTCCCCCCATCTCTTTTAAACAAATCTTTTTCATCCACTTATTAGATAATATCTGAACGGAGAGGAAAACAAATCTTATGTTTTTAAATTAAAATTTTTATTTTAAATTTTCGATTAAAAAATTTAAAAATTTTAATCGTAAACCAGCTTGACACATGAAAACCTCTGTACTTGAATATACAAATATAAATAAACCTGCTTGACACATGAACACCTCTGTACTTGAATATATAACTAGAATTAAACCTGCTTGACACATGAACACCTCTGTACTTGAATATACAAATATAAATAAACCTGCTTGACACATGAACACCTCTGTACTTGAATATATAACTAGAATTAAACCTGCTTGACACATGAAAACCTCTGTACTTGAATATATAACTAGAATTAAACCTGCTTGACACATGAACACCTCTGTACTTGAATATACAAATATAATTAAACCTACTTGACACATGAACACCTCTGTACTTGAATATACAAATATAATTAAACCTGCTTGACACATGAACATCCCCGGGCTTGGATATATAACTAGAATTAAACCTGCTTGACACATGAAAACCTCTGTACTTGAATATATAACTAGAATTAAACCTGCTTGACACATGAACACCTCTGTACTTGAATATATAACTAGAATTAAACCTGCTTGACACATGAACACCTCTGTACTTGAATATACAAATATAATTAAACCTACTTGACACATGAACACCTCTGTACTTGAATATATAACTAGAATTAAACCTGATTGACACATGAACACCTCTGTGATCAGACATTCATCATCAAAACAGCAGGCACAGGTAAACAGTCCACCGTTTCTGCAAAAAACATAAATTATGTTTTTTTCTATCTGCAGTATCTTCGTTTACTTTATATGGCACTGTAGGCACGGGGGGGGGGAGACAACAATTTCTTGCCCGAGCCACATTCTTCTCATTTTTTTCGTCCGAACCTCTTCCTTCTAATTTTATTCTTTTTAAGAGTCTAAACCTTATTTTTCGATTCTGGTCACTTGAGAGGAGCAATGAAAGATTAAATTTTGTAAATCGAAAAAATTCTTTATAGAACTATAATCTTTTTTGTTACTTGTATTGAAACCAATAAAGAATAAGAGGTTATATACATACCTTAGAATTTGACCGGCAGGTTCCATGGGAAAATTGAAAGGTAAGTCTACCAAATATTTTGCTATTTAGTGAATATCGTGAAATAAGCCATAACGTTGGCCGAAATTTTACTTCTAAAGTTTGACATCATAATCATGGATTTGAAGATTCCAACATCGTGTAATCATTGCAACACTCAACTTTTATGCCCAGATATTTAAAAAAAAAGTTTTTGAAATGTTGGCCAGATATTGTGGCTTTGAAAAGAAATGGTTTGGCTTGCCTTCGCTCCCTCGTAAACGTATGATGGCGCGAGTTTCTGATTCACAACAGTACTACTTAAACTTTTGACTTTATTCAGATTGTCGGACTTATTCTTATTATTCTTATTATATAATATTTACAAAATTTCGAACGAACTTGTAATAAAAACGATCTTTTACTTTACAAACGAATTTTTGGAACAAACTTTAAAAAATCATGGTTTTTAACTAAATGAACGCTTTTAAGTAACTAACGATTTTACTAAACGATCGTTCAGTTAGAAAACGAACGAAATAGAAGGAAAATGAATGATAATTTTGAGAACTTAAAATTTACAAAATGCGTCGTTTACGAACAATGAACGAACGAAATGAAAAAAAGCCGAATGAGCCCATCTCTACCCGTGTCCTGTATCTCAATAACCCCGTATATCCTATATCCTTCATTTACCTTTTCGCCTCCTGTATTCTCCTAGTCCTATTCTCTTCTGCTCTACTGAATGCTTCCTGGATCTTATTTTCCAATTTTAAGAAAATATATTCCTGAAAATCATTCAAATGCAAAACTAAAATCAAAACATCTTATTACAGTATATACTTGTTTGCACAATTTATATTGTATATGTATTTTGTATGAATGTAGCATATATAATATATATATATATATATTTGTGCATTTGTATTTATTTAAGATTAATTGAGGAATGAATTACTTAATTCTGTAAACATGATTTAAAAGCATTTGCCTTATAGCAAAGAGAGTTATAACGTTATATCAAGGGAGCCTCAAAACTACCCATAATCACCATAAATAAGCAACCCGTGTTGTATGAATGTAATTTAACCTTTAAGAATCCTGGATCCCAACCTTCAACATCATCTTCCTCCTGCCCAGGTCTACCACCTCGTTTTCCTTTCCTACAGTGGAGTTCTTATTATTAATTTTAGGCAAAAGCATAAAGAAGTTACGCGCATGCCGCGTTGAATTACAAGACAGAGAGAGTCTGCAGTTCTAGCCGCGGCGCTCGGCCCCTACCCCTAAAATATATACTAATCTCTCTTTCTTGTAATTCAACGCGGAAAGCGCGCACAACTGCCTTATTTTCATAAAACTGTGACAATTTGAGAGAACAAACCAAAATTAGTAGTTAATTGAAAAAAAAATATAATGCTTACTTTGAGAATTTTGGATTTTTAATATGTTATATTAAGGGGTTGGAAAAACTATTATATTAATTGCATTGGCTTCATTCCAATTGTTTGGATTAAAATACTGAAATTCTGTTTATAATGTAAAATAATTCAATGAAATGATAAACCATAAACTGGATTTCAAGCCCCCTAAGAACAAGAGAAAACCACATGTCAATCACAAAATAAAATGTATCTCGAATCAATTGAATGTATCCTTGGAATGTGCCTTGATGTTTATTCATGATTGATCTCAAATATTGTAGATTTGAAAAAAGAAAATTTGATTGTTATCATATCGATATGGAGAATCCGTAGCAGAATTCATTTATTTCCCCCTCAGTTAATCATTAATTTCCCAAATTTAATGAAAACCCCTAAAAATAATATTTTCATTGTTGTTTAGGTTAAAGATGGCACATCTTAAAGTTAAACAACTTGAAGTCATCTGGGACGGTCCTTCAGTTCATGGCGTATACACTCTTACCACAGTTTATAACTTCTAACAACTCTATCTAGGCAAACCCCTTGGTGAGCTTCCCCCCCTTTAACCTTGATCCAGATCTAGGTGATTGGGCTGACCTCACCCTCCTTCCCTTATTTCCAACCTCTGGACTGCATAGACGGTTCCCAGGTAACCGTGTTCAACGGAAACATGCAAGAATTTTGGAAACCCTAATCGGCACTGGTATAAGAACGACGACATTAAATCTATGCTGCTAGAATTTCTATATTAAGATGCTAAAATGTCCGACCTAATGTTGTTTGAGCTGTTGAATATTTAGACAATTGTGTATGCTTCTAACATGTTTGCTTCCCAATGTAGTAATTATAACAAAGATTACATCACAAGGGCTACCAACTTGAACAGCATAAAGGAAATTATTTGGATTAAAATTTATTTGCAAGAAATTGTGATATAAAAAATTTAAATGCAAAAAGAAAAATATTATAATCTTAAAATAGAATAAAAAACTAGAAAAAAAACTCAATCAAAACATGTCCATGTGAACAAAAGCGAAAATAACGTTAGTTCCGATGACGTTAGATCAAGTGAATAACCACCAAAATAAATAACTTGCGGAATGCGGATATACAGAGCGTCCCATATTATATTATATTATCTCCAAGTTTTAACGCCAAAATAAAACCATAATATTCGAAAAAACTAGTATTTTTCGCAAGAAAATTCTTATATTAGCCTTATTCAATTTTTCAGCATGTTTCATTCTTCCAAAATTTTCTGATTAGTCCCGAAAATCGTAATTTAGACCGATTGACGATCTAATATGATGTGGAACACACTGTATCTAAAGTGCAGATTTTCAACAAGGAACAATGATGAAATATATAAATAAGAGTTCACTTGTAAACATGTTTTTCAGTTACACATCGTCTAAATCATACTATCATTTTTAGGTTGAATTAATGTATATTTCAATATAAAAGATTAAGTAATAATATGAATGTCGTCTTCAATAAACCAGTGCCGATTTCCTGGGTTTGCAATGATTTTTCAATAAAATATGTATCCGTGTTTACTGTTAAAATAGTTCACCTTGTTGATGGAAGATATTCTAAACACTTGTATGTCGGTAGAAAATGGTAGTTTTTATCCTTCAGCTCTCTACATTAAGAAAGATCTTATTAATCCCGAAAACTAAACCGAAAAGCAAAAACAAAAGCAGAGGCCGAATTTGAAGAATTTAAACCGCGTCACTGATCCGCCAAAAACCGGTTCCAAATGAGCGCAGGTTCAAATCTCGAAACACTGAATACAACTTCAAAGTGAAACCAACCATGTTTGAACCGCGTATCAAATTTGAGACGCTGCTCAAATTCTTTAAATTCGGCCTCAGGACAGCAAAACTGTGATGAAAATACACCTTGCATAAAATACACAACTCTAAAAAAACCATTTGCTGTAGTTTAATTGCTAATAATAACAGTAATAATAACAATAACAATAACAATAACAATTTATAAAAATAACAATAACAATACTATGAACAAGAACAAGAACATGAACATGAACATGAACATGAACAAGAAAAAGAACAAGAACAAGAAAAATAACAACATGGCCAAGAACAAGCACAAGAACACACACAAGCACAAGCACAATCACAAGAAAAATAAAAAGAAAGAGAACAAAAACAAGAACAAGCAAAAGAACAAGAACAAGAACAACCAAAATCTCAATCACAAGAAAAATCAAAAGAACGAGAAAAAGAACAAGAAAAATGACAAGAACATGAACCATGAACCAGAACAAGAAAAATAACAAGAACATGAACCAAGAACAAGAACAAGAACTTGAACAATTACCTGTCAATGACGTCTTGAGATTGAGATGAAGAAAATTTCTTCCTCAAGTACTTCTTGCAGCTCGCCTAGTGAATCAAGTTTCTTAAAATATGTGAAAAAATACCCACCGTAAAGTGTTTCCGATGGCCAAATCAAATCATACATTTTTCTGCTATAATATTGCAACTTTTTATCAATTAAAACAGGGTTTCCTTCAAAGGATAAGACTTCAGAGGTGACTCTACGAATCTTCTCAGTCACAAGTACATTTCTTGTTTACGGCACCGTTACAGTGTACTGTACACTACTTTCATTCATTGCCCAAACCAGTAAAAAGGCTTTATTTCTGGCGCAAATCAAATTTAACATTTAGTTACTCATATATACAGAGTATTATATCGTTTTTAAAGTCTCATCCTTTGTGGGAAACCCTGTGTTATACAATTCAACTCAGCAGGACGGTTTTAATCGTATAGTGCCTCTTAAAAGCGCAACAGGGAAATTTGTCAACATTTTTTTCTCGCAACTTAAACACATCACTTTGTAATTAAAGAGACTGTAAGCGTATTTTCAAGTGACAACAGTGGCAATGCCTGATTTCTAACGGTACCCTTAAAAGCTTTGTCTGATCTTGTATGAAACAAATATCAATGTTTATTATTTTCAATTGTGGTTTTTCTACAAGTTACATGCAAAGCATAAAGGGTTTATCACAATTAAACAGTTTTAAACCTAGAAAAACGAAAATATCTTCCACAAGTGAATCGGAAATTTTCTAACTTTGCATGGAAGGTCACGTGAAATTACGCTCTCAGTCCCTTTTTGAAATATTTGTTCTTGAAACTATTCCTTGTATGAATCTGTAACAGGTTTAGCTGTGGAGTTGAAATGTTCCATTGGATTCTCATATTCCTTCAGGAAATCAGATACCTGAACATTCAACAATATTACAAAATTACAATATCACAAAATTACAATATTACAAAACAATACTACAAAATTACAATATTACAAAGAATATTACAAAATTATAAAGAATTTTACAAAATTACAATATTACAAACAATCTATATATAAATTTGGCTTGTCTGTCTGTCTGTCTGTTTGTTTGTATCCAATAAACGTCAAAACGGCTGAACCGATCGGGCCCAAATTTTTTGTGGGACATCTAGGGACCCCAGGGAAGGTTTATGAATCATCAAAATTTCAAATATTTGTCTCCATCAAAATTCGATCGTCATTAAAATTCTAGAATGAACTTCCAGTGCGCTTTTGTTAACAAATTTAAAAAGAGTTTTATTTTGGGGGAACTATTTGCGATTTTGTATTTATTTTTCAGAAATATTCTTTAAAGAGATATTTAAGTGTGTTCAAGTTTGTGTTTTCCGGTAATATTACTGTGGTTCATTAGTCACGATGACACATTTTATCCGATTTGAAAATCTCCAGAAAAAAGATATGAAAATCCGCGAACTAAATGTAATTTTTTGTCCATCGGAGGAAACAATCTGAAAACGGGTGGGTAATCTTTTACAGAAAAGCAGTATGAAAAATAAAAATACGTACCAAGAGAATAAAGAGATTAATATATTTAATGATGTAAATTTAACACTCATTATAAGGATTAAATCCTTTTTTCATATTTGAACAGTAGGTGTTGTTATCTTTAATTTTAGGGATAAGTGAATATTATTTTCTTTTTGAAAACAAAATATACTAAAAAGAAGGAAAAAATCAAGTTTTATAAATTTTTACAGGGTCACTCACAAAGGATGAGACTGTAAAGACGACCTGAAACTATTTAAATATGACAATTCAAAGGTAAAATTAAGTCTCCTGCCTTGAAGATAGTCTTTTCATGGGCCTTTCTAATGATTTGGCAAAGAAAGAAACAAGTTTACAGATGCAGAAAGTCATAAATATAAAGAAACAGACAGTATAAATTCCGTAGTCGTCTCTGAAGTCTCACCCTTTGTGGCAGTGCTTAGGATCCGGATCCGTTGGATTCGCAATATTTTAGCTTCCTGGATCCGGATCCGCAAAATATGCGGATCCACAGATCCAGATCAAAGGGGAAAAATATCAACAAAAACTGCCCAAAAAACGTGTTTACTTCTAAAAACAAAATATGAACTATTGAAAAAAGAGATATTATAAAAATTTCCTGATCTCTGAACAAACAAACAAACAAACAATCAACCATCATTCCGTAGAAGTCAGGGCTGAGACCTCATCAAAAATAGCCACATTGGCTATTAATGTACCAATTGGTGACACACTGTCTAGTGTGGCCAACTGTCGAAGTACAGACCAATGACTAAAGTCACCGCCCAACTGCACACTAACAGTCCCCCAGAGTAGTCCATCTCGGTACTACCCCAGTATGAAGTTAATACAAAGTTTATTAGATTATTATTTGATAATGGTTTAAACATAAGATATAAGATAAGATTTAGGATTGTTTGACAAAAAAGCCACCTTGAAAGCTCTCGCCCTACAGACCACCTTCATGACTTTTAACCAGCCATGACTCCAACAACACTGCCATTTTCCTCCCTCTTTCAAGTAAGACTACTTGGTCTGACCCATCCCCCCAAGATAAGCCCTGAGAATCTGCCATAGAGGTTTCTTACCGTGAGCGACATAGGTCGAGTGAAAATCTGCAATCCCGAAATCCCTACGCTGTGCCGCTACGCATGGGCAGATAAGGATCACGTGAGACTCTACCAGCCTGGGACGGACACCTTTTGAGAGACACCATGGGCACAAAACATGGGTACAGCCGTACCTATCTTTGTATCTGTTACCTAGCTCTGCGTTACCAGCCCGAACTCTGCACAGAGTCCTACTCGCTCTGGAATCATTCACGAAACCCTGAAGTCGGAACCACTTCCACGGCTGGGAGGCTGCAACAGCAGAGGAATGGCCTCTTTTGGTTAATACCACAAATCTCACAGCTCTATCTGACATTGCTTTCTGTAACTCTTTCCTGCTTTTGAACATTGCAATGGACCCAACATCCCTCTGAATCTCCATCCAGGATTTCCCCCATGGGTCTGTAGGATGATCTAGTAGATCCCGTAGCACCTCCATTCTTTAAGTTTTAGCATAAAAATAAGCGGAAAAAATTATTAGTCCATTCTGCTTTGTTAAAAAAATCCAGTAAATCTTAAAGAAAAGTTCATGACCAGGATCCGGATAAATTTTTTTCCAGTACGGATCCAGGATCCGGATCCGCATCAAATATTTAATTATTCTCCCCTTTCAATATTGTTCTAAAAAATTTCCCATTTTTACCTTTAACTTCTTTATCCTGGCAATGTCCCTCTTTCTAGCCTCTCTCTTCTCAAAATCCTTCCTGCAAAATACAACTGTTTTTTTTTAATAAAAAGAGTGTAACCAAAATACGACTGCTTTTTTAAAATAAAAAGAGAGTGTTCCCAAAATACAACTGCTTTTTTTAATGAAAAGAGAGTGTTCCCAAAATACGACTGCTTTTTTAAAATAAAAAGAGAATCTTACCAAAATACAACTGTTTTTTTTAAATAAAAAGAGAGTGTTTCCAAAATACAACTGTTTTTTTAAATAAAAAGAGAGTGTTCCCAAAATACAACTGTTTTTTTAAATAAAAAGAGAGTGTTCCCAAAATACAACTGCTTTTTTAAATAAAAAGAGTGTTCCCAAAATAAAACTGCTTTTTAAAATAAAAAGAGAGTGTTCCCAAAATACAACTGCTTTTTTTAAATAAAAGAGTGTTTCCAAAATACAACTGATTTTTTAAAATAAAAAAAGAATGCTACCAAAATACAACTGCTTTTTTTAAATAAAAAGAGTGTTCCCAAAATACAACTGCTTTTTAAAATAAAAGGAGAGTGTTTCCAAAATACAACTGATTTTTTTAAATAAAAAGAAAATGCTACCTAAATACAACTGCTTTTTTAAAATAAAAAGAGTGTTCCCAAAATACAACTATTTTTTTCAAATAAAAAGAGAGTGTTCCCAAAATACAACTGCTTTTTTTAAATAAAAAAAAATGTTCCCAAAATATAACAGAGAAAAGTTGATATCTATTCTAATAACACATTAATATTCATCTAGAAATGTGATTAAAAAAATATTAGCCTTTCTCATCATTCTGTAAACGTGCAAGTTTTTTTAAAAACTTATTTTTTCCATGAAATTATAATCCATGGTATTTTTGCAATTTTTGGAATATTGTTTTCATTTTTAAAACTTAATAGTATCACAAAAAAATTCCTTGAAACTTTTTGTCCGTTAAAATTGAAAGTGAAGAAATACAAAAATGTGATAATAGATAATTTTAATATATAATCCTAAAATTTTCCGAAAAACTGAGGCCGAATTTAGAGAACTTGATTCGCGGTCAAAACATGAGACGAGGTTCAAACATGGTTGGTTCAGTTGGAAATTTTAATAGGAGTTTCAAGATTTGAACTGGCGCAAAATTTGGAACCGGTTATTGGCGGTCCCTTACCGGTTCATCGACGCAGTTCAAATTCTTAAAATTCGGCCTCTGTCTGACCCATTGAGAGTTATTTCTATAAAAGATCCCCAAAATTTTAATGAAAATGATCCGAGGTTTTGCTCAGTTGATCATATAAATAACACAATTAACAATTGCACATTGCACAAGTGACCCTACAGGGAAACATGGCACTGTCCGATTCACTGAGGTACCTTAAAATCTTTATCTTATCAATAAGGTGGAAGCTATTGTCGTTTTCTAGACTTAGACGTGTTTAATTGTGATAATTCGTATATGTTTTTGCAGTAGAAATGCGCAATTCACTTTTGCAGAGAAACCACAATAGAAAATAATCATCTTAAAAATTATAAACATTGATGTTTAATTTACAATTGATCAGACAAAGCTTTTGGTACCGTTGGTACATTGCCATTTTTGCATTGAGGGTCAATTGAAATTACGAACAGTCCCTTTAAGTAAACTTCGGAACAAGAAATTTGACTATGTTAAAATGGCTGTTATTTGTTTAAATTCATCTGAAAGATACTTTTGAATTGCAAGACAATAAGAGGTCGCAATTTTTGTGTGAAGTATCGTAACGTAACGTAACGTTCAGTTCGATCGCGATATCAAATTTTGACACTTTTGAATTAAAGGTACAATGCTTTATCCCTCCATATGGTTAGACCACAACGAAATATTAAAGATCTTCATAAAATAGAGATCGATGCTTTATCCCGAGATTCTCAACAAAAGTCCTGACTTAGAATAGGACAGAACTTTTATGTGGATTTTCGTTAATCTTAAACGTTTAATCTCGTTGTCGAACATCGGCACTTAAACAATAAAAGCTTGATCCCTTAATTAAAGTTAACCCTGCAGGGTTGGCCCACAAAAAAAGGAAATAGATTAATCTACAGGTCTCCAGAAGATTGAGATAAATTCTTAATCCCGAGACTCTCAACACAAAAGTCCTGAATTAGACAATATAGGATAGAACTTTTATGTGGACAATCGTTAATCTTGAACGTTTAATCTCGATATCAAACATGGGCACTTTTTTTAAAAATCTTGATCACTAAATCAAAGCTAACTCTGCACAACTACAGGATGTCAAAGAGAAAGTTAATCCGTAGGTCTGCCCAAGATGGAGATCAGAGCCTCTGGATTTGCAGAGCATTTAAAATGCCCTGGCGCAACATCTACCTTTAAATTATGTTATTTATTACTTCTATAATATCTATTCTAACGTTTAGGGTAGCGCTGGTAGCGCCAGGTCATTTTAAATACTCATCTGCGAATTTGGAGGCTTGGAAACCATTTTACGGGGCTCATGGCGGTGCCGCAACCCCTCCCTCGCTTACCTCGTAGGTAAGCCTGATTTACCAACTGTTGAATTAATGAACTCCTCCATCCCCTCCTCATCCCTTTCATACATCACAGCTTTCTCCTTAACATTAATTGTAGTTATTAACATTAACTTTAGTAATTAACATTAACTGTAGTAATTAACATTAACTGTAGTAATTAACATTAACTTTAGTAATTAACATTAACTGTAGTAATTAACATTAATTGTAGTAATTAATATTAAATGTAGTAATTAACATTAACTGTAGTATTTAACATAAACTTTAGTAATTAACATTAAATGTAGTAATTAACATTAACTGTAGTAATTAACATTAACTTTAGTATTTAACATTAACTTTAGTAATTAACATTAACTGTAGTAATTAACATTAACCGTAGTAATTAACAATAACTATAGTTATTAACATTAACTTTAGTAATTAACATTAACTTTAGTAATTGATATTAACTGTAGTTATTAACATTAACTGTAGTAATTAACATTAACTGTAGTAATTAACATTAACTTTAGTAATTAACATTAACTTTAGTAATTAACATTAACTTTAGTAATTAATATTAACTGTAGTAATAAACATTAACTGTAGTAATTAACATTAACTGTAGTAATTAATATTAACTGTAGTAAGTAACATTAACGGGAGTAATTAACATTAACTTTAATAATTAATATTAACTGTAGTAATTAACATTAACTTTAGTAATTAACATTAACTTTAGTAATTAACATTAACTTTAGTAATTAACATTAACTGTAGTAATTAACATTAACTTTAGTAATTAACATTAACTGTAGTAATTAATAATGGAAAAAGACAAAAAAGTATTTAATATTTTATTCCAATTAAAATTTATTTTAGTATCTATACGACAAGGGTTTAAAATCTATTTTAGTATTTATACGACAAGGGTTTAAAAACCTATTTTAGTGTCTATACGACAAGGGTTTAAAAATCTATTTTAGTGTCTATACGACAAGGGTTTAAAAATCTATTTTAGTGTCTATACGACAAGGGTTTAAATATCTATTTTAGTGTCTATACGACAAGGGTTTAAAAATCTATTTTTGTGTCTCTACGACAAGGGTTTAAAAATCTATTTTAGTGTCTATACGACACGGGTTTTAAAAATCTATTTTAGTGTCTATACGACACGGGTTTAAATATCTATTTTAGTGTCTATACGACAAGTGTTTAAGAATCTATCTTAGTGTCTATACGACAAGGGTTTAAATATCTATTTTAGTATCTATACGACAAGGGTTTAAAAATCTATCTTAGTGTCTATACGACAAGGGTTTAAAGTTCTATTTTAGTGTCTGTACGACAAGGGTTTAAAGTTCTATTTTAATGTCTATACGACAAGGGTTTAAAGTTCTATTTTAGAGTTTGTACGACAAGGGTTTAAAAATCTATTCTAGTACCTATACGAAACGGGTTTAAATATCTATTTTAGTGTCTATACGTCAAGGGTTTAAATAAAAATCTATTTTAGTGTCTATACGACAAGGTTTTAAATATCTATTTTAGTATCTATACGACAAGGGTTTAAAAATCTATTGTAGTGTCTATACGACAAGGGTTTAAATATCTATTTTTGTGTCTATACCACAAGGGTTTAAATAAAAATCTATTTTAGTGTCTATACGACAAGTGTTTAAAAATCTATTTTAGTGTAAATACGACAAGGGTTTAAATTTCTATTTTAGTATCTATACGACAAAATTTTAATTATTTATTTTAGTGTCTATACGACAAGTGTTTAAATATCTATTTTAGTGTCTATACGACAAAATTTTAAATATCTATTTTAGTGTCTATATGACAAGTGTTTAAATATCCATTTTAGTGTCTATACGACAAGGGTTTAAATACTATTTTAGTGTCTATACGACAAGTGTTTAAATATCTATTTTAGTGTCTATACGACAAAATTTTAAATATCTATTTTAGTGTCTATACGACAAAATTTTCAATATCCATTTTGGTGTCTATACGACAAGGGTTAAAATATTTATTTTAGTGTCTATACGACAAGTGTTTAAATATCTACTTTAGTGTTTATACGACAAGGGTTTAAATATCTTTTTTAGTGTCTATACGACTAGTGTTTAAATATCTATTTTAGTGTATATACGAAAACTGAAAAGGGTTTAAAAATCTATTTTGGTGTCTATACGACAAGGGTTTAAATATCTACTTTAGTGTCTATACGACAAGGGTTTAAATATCTATTTTAGTGTCTATACGACAAGTGTTTAAATATCTATTTTAGTGTCTATCCGTCAAGTGTTTAAATATCTATTTTAGTGTATATACGACTAGTGTTTAAATATCTATTTTAGTGTATATACGACTAGTGTTTAAATATCTATTTTAGTGTCTATCCGTCAAGTGTTTAAATATCTATTTTAGTGTATATACGACTAGTGTTTAAATATCTATTTTAGTGTATATACGACTAGTGTTTAAATATCTATTTTAGTGTATATACGACTAGTGTTTAAATATCTATTTTAGTGTATATACGACAAGGGTTTAAAATTCTATTGAAGTGTCTATACGACAATGATAAATCAAGATAGGGGAATATTATCTTTAACTATTCTGGATCAAGGTGGGGGAATAACACCTTTAAATAAATATTCTGGATCAAGGTGGGGGAATAACACCTTTAAATAAATATTCTGGATCAAGGTGGGGGAATATTATCTTTATATATTCTGGATCAAGGTGGGGGAATATTATCTTTTTATATTCTGGATCAAGGTGGGGGAATAATACCTTTATATATTCTGGATCAAGGTGGGGGAATATTATCTTTATATATTCTGGATCAAGGTGGGGGAATATTATCTTTAAATATTCTGGATCAAGGTAGGGGAATAATACCTTTAAATATTCTGGATCAAGGTGGGGGAATAATACCTTTATATATTCTGGATCAAGGTGGGGGAATAATACCTTTAAATATTCTGGATCAAGGTGGGGGAATAATACCTTTAAATATTCTGGATCAAGGTGGGGGAATATTCCGCAAAGATTGTTAAATGCAGTATCCTGATCTGCACTCGACACAACTTCGTCAACATCAGAATCATCGAGTACTTGCTAGAAAAATCAATCAATGAATCAACCATCCAACCAACCAACCAACCAACCAACCAACCAACCAAACTATTAACCAACCAACCAAGTCCATAAAAATGTTCAAATTAAAAGTCATGGAGACCAATGGGTCCATAATTGTTTTCAATGCCCCTTCATCAATTTTTATTTTTAGTCTTAATTTTTTTAAATGAGAAAAAAATCTTTTTCAATTAAATCAAATGGAAAATTAAAACTTCAACCCCCTCCTTGTTTTGATAAAATTTAGTTACAAAAATGTTACCTGAGACACTGAGACATCCAGGGTTATATTAGCTGTTAATTCCTATATTAAATTCGATTTTATTTTGACATATTTTAAACAGTTAAGTCATTATTGGAAATGGGCGCGTTCGTTTTTTTTCGATTTTTTTCAATAGTTCACAAAAATTGGTTTCGTTCATTCTCAAAATTATTGTTTTGTTTATTTCCATCTTTTTTGTTTGTTTTCTATTGGACGATTTCGTTCAATTAAATCGTTCTTTCAGTAAAAAAAAGATAACTTTTTCAAAAGTTTGTTCGAGTAAAAAAACCCCGATAGTTTTTTGTAAATTTTTTTCCAAAAAAAAAATTTGTTCAGACAAAAATTAGGTTTTTACAGAATCTTGCGGAAAATTTGTTAGTTCAGTAAAAAAATATAGCTTTTTTCAAGTTCATTCGAAAAACTTCAAATCGTTCGTTTTAGTTTCTTTTTCGTTCGTTTTTATGAACAGATCGTTTTTTCTGAACACCATCGTTTAAGAAAAATTTAGTTCGTTCACAAAAACGATGCCCATCTCTAGTTTTTATCCAAAATGAATAGTTCTAAATGGATTACAATTTCTAAAAATTACCGTCAGTTTTAACCCATTTGGTTTCTCAGGTTCAGGCTCAATTCCATCCACTAAAGTTAAAAAATATAATAAATACTAGGCTTTCAGGGTGCTTCGCGCCCATCTTCAGTTTCAATTGTTACGAATTTCTTTTTGTATACATTATAAAACAAGAACAAAAAAGTTCACGTTGGAGGCTGATTTTCAAAATTTTGATCATCCATAAACCTTCCGTGGGTCATGTGAGGTCCCACACAAAATTTGCGCCCGATCGGTTCAGCCGTTTTTACGTTTATTGAATACAGACAAACAACCAACCACCCAGACAGGCCAAGCAACGTATATATAAAGATTAAGTCACCCTATTGAATAATAATGGTAAATACTATATTGCTGATATACAAACCTGTTTTAAGTTATTACCACTTTACAGGGAAATTAAGAATCCGAGGTCGAGTGAACCCATGGTTTAGTAAAAAAATTTTATTTCCCGAAAAAGTGTATAAATACAAATTTTTGTCTTTTTGAATGCTTCGCACTGAGTGCCGTTTTTTTTTACTAAATTTTACATATAGTTACTTAACACCCCCTATATTTGGTCTAAAGGTTGAATAATGCATAATAACCCCCCTCCCCTCCCCCATCCCATCCAATTACCTGAATCATCCAGCAGAAGTGAGACCAATGCATCTCTTCCTAATCCAGGATGTTCTGATAAACTATCCTGAAATAACATCAGACTAAAGCTTTGGATCCGCAGTAGTCTAGCTCCCCAGACTCGGATGAAATTGGGAAAAATATGAACAACACAGAAAATTTTAATGGACTATAACAAAGTCCAATTTACAACGTTACCCTTGAAACCTTAATTAGATCATATATATGGAAGATATTGTCGTTTTTTTTTATAGACTTAGAAGTCTTAATTCTGAAAATCCACGTATATTTTTCTGAAGTAGAAATGCGCAAGTCACTTTTGTAAAAAAACAACATTTAAAAATGAGCAGAATAAGGGGTATCATTGTGATTCGGGCATTGCAATATTGAAAATACGCAATACCACTTCTAATCACTTATGAAATACCTCTAAACTAAATTATCACTGAATGGTAGATTTGAAAAAGATGGACAAGAATTTGTAACAAACAAAAACTTTTCGTAAAAAAAATTAGCAAAACAAACAATAAATTTCTGAGTTTGATAAAGATCCCTAAAGTACCTTGAGTTCCTGTTCTGATTTCAAGGGAAATATTTGCTTGAGAAACTGAATAGTTTCATCTGAACTAGATCCAGGCTGTGGCAGGTGGGAGGTGGAGGTGGAGGGAGTATCTACAGGATGCAAAGAGGATGGTGAAGGTTTTTCTGATGAATTTGATTCGTTCCTAGTTGTAATTACGAGATTAGGATGGGTTTAACATGATTAGATAACAGTATGGTGTAAATTGGACACATTTGTACGTAACTTTATAACCCTGCAACGGGAATTACTAGGTATGAAATTTGAAATCTTAATAGCAGTGTGAATAAGTCACTTTATCACCCTACAACCGGAAATATAATGTGTGATAAATTCCCTCAAAATTGAGAAAAATTAGCATCATGCTAACTCTACCTTGAAGGTCCAGGTTGGTCAGGATCATCGACTGAATCATCTCGTTTCCTCTTGCCAGGGTTCTATAAGGAATAGAATGTTAAGGAGGGAAGTGGTCCGTAGGGTGATCAAAACAAGAAAAATAGATATTTTTCCCGTATTAATATGTCCCCTGAGTGTATATATAAACTTCAGATGTCTATTTCAGCTTTATGTAAAAGTTGACATTCTTTATAATAACTAAAAGGACCATTAATAAAAATATTTATCAAATTTTAGGTTTCCAATATTCTTAATCTCTAAAATTCAAGTTAACACCCTTACTGGATACTTTTGTAAATGTGATACTAATATTTAGGCTAATCAAGAGTAGGATTTCAGGATGATAAAGGGGGGGGGGATAGGAGATCTTACGTAGGGTTTAGTATGGGTAGAAAATGTTATTGCTCGCCTTATTCTCTGACAAAGAAGGATAGAAATAGAGTTGAAATAAGATAAGAGGATAAGAGAACAGTCCCTTGAATACCCTAAATCAATACTAAATTTTCTCCTCCTATTTGACAAAGTGCCACGCGGAAGAAATATCTAACAAGTTTTTCTTAAAATTCTTTTTCTTTAATTCTAATTTTCTGAGTTCTCAAATTGACTAAGTCTCGTGACTATTATCTATTCTAAAATAGTCTAATCAATTTTGATACTTCTGTAAATAATCCTAGATATCTTTTCTTATAACTATTTATCACTCCCTCTCTCTTTCACTTATCTGTTACCTCCTTACTATTTTCGGCGACCACCTATTTAGGTCCTTATGAAAGTTTGAATGAAAATTGTTGAAACGTGTATCTGACGGTACTTAAGAGTCCTCAAGCTTGACAGGCCTATTGTGTGTTTATTTGAATGATGGTTTAATCTTTTATCTTGTCTTCGTCTAGGGAGAGAGAGAGGGGGAGGAAGGGAGGGGCTGGCGCTGGGGGAGGGGTGGATTATTCGATAAATCATCTTTTGTGTCAAATCCTGTTAGAATTTATATCAAGATTCAATAGTATTCGCAGATATACACTTTTATCATGACTTTATAGATCCTGTTAATATTTATAATTTTTTCAAAAAAAATTTCATTCATCCTCTGATGTGACTGCAGTCTGCAAGTATGTGATTAATCATTAATCAAAATGGCATAATTAAGGTACTCGAATTTTGACAATAACAAAAATATTAAAACATAAATTTTAAAATAAATTATGAGTTAAAGTTTCAGGGAGGGGTCTTCACCTCGAAAATATTTTTAAAACAAAAATTTTAGAAAAAAAGTTTTTATGTAACTTAAATCAAATTTTCAAGATTTACATTTAGCTGTAAACAGGTTGATTTATATTTTGTATTTTTGTGCTCAGGGGACTTCTATGTACGGGAAAAAATTCTCTTAAGTAAATCAAAAATCTAAAATAGTTGTATAAATGGTACACCCTAAACCCTAGTGGCCGTAAAATCAATTACAAATGAATTTTAGATCGTTTATCCTAATCGTTGAACCGCCTAGACGTTGGTAAATGGTTCAACTTTATCCACCCGGCTCAATCATTTCTTGCTATTCATTAAATCCAGATCCCTAGACCAGATTCTAAAGTTTAGACCAACACAAGTTATTAAGGAGTGTATATTTTCTTGAAAAACCATCCCCCCACCCTAATTTTTTAAAGATTTTTTCTCGTTGCCTTGGGGAAAAATGAATTTTCGGAGATAAGTATCAAAAAGTATACCCCACGGGGGAAAAAATCTCGAAATTCTAAACCCCAGTGTATTAATGATATATGTGATATATATATATGATATATCATTAAAATCATTTATAATTTTGAAGTTAAAAAAAACTATATTTCTGCTTAAGAGGTCAAAACTTTATAACACGTCGTGCCAAAATAATAGTGTTTAAGGTAATTTTATGAAATGTTTATGCACTTGTTTTGATGCAACGAATTTTAGATATAAGTTTTCTAACAGAGCAGAAGAAAAAAATCTGAAGCTAATTTCATTTTTACTTTCATTTAAATTGAAAAAAACTATTCTAGAAATATCATAAATTTTTTTGGAGAAAATCCGGGAACCATTCGAAACGAAATCTAGGAAACTATCTGAGGCTACGCAAATGTCACCTTAATTATTTTATTGAGGACGGATTCATAACTACTATTCTCTAAAATTTGAATATTATTCTCTCAAAAATCTGCCGAAATCAAATTAGAAAACTCCTACTGATTATTTTTGATTGTGGTTTCTCTACAAAAATGACTTGCGCAGAAAAACAAATAGGAATTATTACAATTAAAACCTAGAACGACCATATCTTCCTTATTATTGCAATTCCAAATAAAGATTTCAAAGGTATAGTTTTGAATCAAGCATTACTATTTGGCATGTATAAGGCTTACATTAATGGGTCCGTCCTAGAGAACGATTTTTGGAGGGGGGGGGTCCAAAAATCGTATACTAGGACAGACCCATTTTCTGAAACTAACCTACAAATAAAAGAAAACCCCAACGGGTGCTAAGCTTCCATCGAAAATAAAACTAATTGATCATCTCCCTGAACAAATTCCTGAGTACGCCCCTGGTGCCAAACTTCCCATCCAATCAGTTCAAATTTGATTTTACAAAAACAGTTTTCAAATGAGATAAGTACTTTGAAAGTTCTTTATATGAACGATGTAATTGAAACTGTGCAGAGCCAGACTGCAGAATGCAGATGTCTGTGGCTTAAGTTATTTCACGAATTTCATGTTTTAAAATTGCGGCTGCAGCTGCATTTCTTAACTCATTCAGTTTCATCCCCGATATGACGAATCTAGCCAGGTTTTTACAAAAAAAAAATGGATAATTAGGGTCTACATTCAAGCTAGGACCAAATGTATAAATGAACTAGACACGAAAGTCAACTATAGTGACTGAACTACACTATCGGATCTAGACGGATCGAAATTAAATAAGAATGTCGTACCGTTGCCGCGTTAAATGTTTAAATTTTCCATCAGTTAATCAAAATGGTGTCGTATCAATGGGACTAACGTTCGCATGAACTATCGTTATTAACTAGTTGTTATACTCTTTACAAGGCGTAAAAAGGGGGTGGCACCGTGGCACTGGTTGAACAACCCACCCCCCTAATAAATCTATGAATGTACCTTCTGTTAAACTCTGATTGATATAAATTCCTCATATGATTTGTTTTTCATGATGTAGGTGGTTAAAGGGACGGGATCAAGATCTTAAATGATGCTATCTCATTTGAACTACTCCCGTTTGAACTATTGTTCATTTGAACTATTGTTCGTTTGAACTACTGCACGTGGTACCACGTGATGTTATAGTTAAAATGAACAATTTCAAACGAGTAAATATATTGCTCATTTGTTAACTATTTTTAGTTCAATTGAACTATTTTCATTTGCACTATTAATATTTTAAATGAAATAAACAATAAAATAGTTCAAATGGACATAAAAATAGAATTAAAAAGAACAAAAAAATAGCTTTTAAATGAATTAAAAAAAATAGTTCAAACTTAAATAGTTCAAATGACAAAAAAATTAGTTCAAATGAAATAGTTCAAATAACAAAAACAAGTTAAAAAGAGTAAAAAATATTGCAAATGAAAAAGGCAAAAAAAATAGTTAATGAACAAAAAATAGTTAAAATGAGAAAAAAATAGTTCAAATTGACAAAAAAAATAGTTGAAATGAACAAAAAAATAGTCACAATGAACAAAAAAGTAATTCAAATGATCCATAAAAATAGTTCAAATGGACAAAAAAAATAGTGCAAATGCTGTGGATCAGCTGAAGTAATTATAGGGGAGGGGGCCTCGGGGGCCTGAAGGCCTGTGGGAGGAGGCATGACGCTGAACTCCAATTCAGCTTCTCCAGTGTGCGAGGTGGGGAAGACTTCACTGCCGTGCTTAATTAAAAGCATGATTAAGGGGGGATGACATTTGTAGATCGAGATTGAATCCTAGCCGCAGCGCTCGGCTCAGAAAGTGTCATAACTTAACCTAACCGTGGCCGCAGCGCTCGGCCCCTAGCCTGTCCTAGTCGCAGCGCTCGGCCCAGAAAGTGTCTTAACCTAACCTAACCCATAATAAAAGAATTAGTGTCATAACTTAACCGGAACCTGTGGCCGCAGCGCTCGGCCCCCTGCCTGTCCTAACCTAACCCTAAATAAATACTAATTTAATTGAAAATTCTTGAAAAGGTGGTCATGTCAAAAAGTAAAATCTGCAGTGAAGTCTTCCCCACCTCGCACACTCGAATGTTGGAGTTCAGCGTCTGCGCGTGGGAGAAGACAGACAAAGGGGCCGGGTAAAATCACGTCGGGTGTATAGGAGTATTTATCACATTTGAACTATTTATATGTTTTATAACTATTTTATTCGAAATTTTTGTTTGTTTATTTTTCATTACTATTCTTTCATCATTTGAATTATATTTTTGTTCATTTGAACTTTCATTTGAACATATTTTTTTTTATTTAAACTAATTATTTTAAATTCATTTGAATAATATTTTTCCTCATTTGAGCTATTTTTTTTTCATTTGAACTATTTCATTTGAACTATTTTTATGTTCATTTTCCTTTAAAATATTTTTTCTCATTTGAACTATATTTCAAATTTGCAGAACTATTTGTTTTTTCATTTGAACTATTTCATTTGAACTATTTTTATGTTCATTTAAACTATTTTTATGTTCATTTGAACTATTTTGTTTGTTAATTTAAACTATTTTTATGTTTATTTGAAACATTTCTTTGTAATTGTTATCTAATTAATTGTCATGAACTAACTTTATGCAAATTATAAAAAAAATTTAAAAATTTAATTGCGGTAGAAAAATAGTTCAAATGAGCAAGAAATGTGTTGATTTGAACTACAGGATATGACGTCATGTCAGTATAATTCAAATGAACAATAGTTCAAACGAACATTCAAACGGGAGTAGTTCAAATGTGAATCCACCATATCTTCAATTATAACACTTCCTCTTCTGCGCAGGTCTAATCTGAACTTGGATCATTTTCAGCAGGCATAATCTAAACCTGGAGATATTCAGCAGGTCTAATCTAAACCTGGAGATATTCAGCAGGACTAATCTGAACCTGGAGATATTCAGCAGGTAAAATCTGGGTGTCATATTCATTTCATAGAAGGACATTTCATAGACAACACATTTCATAGATAGGACATTTCATAGACAACACATTTCATAGATGGATATTTCATATGCATAATGTTGATTGGACAATGGACATTTCATAGACATGACATTTCAAAAATAGGATATTTGACAGATATATGACTTTCCATAGACAGGACAGGACATTTCATAGACAGAGAAGATTTTTTCTAGACAGGTAATTTCATAAATCCATAGAAGAATTTTCATAGATATGTAATTTCATAGACACAAAAGCAATTTTTTCAGAGATAATTTAAGGTTTTGGGTATGTAAAGTGGTGTCACATCTTTAACTGTTTAAAGCAAAAATATGAATAATATGTGATAGTGAAGGAAAAATTAAAGCGATCATAGAAATTGAACTGAGTATGATTTATAGAAGAAAAGATTACTTGGAAGAAAAAAAAAGAAAATAGACTAGTAGACCAGTAGACTATAAGATCAGTCGACCAGTAGCCCATAAGACCATTACACTATAAGACCTTTAGACCAGTAAACCAGTAGACCAGTAGACCAGTAGACCAGTAGACCAGTAGACCAGTAGACCAGTAGACCAGTAGACCAGTAGACAATTACGCTATAAGACCTTTAGACCAGTAGACCAGTAAACTAGTAGACCAATAGACTAGTAAACCAGTAGACTAATAGATTAGTAGACCAGTAGACCAGTTAACCAGTAGATTAATTGACTAGTAGACTAGTAAACAAGTAGACAGTAGACTAGTAGACTAGTAGACTAGTAGACTATAAGATTAGTAGACTAGTAGACTAGTAGAACAGTAGACCAGTAGACCAGTAGACCAGTAGACCAGTAGACCAGTAGACAGTATTGTATTGTATGCATGCTGCAGGTGTGCCAACTTGTTTGATAACTTTAAAGGATATGGACATAGATGATATGGTTGACAGACTCTAGGAATAAGGGGGGGGGGGGGTGAAGGTAAACCAAATGTCATCAGTATATGGGAAAGGGGGAAGGGGGAAGAATGTGTTAATTCATGTGTGTCCTCTCTCTCGACTGCACAGGGATAAATATATATTCTCTTTACAGTATAAAATAAATCAGTTGACCATTGATAAGGCATCCCTTTTTCTTTTTATTTTATGTTTAAAAGGTACACACAGGCAATGCAATTCCCTTTAAAAAGTGCTCCATATCAGTTCTGCTATCCTAATGTTTATTAAAGTCATTTTTAATTTTAAACTCTATATTATTGATAAGAGATGAAAATCTAATCCAATAAATTAATAAACTTCTTTAGTAAATTTATTTATATATGAAAACACTTTAATATAAAATATTAAGTGAGCTAGGCAATTAAAGAAAAAGATATATTTTACTAGGATATCAGAACTGTTTTGGAGCTCGACCCCTATAACCATCCCCCAGCCCCCGGCTTCCGGCTTAAGTAATTCAAAGTTTTAAGTACAGAGTTACCATGAGACTTCAGAGACTATTGTGCGACAAGACAAAATATCATGTTTTTTTTGTATTCATGATTTTCATTTCTTTCAAGGAATATCTTAATTATATTTGGGATCGTCTAGCTTTAATTAAATCAGTCTATTTTATATGGCTTAACCAAAAATCAAAATGATATTATCTCTTCATTGTAGAATCCACAATAGTTTAAAGAATCGTAAACTTCACTTTCAATCTTATAATATAATTATTAGAAATGTGTTAATTATTAATATCATTAATAAACATGCTATAATGTTGAGATTATTTGAAAAAAAGTATTTTTTTCGGACGTAAAATACCTTTTGTTGGTGCAGACCAAAACGCAGGGCGTGGAGACAGAATGGCAGAGGCTTGGAGACGTAGGGAGAGACAAGGAGAGGGTTTCCTGGGCTTCGGAGCTCATTCTTCGTATCAGGAGGCTCCAGAGGTCATTCAGTGGGGCCTATGGCTGCTCTGCACCCCTCCCTCATATGGGCAGGTTTAGGAAAAACTTTGTACTCATACTCAAGGTTATAGAGATTGCATGGGAATGCTATAGATTTTTATGCTCGAGCTTTTCTTGAACTTTAAAGGCATTTACATTCTTTTTGATGCCACTATCCATTTAGCAAAAATATATATTAGCTAATCTCATCATTTTATTTATATCATTTTATTACATCTCATCATCTCATCATCATTATCATATTGGCTACTCTCATCATTTTATTACATCTCATCATCTCATCATCATTATCATATTGGCTACTCTCACACATTTTTAATAATACATTTATTCTATATAAGAGTAACTCAAACCTCTACATAATATTCATTCTGATTAGAATTTAATTAGGTATCAGTACGATTATGACATCATTTTAATCCAAAACAGACAAAATATCTATCTTGATAAATTATGATGTGTAATAAGTTAAAAATTTAGTTTTGCAAAAAGCTGTGTTGGTCCCAAAGAGAATAGAATATATATTAGAGTGTAATTTACTAGACAAAAGTGTAAAACAGCCATTTTGTTGTACTGTTTCCATCCTGCAGATGTACTTCACACATTTGGGCCCTGGAACATCACTTTATAGAAAATCTAAAATTAATATTAAAAGAAAACCAAATTATGAAAAAGGCTGGTTTCATAATTGACCAATGATAATTTCACATAGACTCTATGCCACTTTACAAACGATGATTTTCCGTTATAACTATAAATCAATTGATGCTTTTATTTACCTAATTCATTTTATAAAGTTTATTTTACAGCTTTAAAAAATTCGAAATTGAAATGGATATGTCTAGGGAACATACTGTATTAATGTACTCTACTGCATATAATTTGTGAACATTTACATGATTTGTACACTTTGAATTCCCTTTCAGGCTGAAAGGGACTGACAAAATTTGTAACGAGGGATTTTTTAAATTCCACTCTAATATATATTCTATTCTCTTTGGTTGGTCCGTTTCCATAGCAACCAACCTGTAGCTTTCTGTAAACTCACAACACAATACATCCAATTCTCTCTGTTGAGTTAGTTTGATAGAGCCTTGCGTACCAGTGGTCCAGTAGCAATATATAAGAAGCTAATTTCATCGAATTTTTCCGACGCATTTGAATACTAGTTGATATTTTATAATATATTTTATCATATTTGTATTATATATGAAAAACAATGCAATTTAAACGACGATTAGTTGGCTGCCGGGTGTCTCTGCTCTCGATATTTCTGTGCAGGTTGCATGTGCATGGGAGAGAGACATCTATATCGGACAAAAAGTCTTTGTTTTAACTGGATTTCAAACTTGTTACACAGCAGAGTTAAAATTATATAGATATTTTGGATTATGTTTTCTTTCCAGCTTACGAGCTTTTAAATATACTAGCCTTAGAGGGCGCTTCGCGGCCATCTTCTAAATCAATTGTGAACATGTTCTCTCATCGTAAAACAAAACAAAAATAATTCGCGGATTTTCACAAAAAATTTCGTGGATTTTCAAAATTTTCAAAAATTTAAAGAAGATCGAATTTTGATGGAGACAAATATTTGAAATTTTGATCTTTCATAAACCTTCCCTGGGGCTCCGTGAGGTCCCACAAAAAAATTGGGCCCTATCGGTTTAGCCGTTTTTACGTTTATTGGATACAAACAAACAAACAAACAAACACCCAAACAGACAGACAAGCCAAAGGAATTGAGTCTTTGCCACAAACTCTGATTTTCTAATCACTATATCTTTGGAACCAAATGTTGCAGACCTTAGATATTTCAAACTATGAATTCTGTTAGATCAAATAATCTGAGTTTGAAATATCAAAGGTTTACAAGATCGAGTTATAAAGATATTGAGGTTTACATATTTGATTATGTTCCAAAGACTCAATTCCTTTATATATAAATATCCTTTCTAACTAAAGGATTATTAAATAGAAAACTTTCATAAGTTCGGTATAAAACGAGCAATTTAACACCTTCTCCAAACCTTGCAATGTCTTACCAATGATTTAAAATTGAAACGCCTTACCACAAAACGTTTCACCATGGAAATGCCTCAAAAACCCCTTTCGAGGAATTTCTGTTTTATTTTGGGAAATCCTTCAAAACTTGAAAAGGGTGATGGATTTCTGAATATTTTTGAGTCGTTTCCCAATATTTATAGTTGAGGTGTTTCCTCTTTTTTTTTATACATCTCCGCTTTAACTTTTAAGGCGTTTCCGTTTAACAAAAAAACTTTTTAAACATTCACAAATCATGAATTTGACAAAACTCATCGTTCATTTAATGAATGGTTCACAGATACAGGGTGTCCAAAAAAACATGGGAATTCAGTGACGAATTCGATGTCGTTTTTTATGAATTAGCATTGTAATACTTGATTTTATTATCTGCTATAGTTTATTTTTATGAAAACGGTATGGCTATAAAGATGTCTAAAACGTCTCTAAATATCTTTTCTGCTCCCGAACGTCGAGATTTTTAAAATTTTATTTAATGTTTTAGATCTATGCAATTAAAAAAAAGTTAAAACAAGCACAGTCTTTGGCGGGGTTTATGGCCGAATGTCCCCCCCCCCCCTTCCGTAAGTGAAGAGGGACAAGTTTACTCTGTGTGTATAGTGTAATTTTCTTGTTTTACTAAGTACAACCGTATGCAGTCAAAACATTAACAAACAAATTGTAAACATAGCAGACGAAAATCTTAGGAATTACAGCTTTCTCAGTAAGTATCACCATACTAAATCAAAGAATTATTTTAAAAGACAAAATCAAATTCGTCACTGAATTCCAATGTTTATTGGGACACACTGTCTATACAATTTCGATCTAAAACTCCTCAAAAGAGTGATATATCTATCAATCTTTCCACTTTCATATCCGTAAACAGTCTCTTTAAAATTATTATATTGTTTAAACAAAATATTCCCCATGAAAAGAACAGACAATTATTCCTTTATAAAAAGTAAAAAGAAATAAGAAGGAGAACAAAAAAACAGATTACAGGGTTTACATTTAGGGGTTCCAAATTCGCAATTCTAAGACGAAAAAATGCACAAATTTAGTTATATAGGCTTCTTTAGAAAACATTATATTGGAATATGGCTCAAATGAAATATCTGAATTTTCGCAGTTTTTGTTATTAGAATTGTGAATATTCTTTGTATAATGTATGCAACAGAATTAGCTCATATTTTGATTACTCAATTTTTTACAGATTGGAAAAATTCCAAATTATAACAGTTCCAGCAGGACACCCTGTACATATATGTATAAATATTCAAATAATTAAAAAGTAGTAACCAGAGCAGCTTTTCAATTCATATTTTTTTAATACAAATTGTTTCGGATCTCTTCTGTTAATAAACATGGTTAAACACCACATGTATACACAATTATAAAATACACATGTATACTAGGTTGGAAACCCAGCGTGTACCTTGGGAGTTAAATTACAATTTTAGCTATTTTTATCGTTAAAAGTGGGCCTTCTCGACTAAGAATCTTAAAACAAAGTTAAGAACATTCCCCTGGGTCTCTTGAGTTCCGGCCAATCAAAATTTGAATCCAATCAGTCCCGGGGCTCCTGAGTTTTGATCACACAAACAAACAAAACAAACAGACTAACAGAGATTACAATTTTATATATATACTAACATGGGGACCCAGCCTTGCACAGGATTAAGGGTACTCATTACTCCCGCCGTTTACCCGCTCATCGACGATTTTTACCGGGAAACTAAACTTAGAATCTTAAAACAAAACTAAGAACATTCCTGTGGCTATCCCGAGTTCTCCAATCAAGATTGAGGCAAATCGGTTGACGGGTTCTCAAGTTATGATCGCACAAAAAACAGACAATCAGAGATTTCAACTTAATATGTAAATATATTTCAGTTTTTAAACTTCACATTTTATTAAAAAATAATTATACTAAACACAATGTAATGTTTCACGCCTCATTATGATCCTCAGTAAGCCTCCACTATGCAGACCATTATATTAGTCATAATTAGGAACTAAAACTTAAAACACAAGTTTAAAAACCTCTTGTATTACAGGGGCACATTTTGCGCATGCTCATTTCTGCATAGCGGAGGCTTGGTCTGCCTATTTGGGAGACTTGTGTCTGCATAGCGGAGGCTCCTGGCGTTCGGGGGATCCCTTCATCGTCCAAAGGAAGGAACATGACATGTGAGAGAAAACTAAGTCGTCTTCGATATTAAAAGAATTGGAGCATTCTTTTTAAAAGTTTTTTGATATTTTTAGAAAAAAATGGATCGCTTTATCTTTCCCTTGATATTGGTTTGTTTCCTCTACTTGCCAAGTGGACATGCAGGACAGACAGGCTCTGAACAAAGCTTTCTTTCCAGGCACTTACTTCAGGCAAGAAAAAACAATCAATCATTAAAAAGGACTGCTCACTTATTTCAAAATTAAAACCTGATATCTTTCCGACTCAAAAATGTTCCTGATCGCCAGAGCGTCCAAATCTGATCGTAATAATAGGATAAACGTTGTGTTGTCACAGTAGCTATATAACTTGGCAAGATTTTACTGTAAGATGCTTTAATCCAATGAATTATATATTCATCACTTCAAATTAAAAAATTTAGGATAAAAAATTTAAAGAAAAAGATCGGTTTGTACTGGATATCATGTATTTATGTACTGGATATCATGTATTTAGTCTATATTTTTTAATATTATTCAAATTAAACAAATTTACGGTGAAACCCTTAATAACGAATACATCGAAAAAATTCATCAAATGTCGTATTCTTCACTTTCTGATAATGGAATGTTGCAGATATTTAGTATTTTAATTAAATGATTATATGGAACTCTTTGAAACTGTTCCCGCATTTTCATGGCTATTTATTTATTTTCGCAAAAGAGTAAGGTACGGTTTTCTAATTTTTCTTTTAAGTTTTATGTGTTCTGACAATATTCATTTTGAAAAATTCCATTTTACATAAAAAAGATTTTTATTTTTGTTCTCTTCTGTATTTATTATAGTTGCTGTGTTTGTATTTTTTATTTTTATTTTTTGCTTATATCTGTTATATTATAGGACTAACTCCTGATGATGCCAAAGTTTTTGGCGAAATATATTGAGAAGAAAATGATATAATTCTAGTGCTAGAGAGTAGGGTTGGGATTTGTTTAAAAACGATCTAAAGTTATTTTCGCAAATACTGAAATTTACGTAATATAGTATAAAACTCATTGAAAAATTGTCAAGACGACATTTGATAAATTCTTCCGATGCATTCGTTATTAAGGGTTTCACTGTATGTAATCTAAAGATTGATTGGTTTAACCCTACAGGAAAATGAAAGCTTTGCTGACAGCTACCCATTTCCTGCTGAACTATTTAATTATCAGCAGCTTCAAGATGGAGCCATAGTTCTCTACATTATTGGGTTAAATTGTGTATTCTTTGCCCTTGGACTTGTGACTTATCACTTCTTCCTACCTAGCATCGATGTGTTCATTGAGAAATTTGATATCTCTCCTGAGATATCCGGAGCAATCATACTTCCAGCAGCTTGGGCACTTTCAGAACTTATCACTTCCATCATTGGAGTCTTTGTTTCCATGAGAGAGGTGAGCATTGGAACCATTGTAGGATCTTCAGTTGCAAATGTTATCTTTGCCATTTTAACATGCGCCTTTGCATGCACAAAACCTTGTTCTCTGAAAGCAGGGCCACTGATAAGAGATATGTTGTTCTTTGCGGTCAGCATTATTCTACTGGGACTGTTTTCAGTGGATAGTCAGTTTAAATGGTGGGAGGGATTGATTCTGCTGTTCTGGTATATTATGTACATCTTGTACATGTCATTCAGAAAAAAAATTGAAAGTGTGTGCAGGCCCTGCTGCAAGAAAGCAGAGAAAACTGAAGAAGGGAGCGAAAATGTTGAAGAAAATAATGAATTCCAATTCAATCCTGATAAAAAACCTGTCTTTGAAGTTCAGTGCTGTAAACCTGATGATAGCGCCCCTGAGATGAAGATTCAAACAACTCAGCAAGAGACGAGCGCAATTCTACGGTTTTTGTCAAGGCTGATTTGGATCCTGTCCTTACCCTATGTCATCCCAATGTGGATTATAACTCCAGATCCCAAAATTCGAATCTTAAAAAATCTTTTTCCTATTACATTCATTGTCAGCATTGGTTGGATCATGGGGTTCTCTTACTTGATGATATGGTGGGCCTCTACAATAGGGGTTGTACTAGGCATACCAACTAGTATTTTAGGGATAACAGTCCTGGCTCTGGGTTCCCATATACCTCTGCTTATAGCTGTTGTTCTGATGGCAAGACAGGGACATGGAGACGTTGCAGTCAGCTTTTCAATAGGATCCAATATATTTAACGCAACCGTCATACTTCCAATTCCGGTCATCTTGAACAAAATCATTTTTCAGCAAGACACATATGTCAACTCTTACAGAATGGGTTGCAGTATTGGATTACTTTTCATCATCTTTATTCTTGTTCTTCTTATCATCCTCATTTTTAGAGGGAGAATGACCAAGTTTATGGGAGTTATACAAGGCATTCTTTATTGTCTTTTTGTTGTGGTTTCCTTGTTATTTGAGTACAATTATATAAGCTGTCCAATCTAGAGGACTTTTTCTCGAATTTTGCTTTAGTGTCAGCTGTGTGCAAAGTGGAGATACGCTTAAATATTGATTTAATGTCGTCTTCCTATTCCAGGATTTTTTGGTTCTCACTGAATTCCATATGAACTTGAGGCCTAACCCAGTCTTAAAGAAAAAGAAAAATGTTAATATTTTATTTCAAAAATTATTAAACATTTTCCTTTTTTGATGGTTGTCCTAGCACTATTGCATATAGGAATGCTTCTATTTTTTATTTTTTATTCTAATGGATAATTATATTTTTTATAAACATTCTTGTTAATGTTTTTTTTTGCTTCTGTGAAGCTATGATGGTTAACATTAACAATATAACAATAATGCATATTTTAAAAATTATTGATTAACAATGTGGGTTTTGACAATTGTAATATCAATATGTTTCAAGTTCCTTACTTTATTGATTTCTCAATTCAAGGGAAATAACCTGGGGAATTCAAAGGATTTAAATAAAATTGTTTAACAAAGAGTTGTTTAAACACCCCCTTCAGGTTTTGCTTCAAAATCGTGATCAAAACCTTGGAAAATTAAGACAGCTTTTTTGTTAAAAAAATAACTAATTTTAAATTGTTTTGTCATAGATTAATAGCATAACCTTAATTTTCACTTTCTCTTGGTACTTTTCAACCAATTAATCTTTATGTAACAGCAATTAATCTTTATGTAATAGCAATTAATCTTAATGTAATAGCAATTAATCTTTATGTAATAGCAATTAATCTTTGTGTAACAGTAATTAATCTTTATGTAACAGCAATTAATATTTATGTAAAAGCAATTAATCTTTATGTAATAGCAATTAATCTTTGTGTAACAGCAATTAATATTTATGTAAAAACAATTAATCTTTATGTAATAGCAATTAATCTTTATGTAACAGCAATTAATATTTATGTAACAGCAATTAATCTTTATGTAACAGCAATTAATCTTTATGTAATAGCAATTAATAAGCTTCAAATTAATGCAAGTTTATACCTAAAAGGATAAGACAGGAAAGAAAATCTAAAATCATTAAAAATTCTTGATGATTAAACCTTATGCCTTGAATAAAGTCTTTAAAATGGCTAATATTTAATATTTTGCCAAAGAAAAAAACAATTCTGCCTCGGGAGGCAATCTTGATTATAAGGAAACACTCTGCTACCGTACAATTAGCGTTGTTTATGGTTTTGGATCGCGTTAATTTGATAAAACTTCCAAGATGTCAAAACAGTGTCAAAGTTTGATTGCAATATTTTAACTTTCAAATATCTTTATCCTAAAAAATTAAAAATAAATAGAAAAATATCCTGAAATGATAGTACAGCACAGCCAAGGAGTATGAAATAGAAGGAAGATACAACTGACGCGGCCCGCCCTACCATATGATTATACATGCTTTGCAGACAGGTACTCCATTTGTATAAGAAATATTCAGAATAGGTTATTGTATACGTGGTAATTGTACATCAGATAAATATTTCTTATTCAAATGAAGTACCGCGTCTGCAAAGCATGTATAATCATATGGTAGGGCGGGCCGCGTCAGTTGTATCTCCCTTCTATTTCATACTCCTTGAGTACACCAGGATCGTTTTTACCTATATCTTCTGCCAGGGTCAAAATTTGACCAATTTGACCAAGTGTGAGAAAAGTAAATGATTAGAATTAACACTTTAGAAAACATTCGTTTTTCTTATTCTTTGCCAAAATTTGAACCCTGAAAGAAAAAATAAATAAAAACGACTTAAAAATGAAACAACAGAATGCTCATCACTGTGTAAAGTCGTCTCTGAAATCTCACCCTTTGTGGGTAACCTTGAAGCTAGAATAATTTTTGGTCAAGATTTTTATCTTCATACTATTCAAATTAATTTGAGTTTCCAAATTGCCAACCAATGAAAAATTAAAATATTTATATTTGTTACAGTTTAAAAAATTAGAATTTCATGTTCCCTGTATTGTATAAAATATTTACGCGAAAATTAAATCTCTCGATGTTGATTTTTATTACTGTTAAAATACTTTAAATTATCATATAATGGGCAAAGCATGCCCGAGAAAGAAATAAGAGTTTGAAACCGAAGAAAAAAATGTGTACAAAGTGTACAAATCAAAACTGGTACAAGTTTATTTATTTCATATTACTTTAAACCAGGTACAAAGAAGTAAAATAATGCACGTTGTACATAATCAACTTAACTAATGCTTTCCGCCTTTATTTTCAGATCAAAAATAACGCATTCCGATGTTTAATATTTTGCGCGCATTGCAAAATTCGGTAAAAAAGGAATTTTGAAAATTTGAGCTTTGACAAAATTAAAAATTTCACTATAAAATACTTCAGAGAGTTTAAAAATGTTTAAAGAAAATTAAAAATGTATTTGCATCGGTCAATTAGCCATAAATATGAATTTTATGGAATAAGCTTAGCTCATTTTCTCCTCAAAGGACGATTAAGTTTGAATGATTCTGTCTGTTCAAAAGTTTCTATCTCTAGAAGCCTTGATAAATATTTAATGATTATTGATTTAGGATTATATTTGTATAGGTTCTCCCTCCATAGCTGCAATAAACATCTCAATATCCTCCGTAGTTGGGCTCATGTCAACATCCGCCATTACTAAACAAATAAATAGGTTTTGCGCATTGCACTAAGAATTAGTTGCGGCATTGTACATTTTCTACTGTTTTGTACAATATTTTTCAGCTGCACAAATTTTCGGCACAAATTTAAAATATAAAAATAAAAAAAGATTTAAGAAGAAGTTTGAAATTATTCTCTTTATTGTGCAGACTAACTTTATCTTATATTTAAACTTATTAACAAAAAAAAATAATTAACTTGTACTTGTGGCCAAGAAAATTGCTATGATAGGAATAGCCAACATTATAAAATTACCTTGTGAGGTTTTCCCCATTTTCTTGGATTCCTTCAAGTCAACCGCCACATCTAATTCAGTCGTAACTCGTAATCAATAAATTAACTACACGAATACTTATTTATAACTTTAAGAATTTACAGTTGTACAACATAGTTCCCTTGATGGCAGATCAATGTTACAAAGAGTCTTTGATTATTTAGATGAAAAAACAAACAAATATAACCTTGATCCATGATAGTCAGTTTTCTTCCATCCTTCTCATCTCGTTCGTGAATTTTCAAGTGCACTTTTAAATTGTGCCTAAACGGTGAATGTCATTTTAGGATAACAATTTTATTATTAATCTACGAGGATAGTTGAATTACATAAAAGTCGTCTTTTCATGTAATCTCATCCTAATAATGTTAGCTAAAGTTGTTCCTGTGTCCTAAGTCTTGATACTTCTATGTTTATACCAGCTGATAAACTACTGTACACACAGGGGGTCAAGCTAGGGTGAAGCATTTGGCCTATGATGTTTGTGCTGTTTAACGGCTCAATTGGACTAACCCAAGCTAGCTTTTAAGCCAACATAGTGGCGGTTACAGCAGTCTTCTTTGCAGATGATTTGCTTGGGGAAGGGGGTCAATGATCATATTACGGCAGACACAATGTCTCAGAAATAAACAACCGGCTTCATTTAAAAAATGTATACCCTTAACCTAGAATTTTACTATAACAATCCATATGTTATTTTGAAACAGTATACTATTAATTTTTTGTACTTTTAATGGATCTAGTATTTGGGACTTGAGTTCCCAATGTGTTTCAAAATTGTATACAGCAAAGGAATACTGCTATTAGAATTCTTTTTAATGCGACCTCTAGGTATTTGATTGAAAGCATTTATGAGATGTTAAACTTAAAATGAGTTTCCTTAATGAGAATTTAGTTTTGCAGAGCGGGCATTCAAACTTCCTCTCCCCGGTATGAACAACCTTGCAATCAAAAATATTAAGTAATTTCAAATGACCCTCCACTTTCGCTTTTCTATCTAAAAAGTGTTACATTTTAACAATTTCCTTCATTGTTTCTCCTGCACAAATTAGCAAGTCACTTTTGACAGAGAAACCACAATTTTCAGATATAGAAAAGAAAAGAGGTTCGTTAATCCTTAATCAGACATACTTATTTTTTCGCATTTCTTTCGTTGAAAGAAAGTACGACAATTTTCGTTTTTTCAGGGTAATTAAGCATTTTTTTTCGCGAAAAATTTCGCTTTTTTCGCGAAAAAGATTAATGCGAAATTTCACGAAACAGAGAAACATTTTTGCAATTTTTTGGGAAATTGTCCAATATTTTTTTCATTTGAACTTCTTTCCGCAAAAAAGTAGGTAAAATTCGAAAGAAAACTTTCGCGAAATTTTGAATTTTTTCGCAAAAGTTTGCGTTCCCTGGAAACCCTAAGGGTACTTTACAAACTATGGAATTGGAGGATCAGTTTTAAAACTAAAATCTGAGAAATCAACTAACCATATGTCGACGTAATTTAGATCGTTCTGTAAAACTTCCTTTACACCCCCTGACCTCACATTTGAACACGCGTCCATAATGAACCTGAACAAAAACTATTAGTGACACATAGCGCATTGCATAATACAAATTTTCAATTTTGATTAAACTTATGCAATTAGATGATATTCCCAAGGAGGCAAAATTTCATGCAAATTGAAAAACCACTTGAAAATCCTCTTTGACCTTTGAATGTTTTTTTTGAGGCTTTTAATGGTTTTACATAGTTTAACATGATATGATTCATGAAACAAAATTCAAGAAATAACCTTACAAACACCTGCCGTTTCCATAGTGTGAAAAGACATTTTTGTGCTTTTAAAGTTACTGGAAATATGAATAAATAGACAGTTTTAGTTTTTAATAAGTTGAAATCTAGAAATCTTCATATCTCTGGTATTTTAAAAGCATGAAAGTTTAAAGACAGACTACATTTTGGAATAGCAAATATTTTTTAAAATTTAGTATTAATGAAATATTCTGCTTCAATTTTTCTTGTCTTCTTTACTCTCATTCTTCATTTATTTCCTCTTCTCCTGTATAATGAGTGTCTCTGAGTGAGTCAATCTTGATTTTTTTTTTTTTTTGAGACCAGTCTTTTTTAAAATTCGGAAATGACTGATGAAGCCAAAAATTCAAATCTAAGATCTAATATGATTTCTAATTGGTCTCTCATCTGGCCAGAAATTTCACTTCTTTAGGCATATCACTGTATAATGACCGCCAACAGTCAAGCACACAAAAGCAAATAAGCTCCTAGGTCAAAAACTATTTTGGCAATATGCCAAAAATAACACTAGATTATCACTATTATTTTAATAACAGATAGAATTATCATTATTACAATAATTATCATCATCATTATCTTTATCATTATTAAGCAATATCATTATTGATGTTATAATTATTACAAATATTTTTGTTATTATAGTATTTTTAATCATTATCAGTATCCTTAAAGGTTATTAGTTTGAACCCTTAATAAACTGGGGTTTAAATCAATAATAATTTTATTAATAATGAAAAATACAATTATTATTATTCCAATTACTATAATTATTATCATCTTTAAATTACCAGTATCAGTATCATTATCATCGTTATTATTACAAATACAATAATTATTACCAACGTTATCATTACAAATACTATAGTTATTAACATTATCATTATTATCATCGTTATTATTATAAAAACTATAATTATTAATATTTTCATTAGTTTCATCATTATTATTACTAATACTTTAAATAATAATATTATCATTATTATCACTGTAATTATTACAAATACTATAATTATTAATATAATCATTATTATCCACACTGCTCAGAAGATGAGCCCGGTCCCGGAGGAAACCATACACAGATGGGATAAAAAGACATTTAAAAAAATTCATTCACAGAAATTTTTTATTTCTATCAAAGAATTCTTGAAGTAATAAAAAAAAGTATTTGTCTGAAAAAGTGGTTAACATGTAAAAAAAAATGCAAAGATGAATTAATTATTTTTAGTCCCAATACAGTCCTTCAAAATTTATCTATCCTCCCTCTCCTTCTGTTTTAATAGAAAGATTTTGAAATGAAATATAATTTTTAAGTACAAATACACACTACAATGTCCACATCTAATATACTTCCCATGTGTTATGGAACATCAAAATTGGAAAACAAATTCCAGGAAAATAGCTGGATTTTTTTTTGAAAATGACAAATTCGAAAAAAAAAATTCGCCCAAATTGGAAAATGATTTAAAATACCTGACTTTCAGAGACACAGTAAAAAGCTAAAATTATTTACAGTTGTACCATGTACGTACACATTTAAATATAGATTTGTTTAATAAGGCAATTTTATACGCAATTTGATAATCAAAATTCTATATAGTTCAATTAATTCATTACATATTTTTGGCTTATGCAAAAAAATTGTAAAAAACTTCCAACATTATGTGGATTCCTGACATAATACAGAAATATGGCATGTCGTCTTTGATAAGGGAGATTTTTTTCTAGCTTCAGTACGGACTCATTTTGGTCAAATTCTGAGCAGTATTAATATTATTATTATTATCATAGTTATCATTATAACCTGCATGTGTTGAACCAATCCTCGTTTATTCTTAGAGAATTTACCACAAACTTTACATAGTGCCTCCATAGGGCCTTCTTGACTCATACCCTTGCAAAATAAATACATTAGATAGACCGTAATGACGCCCCAGTGGCGTACTTTAGGTCATTCAAGACATCCATTTGAGCTAAGTACGATGTCTCTGGCCTCGGTTGCAAGTGTAGTTTAGTTTACCTTAGTGTTGCTCTGGCAGTCGGTTACTTTGGTTGCTGCAGCGGTCAGTTACCTTGGTTACTCTAGCTGTCAGTTACCTTGGTTGCTCTAGCGGTCAGTTACCTTAGTTGCTCTAGCGGTCAGTTACCTTAGTTGCTCTAGCGGTCAGTTACTTTGGTTGCTGCAGCGGTCAGTTACCTTGGTTGCTCTAGCTGTCAGTTACCTTGGTTGCTCTGGCGGTCAGTTACCTTAGTTTGTCTATCGGTCAGTTACCTTAGTTGCTCTAGTGGTCAGTTACCTTAGTATGTCTAGCGGTCAGTTACCTTAGTTGTTCTATCAGTCAGTTACCTTAGTAGCTCTAGAGGTCAGTTCACCTTAGTTGCTCTAGCGGTCAGTTACCTTAGCAGTTATAGCGGTCAGTTACCTTAGTAGGTCTAGGGGTAAGTTACCTTGGTTGCTCTAGCGGCCAGTTTATCCGGCTCAGGGGATACAGAAGGTGAAAAATCAGTGGGGCTGACCGAACCAGCAGGAGGGACAGGGGACACAGCTGCATCAATAATGAAAATTTGTTAAAGGAATTGTCAACAAATTAAAATTAAAACAAATTAAAATTCAAAATTAAAAAATGACAATCTAATTCATCCTTGATAAGACATAGCTTTTAGGGGTGCCGTTGTGAATCGGTAATTATCATCTTTACATGAAGGGTCACTTGAAATTACGCGTATACATCCTTTAACTGACCTTGTTCAATCGGTTTCCTGTGTACCAGCTTGGCGTGCTTACGCACATTAGGTCTGAAGGTGAATCTCTTGTTACAGAACGGGCAAGGGAAAATTTTTCTGAAGTCTGTGGGTCGAACCGAGTGTACAATACTGATGTGTGTCTGTAACATCCCGTCTGTCAGAAAAGATCTTCCACAAGCATCACAATAGAACCTAAGGACCAGATTTAATGAATAGCGAGAAGTAGCTGAACCACACAAACATAGTTCAACCACTTCTCTTGTGCGCCAGTTCAAGCTGAAGAGAAGTGGTTGGACCAAGTCTACGCTATCGGGGTTCATCCAAGTCTTGCTCTTTATGTTTGATCTCGATGTTTTGTTAATCTTTATTCGATATCCTACACGGTATTTGAGTATTCAACACAAAACTACCCAGCTCTGGTTGAATAAAGAAATATGACAGATAATCTTATTAAATCAGATTAGGGACGTCCTTCGACCACATAAACATTCCCAGAGGTAATGCGGGTTTACGAAAACAAACATCAAATATGATTCAGATTAAATGTTTGTATGAATGTATATTGTATGTGTGCATTTAAAGCCGGCAACTTACCTTTCGTCTTCAATTCCTTCATCTACATTTTCAGACTCATCCTTAAAAAAATACAATTACTAAATAATATAACAAAAAAGAGCGTAAACTATTTATGTAAACTGAGTTGACATCTTAAAACTGCAATATTTGGCAATTAATGGACTGTAGAATGAAAGAAATATCCCTATTATTTTTTAGATTTCAATTTCTATTGAGTTTTGAGGTTTCTCTAAAAGAGTGACTTGCGGATCTATGATGCTGAAGCAATGAAGGAAAATGTGAGAATTCAACGTTTTTTTTAAGAAGAAAAACGACGAAATATTTCTCATTATTAAACTGGACGAGGTTTGTAAATCGGAAAATAAACTGAACGTCACTTTAAATTACGTCTACAGTCCCTTAAAAAAAGTTGATAAAAGAATATTGACCTGAACATGACGACCCCATTTTCCGGGGGTAGAAGGGCGCATCACCCCCTCAGATTCAGATACTTTACTGATAAACTAGACACAATATAATCAAGTTTACTGATAAACTAGACACAATATAAACAACTTTACTGATAAACTAGACACAATATAATCAAGTTTGCTGATAAACTAGACACAATATAATCAAGTTTACTGATAAACTAGACACAATATAATCAAGTTTACTGATACGACTAGACACCAGACAAAATATAATCAATTCATCCAATCAACCAATTTTAAAACAATAATTTTGAAAAGTTAAAATGCGGGTTTTTATTGATTTTATATTTTCCTTCGCTAAATCTGTTTGCCACGATATCTTGTGAATGAACTCCTCTCTCTGCTGGGTAAATATAGAGGAGTATCTGACCACTTGATTCCCTTGGACTCCTCCACCCCTCTCCTCCAAGCTAATATATCTGAATTGAAATGATCATAAGTCAAAAAGTTAAAAGTTAAAGCAAATGGTATACAACAAAATTACCATTGATTCTAAGGGTTTTAACGAGTACAATAACATCCCAGACAGGTAGATCTGTATATCTGACCACTTGTTGAACACAGTATACAAATTGGAATGATTTTGTGAATTAAAAACTGATCTTTTATGAACATATTCATTGTGCATGAACATTGAACATTGAACTTGCATGCATAGGGTTGAACCAAGGTTCTTTATTCAGGTTGGTTACCCAATTAATGCGCTCCAATGTACGGAAAATTTCGTCTCTTTAGCATAGATAGATAGAATCCACCTATGAAGTCACTGACTATACAAGTAAGAGTGACATCATATGCTGATTCTATCTAACAATGCTAAGGAGACGACATTTTCCGTACATTGGAGCACATCAAGAGTTACCAACCAAATATTATATAACCTTGGGTTGAACGAACCTGATCGGAAACTCAAACAGTTCTCCAACCTTTAGAAGCAACTTTCTTGTTTCCTAAACATCAAATAAGTAAGTAAGTAAGTAAGTAAGTAAGTAAGTAAGTAAGTAAGTAAGTAAGTAAGTAAGTAAGTAAGTAAGTAAGTAAGTAATCAACATCAACATCAACATCAACATCAACATCAACATCAACATCAACATCAACATCAACATCAACATCAACATCAACATCAACAACATCATGCAGAATCCCTCCTGATTCCATATAATGAAGAAACATAAGGGTTCAAGAACCCCCTTAGGTTTGCACATAAAAAAACCAAAGCGCATCGGATCTTTTATGGTTGTGCAATTATAAAATAAGTATTATGCGTTTAATATTTATATGATTTTTAAAGAAAAGAATGACGTCCAAGACAAACAAATTGTCATCCTTAAAGCTTTGATTCTAGAAAATTTCTTGAAAATGATTTTCCGAAAAACCTCAAGGTGGGAGTCTACAATAAATAATTAACTTAAAATATTTTTTGAAAAATTTCCAAATTTCCAAGACGTCTATATTAAAGCTAGTAACAGTTGGAAAAATCCAATAAAAGAAACTGATTTTCTGCTTTGAAATATTATTTTCTAATCCCCATTTCTTTGCAACCTGAGGTCATAGACCTTTACTATTTTATTATAGTTTTTTAAAACAATCTTGACAGAAATAAATCTCAAGAACTGAAGAGGGTCAACCAAGACCGAAATATTTTTTTTAAAAGTGGAACAAACGCCTACTTTAATCAATCATCGATCATCGATCATCATCAACACCAAATTTTAAATCTAAAAATCTTCTTGATCATTAATCAAAGTTTAAAGTCTCAAAGGTGGAAAAGAAATAGAGATTAGATATTTCGAAATCTGTTTCTTTTAATTAATGCATGATTAAAATAAAAACCTGAGGCACAACTAGACAAGAATCATCTCCAGCTGCTGTCAGTATATTCTTGAGCTTGACATTGAGAGATCCTTAACATTTTTTTTATGAACGGTATCCTAAGCAGGGGTCCAGGTGGAAATGGCATTTGTGTGTGTCCGTACCATAGGAGTGTGCGTCTGTTTAGGGTTTAGGTTTAAAACCAAATATTAGTACTCAAGGTATATAGAGTACATAACATAAAAATCTCGGCCTTTGTGCTTTGCAATCTAAGAGAGTACATTTGTAGGCTATGATAAAGAACCCGTCTGCAAAGCAAATGGATGGCTTTCTCATGCCAGAACATTGCTATTTCCATTCCCTTTATTCTTATTCACAGATTCTAATGGAGTGTCTAAAAAGGATGCACTTCGTTTAGGGATCAACTTTTACATTACAACGCAAGGAATAGATTTCGAAAAATTTCTTATTAGTTAAAATTTTTAATAAACCGGTTCGGAATGCTCTGGGAGGAAAATTGAACTATGGGAGAAGTCCAATAGTTGAAAATTACCTAGAACCAGCTTATTTGACCAGCTGATCCCGTCCTGACAATAAACCGGGAAATCCAGGAATCCCGAGCACTCCGACATCCCGCCCAGCAGGTCATCCACCCACTCCTTCCCGTATTCAATATACAAACTAAACATTACTATTTAGGAATAATAAAAAAAATTCTAAACAACACAAACTATTGAAAATATGGTCTACAGACTTGTATGAAATCTGAGATTCAAGATAAAGACATATTATTTTCTTCGTAAAATGTCCTGCTGATAATTGTGGACATTTTGAACAATATTAAAATGAACTTTACCGTCACTAAACATACAAACTTTTGAAAACAGAGATTTTTCATTTTTTGCCAAAGGAATTTAGTCTTTGCCACTAACTCTAATTTTCTAATCTCTATATCCTTTCAACCTGATGGTGTAAACCTTTGATATTTTTAACTTAGACTAATTGATTTAATAGAATCCGTTAGTTATCTATGGTCTACAACATTGGGTTGCAAAAAAAAGAGAAGAGAAAATCTGAATTTTTACTTCATTCTTTCACTTGCTAAAGTTGAATTCTTATTTTCATTATAAGCTCTACTGATTGGATCTTAAAAATCTGATTTTACAGAAGTACCTTGCTTCATTGGAATGTAAAAATAAGATTACTAGTTAACCTTATTCCTTGATGTATGTTCTTCTTGTGTACTGATGCTGGTTTCAGTTCAGAACCACGCGAAGTCAAAATAGACTGAAAAAAAAAATTTCTCCTTAAAAAAGTTTTCCCGTTTTTTAAAGTTTAGAAAAAGTTTTTCTAATTTTTAAAAAAAATATTCTTTTCTGACTACGTTTCCTAATTTTTCATTTAACTCATAACTTCCCTTTCCCATCAGATTCCTTCAACCCATAACGTCCCTTTCCTATATCAAGTTCTTTTAACTCATAACGACCCTTTCCCTCATCACGTTCCAATATCTCATAACGTCCCTTGCCCATATCAGGTTCCTGTAACTCATAACGTTCCTTTTCTATATCAGGTTTCTTTATTTCATATTGTATTTAAATATTTTTCCCATAATAGGTAGTTTTTTTATGTAGGTAGGATGAAACCGAATTTAAAATATAAACCTGTGTTTGAGAAAGAAAGAGTGGGGTGGAGAGACCTGAATCTTCTTCAGCATTTACAAACCCAACTTGATCTCCTGAAAACAGCTTTCATAAATATATATAACTAGCTGAAGTGTTCGGCGTTGCCCGTAGAATTTTAGAAACACTTGAATTTTTTTCCGATGAAAAAAAGTTCAATTTAAAAAAATCGATTTAGAAAAAAAATATTTTTTTTTGTTCACAATTTTACCCCCAGGTTACCCATGAAATTCCAGAGGTCGGAATTTATTAACGTCAAATATAAAATAAAAAACTTATGTTTTTGGTTTGATATAAATTCAAAAACTAATTGAAAAATAAAATAGTCATAGTAACGACAAATTGTTATGTATGGAAAACTTACACAGGCAAACAATTGTTGGTAAAAAACTCAATTTTCCTAAATGTAGATTTAACTAGGAAAGTAAGGTTTCAAGCTTAAGACGAGCGATTTTTTTTTAGCTCTTTAGTCAAATCATAAATATAAAAAGCAGGGTTGGAAAAAACCCGGGGTTAAAAAAACAGCCCAGTGGGCTAGTTTGGGTTTTTATTGGGTGTTTATGGGCTTTCAATTTGAAAGTAGTTAAAACCTTGTAAAATTTATACTAAATAATATTAAGACTATTTTAGCAATAGGTGAGATCTATAGTTATGAAAATTAATAATGTTGTGATAATAGGCTCTTCTCATAATAGATACTCTTCAAATACAATAATATCACCAACCTTATTCATAGGGGGAATACTGCAATATTTTGATATTACAGTTCTATAAATTTTAGACTAATTCTATTTTCTCACTTGGATACATATTTATGATTTTCAGATTAATCGGTAGATATTCGAATGCTCAAGAAGGGAGACCACTGCACTGTTTTATAGTAAATACCGAAAAACGTCAGCTCTGATGGAGTTCTCTGTTTTTCAATATCTTTAATGCTTGTTATAAAAAGCACTGCAGATGATGGATTGCTTCAAAAGTTTTCTACATTTGGATTAGTCTTGAAGTCCAGTCTTAGTTTTACTGTCCAGAGTGACAAGGTTGAATACTTTTTTTTATAAATAATGATCAATATTCGAACAATATTCAATTGTTTAATATCATTGGTTTAAGTCTTAGGAAATGATCAAAAGTGTCAGTTTTAGTTCTGCAAACTCCTAAAAATCAATACAGTTGATAGCAGACCTTAATTCTTGAAGACTAAATCTTTGTAAGAGTGAAGAAACGCCATTAATTAGAAAATTCTAAAAAACCTAATAAAACCTAAAAACGCCCACTAACAGATGGGTTTTATTTTTATTTTTTTTTTGGGGGGGGGGCTGGTTTGTTTCATGCCAGCACTGATCTAAAAAGTATGTTAAAACCTGATATTATTTGAGTTCCCGAGACGTCTGCAAGAATATGAACTGACACCTGATTAGGCAGAGTTCATAATTTTCTTAAAGATTCAATTTTTTCTGATAATTTGCTTGTAATAAACATGTTATTTTCCAAGATTCTCACAATAAAAAAAAGGTTGGATTGAAAGTGAAAAAAAATCTTTCTGCAAAACAGACATAAAAAATGCTATGAGGGGTTTCATTCATGTTCTTCAAAAATGCTAACGAATATAATTTTCTGAACTGTTGTAAAATATTTGCATCCTCTAATCAACATAAATTCGAAGAGAAAAAAATCCCTTAAGACAAAAAGTGATAAAACATCAACAATCGAAGTGAATCTAGAGTAAAACAGTTACAATCAAGGATAATTAAATGGTTGACAATTAAAATCATGTTTAATAAACATTAAGCTGAAATCAACACTGAATGATAAAGTCAATTGTTGGCTAAATGACAATTGAAAACTTTTTTTAAAATGTCTGAAGCAAACTTAAAACTTTAAAATGTTTAAAAAATTTTGTTGCCAAGTGATCCAAAGTTAAAATTATATTTGAAGATCTCCCCCCTGATCCTCTCCGACAGGAATGATTCGTAGTCCCTCCCCATCCAGGCACAACTCATAAGTTTCCTCCGCCATTTTGTTTAAAAACCGGGTTTAAAAATAATCCAAACTGGTTAATATCGTAAATTTGAGGACAGTTCACTCTAAAGCAATAGGAACATTTTCATCTGAAACTTAAATTTAACAAATAAAAATCAAAAGGTATTAATTTATTCATAATTTATAGCTGCCATTCGGGAAGTTTTTGAAATCAATTTGAGTGTTCTTCAGGCAAGTTTAGAAATAATTTTTTTGTAGCCAATTCTTGAAAACAAAAATATACATCTGATTTTGATGAAACTATCCCGATAGTGCAGAAAATGGAATAAAATCTTTACATATCAAATTTATGTAATTTTACAATGTTTAATCAGTACTATTTAATCAATGGTTAAACAAAAATGGTAAAAGGCATCCCAACAACACTTTTAACTTGAATAGAAAGAATTGTTAAGAACAAATTAAACTAAAAAAAACTAAAAATGGGAGCAAAACTTAAAACTAAAATTTTACTAAAAAAAAAAAATATACGAAAACGTGGGTCTTTAATTTGTATAGGAAAAGTGCTCCTGATCCCACATTTGTTTATTATGTCTACATTATTTTCTAGATGCTATATAATACGAAGGTAGCACATCTGTACTTAAATTTATTTTACATCACTTGAAGTCTGAAATAAATTTCAAAAATTTGGAGTCACAACTCTTAAACACGGAATCACGGGGCTAGAGAGAGAGACAAAATCGAATCATCAAAAAAAGAAAAACTAAATCGTAGGACGTAAAACGTTAAACATAAAACGTAAAACGTAGAACGTACACTATAAAACGTAATAACGTTCATCATAAAATGTAAAATGTACCCGGTAAAGCGCTAAAAAAAGAAACGCATTTACAAACAATTAAATCAAAAGGATTAATGGCACCGTGCTTAAGAGTCATTGACTGGAGTTTATTATTTTGCTCGCGTTTAGCGTGCGTGCTTATTGTCTCTTGAAGGAGACAACTGACAGCTTATTGTCTCTTGAAGGAGACAACTGACAGCTTATTGTCTCTTGAAGGAGACAACTGACAGCTTATTGTCTCTTGAAGGAGACAACGGACAGTTATTGTCTCTTGAATGATTGATTTCTGTATTTCTCTGCAGGGCCCCAGATACGAACAGTATTGTCATCAGAGGCAGAAGCAATTAACTAAACAATGCACGTAATATCAAAGGTTACATAAATATGTGAAGGGCATTTACGAAGGACGGGGGCGCCATGAATTTAGAGATCTTATTTTCTCCATTGTAAAATGAAGGATATAAAAAGAAAGAAGACTTGACTTTGAAGATAGTATATATATGTGGTTCGTTGAAGGGAAGTAAAATGGCGCTTGCAAGTTGATTGGAATAATTTTGCCGGTGTCATGTGCCTAATATTCACACCAAATATTCTATTCCTGTATACACCGTTGGAGTGTGATTGATTGATAGTGAAAAATATAAACAAAGTGGATTAATTGATTGATAGTGATAAAGATAACCAAAGTTAATAGATTGATTGATAGTAATAAAGATAAACAAAGTTAATTGATTGATAATGATGAAGATTAACAAAGTTGATTAATTGATTGATAGTGATAAAGATAACCAAAGTTGATTGATGAATTGATTGCTAGTGTTGAAGATTAACAAAGTTTATTGATAGATTGTGATGAAGATTAACAAAGTTAGTGATTGATAGTATTGAAGATTAACAAAGTTGATTGATTGATTAATAGTGTTCAAGATTAACAAAGTTGATTGATTGATTAATAGGGTAGAAGATTAACAAAATTAATTGATTGATTAATAGGGATGAAGATTAACAACGTTTATTAATTTAATGCTAGTGATGAAGATTAACAATTTTAGTTGATTTATTGATACTGATGAAGATTAACAAAGTTGATTGACTGATCGCTAGCGTTAAATATTAACAAAGTTGATTGATTAATTAATAATGATAAAGATTAACAAAGTTGATTAATTGATTGATTGATAGCGTTGAAGATTAACAAAGTTGATTGATTGATTGATAGGGATTAAGATTTACAAATTTTATTGGTTTAATGCTAGTGATGAAGATTAATAAAATTCGTTATGATTGATAGTGATGAAGATTGAGAAAGTCGATTGATTAATTGATTAATTGATAGTGTTGAAGATTATCAAAGTTGATTGATTGATTAAGTGTTGAAAATTAACAAATTTGATTGATTGATTGATAGGGATGAAGATTAACAAATTTTATTGATTTAATGCTTTGAATTTGTCACCTGGTGGTAAACAGGATTCCAGGAGACGCAGGAAACAGTTCTAGTGTGACCACTCAGCTCTTGGATAGGGTCAGGTCGGTCCACGTGGTAGATATAAACCTTGTACATAATATGTTAGATTTAAACATGGTGGATATATACCTTATCCATAATAGGTTAGATTTAAACATGGTGGATATATACCTTGTACAGAATAGGATTAACATTATGGATATAAACCGATATATATACAGAATAAGTTAGATTTAAACATGATAGATATTTACCTTTTACATAATAGGTTAGATTTAAGCATGGTGGATATGTACCTTGTACAGAATAGGTTTAAAGTAATGGATCACTGGATATATACCTTGAAAGTGGAAGGCTATAATGCAAAACCTACCTACAACTAGTGTAAAATACCATTACCAAGAGCAGAAACGGACACAAACGCAATTATTTCATGACAAAATATATCTGTCAACATATCCCTCAAGAACATTTGATCAGTACAATTGCTGCGCATATTTGATCTTATTAATTAAACTCACCTTCATATCCTCGGATCCGGAGGCAATAAATGATTGGTTAGATCCACCAAAACTTGAATATATTGTGTAGAACCCCTGGGTAGTTAAAACAATATACTTTTATTTAACTCTAGGCACTGTAAGCGTAATATCAATTTACCCTCTGTACCAAGATGGCAAAGCAGTGCAGAAATAAACACTATTAGACTTAGAAAACCAATGTTATCTTCTCCATTTGTTTTTTTGATTTAAATGGCTGAAAGTGTAATTCCAGTGATGTAAAGATGTCAATGACCGATTCACAACGACACCTTTATAATAAAGTGGAAGATAATTTCCTTTTCTAAGCCGAAAAGTGTCTATTTCTGATGATTTCTTTACGTTTTCCTGCGGTAGAAATGCACGAGTCACTTTTGAAGAAAATATCCCTATTGAAAATTATAACTTTTCAAAATTACAAACATTGCTATCTCATTCATACTTCGGTACAGTTGTTAATAGAGCTTTGCCATCTGAAATTGGAGGGTCACTGGAATTTACTCTTACAATCCCTTTAAGGTTTTAAGGGGACTGTGGTTAAAAGGGCATTGCTATCTTTGTATGGAAAATCACTTAAATTACGCACACTGTTCTTCTAACAATATTTTAATTTACTTCGAAAAAATATTTTTTCTTTTTATTCATTCAGAGGCGTATACTGTATATTTTCTTGAAAAACACCCCCCCCCCATTCTTTTGAAAATCATTTTTTACTCCAGAAAAAAATCGTTGTTTTATTCGTTCGTTGAATTTGAGAAAATAAATAAACCCACAAAAAAATTAAGGGTTAAAAAAAAAAATTTAATTTTGATGTCCAATTTCTCATTTTTTCCCCCAGGGCGGGTGGTGCAATATACACAGATTGAAGACTACAAAACAAAAAAAATAATTTGTGTTAAAGTATAATATTTTGTTCCTGCGTGATCCCCTTGAACTTCTGAACCAGACAGCGGTCCTTGATATCCCACAAATGTGCTCCTTGGTTGGCAATGTTCAACAGCGCGTAGCGGTCAGTCTAGGGTACACACAACATCTATTATCTTCTATTTAATAAACCTCTTCGCTTATATATATGTATAATATAAGAATTTTGACAACTAAGGATCGTTATGAGAAATGAAACATTATGTTTAGTATAATTCTTTTTAAATAAAATGTGAAGTTTAAAAACTGAAATATATATATATTACTATTATGTGTACTTTATTATATTATATATTTATATATATAATATCTATAGCTGGACTTAATGGACTCGAATTTGAAGGGATCCCATATTTTAATATAATATAAATGCTGAAATGCTGAAATCTTATGAGAGGAAACCCACGAGTCCTTGGGGGTAAAGTAGGTTTAAAAGAATCGATTTTGTTCTTCAAAATTCGAATTTTTCCAGTTATTTCAAAATTCAAAATATAGTTTTATATAAAATCTTCATTATCACTGATATGAAACCATGTCTATGCAATGCATTTAAACCATGTCTTGCTATTCTTGAATTCAATTCGCCGACATAAGTAATGTTTATTGTTTGCCGCTTTTACCTCTGCCCAAAATCTTATTTCTAAATATACCAAATAAAAGTTCTACTGAAATCATAATAAAAATTATGAGAAATATGCAACAGAAAAATACATTTTTTTCAACATAGGACTTAAAAAATTTTAATCTTGATATTTTTTTTTTAATCTGGCGGAGATTGTTGATTCTTCAAAATATTTTTAACTTCTCCATCGTTACTGACCTGGTCTAGTGTGAAAGACATAATAGCTTGATCCTCCTGAATAATTGGCTGGTCAGAGAGATCATCAAAGTTGTAACATCTACAAATTAAAAATTTGATTTTTTTTAAAAAGGTGAGATTTCCGCTGGAATATAATCTCATTTTGTCGTACACACACTCGCAAGATTAAGTGGATTGAGTAAAAAGTTTTGGGATAAGGATTTTAAAGCTGAATAACACTAGAGCAATAAAACCCAAAAAAAGAATTTTACCTCATATGAACTTAAAAAAACCTTACCTCTGGCCGATTATTAAATCAAATCAAATCAAGCTTTTAAGGACCTACACCCACACACCAAAATTGAAGTGAATATACTAAATCAATAATGAAGTGAGGTCTTACGATTTGAACAAACCTGAGTCTATGGTGTGTATCGGCAGCCAGGATGTGTTTACCGTCAGATCTAAAATAAAATACTCTCACTCAAATCTATTATACCAGTTATTGAACTACATCATGACCACGACCACGACCACGACTACGACCATGACCATGACCATGACCATGACCATGACCATGACCATGACCATGACCATGACCATGACCATGACCATGAACAACGAGAATTAATCACAAACACATTGTAGAGTGTAGAGTGTAAAGTATAGAGTGTCGAGTGTAGTGTACAGTGCAGTGCTTAGGATCCATTTAATTTTGATGCGGATCCGGATCCGGATCCTGGATCCGCTTTCCAAAAAAATGGATCCGGATTCGGATCCGGATCCGGATCCAGGTCATTGATCAAAACAAAATTTTATTTTAGTTCAAATATCTTTTCATACATAAAAAAATGTTAAACATTTTAACATTTTTTTATACTATTTTTCTACTAGTTTGCACAAAATGATAATGATTTTTTTACTTTATTGGATGAAAAAGAAACAGGTCTAATTCATATTAGCTTTTAGTAGAAGGAGGGCGTTTGGAATATCTGCCTTCAGGCAACTCATTAGGTCTGATTTGAATATCTTCAGGGCAGAGAACAGTCTCTTTATAGTGGGAACACAAGATGTTACTTAGCATCTGTATCTTTTTAGCATATGTGCGCCCCCTCCCTTTTCCCCCTCAATCTTACACATCCTTACACCTTAATTTGTGAAGACTGAATTTGCTTAGTTGCAATGGGGAAAAGGGAGACTTCTCCCCCCCCCCTCTCTAGTTATTAAAGAGGGGGGGGGTACACGGTGGGGGTCTGAGTTAAGATTTGAGCAAGATAGAAACCTGAGACCCTGAGAATATTTTTAAAATCTGTTAAACAATTCAAAATAAGATATTTTTAAGGAAAAAATAACGCTGTTTTGCACATTTTGAAAAATAAAATTGTGCTTGGATCCGGATCCGGATCCAGAGAGCCAAAATAATGCGGATCCAGCGGATCCGGATCCTCAGCACTGGTACAGTGTAGTGTACATTGTAGTGTACAGATTAGTGCACAGTGTACTGTACAGTGTACAGTGTGGTGTACAGTTTAGTGTATAGTATACCTGTATGCTAAAGCTTGAACTCGTACACCTTCCCATGAATTGTTTATGTTTCCATGGGAATCAAACTGGTAAAACTGACCCCTAAAATATTAATAATAACTCATGAAAAGGATAATATTAGCCTCTAAAGTATCAAGAAAAAAACACCTTTTACTCCCAGATTTATTTATATACATTTAGCCTTATTAAAAAATTGGCCTGGCCTCTAAAACAGTTGAATTTAAGAGATATATTAACGATTATAAATGAAGTAATCCAGAAAGAAAAATGATCGACTTTTCAAAAAAAATTGAAAAAAATTAACTGACCTGCTCCCCCCTGCAGCTAGCCTTGTACCATCAGGAGACCAGGATACAGTCGTTAAAGAATCCTCTTGGGTGTGAGATATCTTGTTCTCTATTCTTCCTCCAGCTATATCCCAGATATAAACCTAGGTTTAAAGGAAGTGACCGGCAATGTATGGTGGTTGAACTGAGATCTTTAAGGATTGGAGAGAAATCTTTTAGGATTCTTTTACAACATATAAAACGTTTTAAAGATCTATAATTACTGAGTTTAAGTGCAAAGTCGACGTTCAAAATCATCAATTTGGGTGGGTACGTTTTGAGAATCGCTTTTTTTGATTATTAAACAACGACGACAAAAATGTAACAAAAATTCTAAAGTAAACTAATTAGATCATAGAAAAAAAGTTCAATATAATGATGAAAACGAAATAATTGATTCTAACATTGATTTATAGACAAATTTCTTTTAATAAATATGTTCCTCAACATCTAATTAGTTCACTGAAGAATTTTTAGATTATTTTTTGTCTTGATATTTAATAATTTAAAAAATACGACTCTCGAAACGTACGCATCCAAATTGATAATTTTGAACGTCGACTTTGCGCTCAAACTCAGTAATTATAGATCTTTAAACGTTTTATAAAACTATTCTGTACTTTATAATAGTTACTCACTTCATCGTGAATTTCATAATAAACGTGCAATAAAGTTAAATTAGCTGTACATTATAGCACGTGTACTATAAAGTTTTGATTGTTTCCCGGTTTTCTCCAAAAAATTTAAGATATTTCCAAAATATTTTTTTTTGAATTGAAATGAAACTAAAATTGAAATCAACATTATACTTTGACTTCTGCTTTGTTTCAAAGATTGTTGGTGGTGTGCTATTGTGTACACACTCACATCGAACTACCTGAGTAGTCCGTTGAACAAGCCATTATTTTTTCGAATAAATTAAATCTTTATTTGGGAGAATTTTTGCGAGTCACCCTAATTGTATCTTTTGTCTTATGTCTTATTTGATCTAGAAACAGCCATTGAAATAAGACAAGTACACAAACTACAAACAAACTACCGTGCTGTGGTTCCAAAAAAATAAAATTTCTTACATCTGGGCACTCCTCGGGCCCACATACTGCCAGTTTACTAGAGTCTGGGGACCAGGAGAAGTAGGAGACTCCATGAGAATGTCCATCCAGTACCTGAACAATAGACATCTATATTCTATATATATATATATAATATATAAATAGCTTGGAAACCCAGCGTTTCCCGGGGTACTCAATACTCATAGCTACACCCACGTTAAACCCGCACTTGGTCGTAAATTACGGTTTAAGCTATTTTCCCCATAAAAGTCGACCCCTCAATTTATATCCTTAAAACTAAGCTAAGAACATTCCCGTGGTTTTCCCGAGTTCCTCAATCAAAAGTCGAAGCAAATCAGTTAAGGGGTTCCTGAGTTATATTTGGAAAAACAAACAAACAGACAGACAAACAGAGATTACAACTTTATATTTAGAGAAGTAGTAATCTCTGTTTGTTTGTTTGTCCGATCATAACTCAGATTTTTCAACAAATAAAAATTTTCCACATTTATCTAAAATGTTTCCCTTTATTTTGGCTGAAAACTGCTGGTCATTTGCTTTGTGAGTAAACGTTATGATTGGCAGGTTTCGGCTGACATTTTGCCACCTTAATCCGGGTTCGGATAAAAATACCAAACTTTTGCAGATCCCACGGATCCGGGATCTTAGCACTAGTTTGGGGGGTTTAAATAAATTTGTTTACTGACCTTTTCACTTTTGAGTTTGAGTGTATTTGTATCAAGCTTCCAGATAATTACTGTACAGTCCTTGCTTCCAGTTGCTAGAAATAACATGTAAACAAACTTGACAGCTTACAGTACAGTACAGTACAATTTAAAAACATGATTTTAACACTGATATTATGGATGTTGGATATGACGATTGAGAATTAATATTTTAGAAAAGTTGGGTTTAAATTCAAATTAGCGTAACCAAATTCAGAGGTTGGAGCTTATCAATTTGAGGAAAAATGTTTTATCCCTCAATTAAAGCAGAGTGCAGGGTATGACCACCATGGGATATCGAAGATGAATTAGATTATCCCGATATTCACAACACTAAGTTCTGACTTAAGAAATGTCTTTTGTTTAAGAAAATGGATTAATTCGAACACTACCTAAGAGCTTTCCATTTGGTGACCATTTACAGAACCAGACTTCGTCCCCATGCTCACTCAAAACCTAAACCAAGCAGAGCTACAGTTATCCACATACTTAATCAATTTTTAAAGCATTGATCAATAATATATCATACAGAGCGTCCCATATCAAATTAGATTATCTCCAAGTGTTAACGCCAAAATAAACCCATAATACTCAAAAAACCTAACATTTTCTACAAGCAAGTTCTTATATTAGCCTTATTCAATTTTTCAAAATGATTCATTCTACTCAAATTTTCTGATTAGTCCCGAAAATCGTAATTTAGACCAATTGACGATCTAATATGATGTGGGACACCCTGTATATAATATATAATATATCATATATCATTTATCATTTATTATACCACATTCTTGTCGGATTTACTACGTAGCCAAATCAGGAATAATTCTTGTTATTGTCACCCATTTTGTTTAATAATTATAATTATTCGTGTAAAGGTGGTATAATATTATTATGCGTAGAAAGAAAGTGTAATAATCAATATTATAACAATAATTTTGATTATTACACTTTCTTCCTACGCATAATATACTATTTATGATCATTCATCATTTATCATTTATCATATATAATATATCATATATCGTTTATCATCAATTATGATAAGTCACCTGAAGAGTCTCTGATGGGAAGGTTTCCTTACTACATTGATGGTCCACTGATAACACCTTGGGGGGTTCATTATCTCCGAGTCTAGGATACCAGTTTTAAAATAAATACTTAATGTAAAAGTTCTCGGCTCAAAATGATTCTTCCCCCTTCCCCCCTTCAACCTACATATGTTTTAGGGTTTCCAAAATTACGTTCATCCAACGAAAATGTGAACGAAAACAAAAATTTTCGTTCATTTTCGCGAACATTTTCGTTAAAATTTTTCGCGAAAATCGCAAAATTCATTCGAAATTTTCACGACATTCGCGAAAATTCGTTAAAATTTTCGGCCAAACGTTCACAATATTATTTTTTTCGCAAAAATACAATCTTCTTGATGCGAAATGGAAAAATTTCGATTTTTATCAAACGAAAATGAGGTCGAAAATTTCGTTCAACGAAAATTTCGATGGAAACCCTAGGTATTTCATTTAATTTCATTCCAAATCAGCCGAATAATCTGGATAAATTTATTAAATATTTTAAATCAAAATTCAAACAAATCCAATATTTATTTTGTGAATATTAATTTACAGACAATATTGCCTTTGTCTCAATCATTTTAAGCTTAAAGGAACTGTGAGCGTAGTTATAAGTGAAACTCCATGTTAAGATGGCAATTGTAAGATCTGGAGATCTTTATATGACTATTGTTCAGGTTGATTCACGAAGCATGAGACTCTGCAAGTGTTCCTACGTAGCTGCCATCTCTCCGCCGTGGCTGCGATCTCTCTTTGGATGAAGTAGAACTACACTTCTCACCAAACCCCACAGCTTGAAGATAAAGCTGAATTATAAAAGGTGATGAGCAACAGATTGAAACTAGCTACTCAAAGGATTAAATAAACTAATTTGATCCTGTTTAGATATCTCCCCTAACAACCCTGAGTGCTAGATCAAGTCCTGTAACCTTTAAGCTGGTCTCACCTGTACCTTCTATTCCCCAGTCTCTGTCGGGATAACAATAGGTACATATTAGTTTCTTGTGATGAGTGTGAACTATTCTTTCGAGTTATGAACAATTGAAGACACATATTGAAAGTTAAATACTATATCTTTCAAATGAACTCACCGTGATATTTTTAGTTGTGTACGAGATATGTTGGCTAAGATCTAAAGAGCTATTAACCTCCGGCCTAATCAACTTTGTAAGTGCATTTTTAAATCACATTAATATGTCATGAAATATTCACATTACACACCTGGAGCAAATTTTATTAGCAAACTTTACATGTTTATTATTTTACGATTCATTTAATATTTTTAATATAAATAATCCAACCGTGACTGATTTTGTGTTTTTTCAGTTTCACGGCTTAGAGCTCTTGTTCCTGTATCTATAGACTAAATAAATAAGATTAAGCAAGACTCTAGTGTATAAACGAGGTGCGCTGGTGAAAGATGTATGCCCATCTTAATGTTAATAGTTTGAATACCTGTGGATCTAAGGTATTGGTATTCTTGGTTCTATCCTAGACCTTGAAAATGGCACAGCAATGCCTGATTTACAACTGTACCCTTGAAACCTTAATCTGATCAAAAATGTAGAAGATACCATTGTTTTCTTGACTTGATAAGTGTTTATTTCTGTTTATTCCCCATTGATTCTTTCAAGCCAGAAATACGCAAGTCACTTTTGCAGATAAACCTCAAACGAAAATTAACAGTTTAAAGAAAGAAAAACATTGATATATAATTCTTACTTTATCAGACAAAGCGTTAAAAGTACCGTTGTAAATCAGGCATTGCCATCTTTGCATGGAGGGTCACTTGAACTTACGCTTACAGTCCCTTTAAACCTATAAAACCCGTTGTGCATTTGATACCTGTTATGATAAATACAGTGTTCCTTCTGATGAGCAACTGCTTGACTTAGTAGGGTCTGGAGTCTAAAATGATCATTTTTGTCGAAAATCAATTTATATTTTTGGTTTCTCTGTTTGAATCAAATAAACCTCAAAATAAAAATTAAAGTTAGATAATTACTAGAGAGACGACTTGAATATCGTCTTCTATTTCCGATAATTTATAAAGGACTTAAAATGCATCAAAATAAAGATTGAACGTATAATGAGCTTTCCAAAATTAAGTCTACTTTTTTGTATCTTTAAAATTGACGGAGATATTAAACATTTGAGTTTTGTTGATTTTTGATAAATGGAATCTGGACAAATTTCCTTAATTTTGAAGGTAAAAAATTGGTAGACCACATTTTGGAAATCCGGAGACTTGTAGTTTTCGGTGTTACATTTTTAAGTGTAATACTTCAAAACTATGTTTACGAAATGATTCCGCTTGGAACAAAGACGATATAGAAGTCGTCATTTAATTCCCATGTTTATTGGGACACCCTGTATAATGCCAAGATTAGACACTCTTTATTCATTCTGTAACCCCCCCCCTTCCCCATATACATACATTTTTTTAAGAGGGTTTCTGAAAATAAGCTATAAAATACCTTCTGGGTGGCAACATGACACTGGGAGGAAGGAAGGATTGAAGTTTCTCCATCACCTCTTCCCTGTCCAGTATTTTAGGCCTACACAATACGTTAAACATTTAGGTTTACTCAAAACTAGAATTCAAGTTAATATGTGTACATGAAAAGTAGTAATCTCTGTTTGTTCTTTGTATGTCCGATCATACCTCATGAACCCTTTAGCCGATTTGCCTCAAATTTTGATTGGGGGAACTCGGGAAAACCACGGAAATGTTCTTAATTGGTTTTGAGATTTTAAGGTTAAGTGGGTTTATTTTTGTAGAGAAAAATAGCTAAAATTGGTATTAAAGACCAAGCGCGGGTAAACGGAGGGAGTTAAAACGAGCAACACTGGGTTCCTAAACTAGTATTTTAATAAACCATACCTCCCGCCCCCCTCCCCCCCGTTTCTAGGAATAATTTACGAACAAAGTTTAATGTTTTCCTTTTTCGCTAAAAAGAGAAAAATAAATGATAAATGTGAAAATGTGGATTTATGAGAAAAATAAAAGATTTTTTGATGAAAATTAATGATAATCTATGGATTTTTGGGTAAAAGTAACACAGATTTCCCTTTATATCTTAGCCCCCGATCCCACACCCACCTTCGTGGAATTGATCTAAAAATACACTTACAGATGATCAGACTCAGAGTTATTGTTTGTAAACGGAGAATTATGGCTTCTACTCTCAGATTGTCGATTACTGAAAGCAAAATGGAGTTTATATCAAATAAAAAATCACTTACAGGGACACTAAGGATGTCAGTTAAACTAAATATTTAAAAAAAGACTGATAGAATTTTTCATAAAAATCGAAAAAATCATTTTACCCATTACGCGTATGGAAAATGTATCGTTATTATTATAAAACAACACATCAATCAAACCCTTTACAAAATTAGAACATTTTTCGGAGAATAAAAAAATTGTTCACATTTTGACGTTATTCGGATGTACCACGGGATTACCCCCCCCCCCCCGGAATCGACCGTTGCTAATCTATCAGCAAACTGGTGTCCCTGACAAGCTACCTTATTATCAGTCCGTTGATGGGGAGCATGAGGAGGGAGGAGAGATGATGGGTCCGGGGTATGTTGTGGTTCAAGGGGCTGATATCCATCTGCAACACCTGAACAACATAAAGTAAATCCTAGTGGGAAACCAGGGACTATAAACGCAATTTCAAGTGATGAGCGATTTACAAGGTACCCATGAAACCTTCATCTCATCAAAAATGTGGAGATACCTTCGGTTTTCTGACTTAAAGTGTTTAATTCCAATACTTTCGCTATTGTTATTTAAGAGCAAAAATGCGCAAGTCACTTTCATAGAGAAATCGCAATTGAAAATAAATAGTTTTAAAGAAACAAAAAAATTGGATATTTAATACATACTTGATCAGAGTATTTAGAGGGGCCGTTGTATATCGGGCATTGTCATCTTTGCATGAAGGGAAAATTGGAGTTACGCTTACAGTCTCTTTAACTGTGACTGCTGGGCTTTAGAAACTCGTTTCCTCTGTACTAGTTGAAAACTAACCACATGGTTTTTAGTTTTGGTTAACTTATTTATCTAAATAGTAGATATTAATAGTTTACCTTCAGAGCCTCAAATGTTTTCCCATCGCGTAAATATTCAATATATTTTTGTTCTAAATTAAACAAATTCAACAGTTATAACAAATCAAAGTTAGGACAATAACTTAAATTGAAGACTGAAAATCCGCAAGAAGTGTTATATACATCTTTTTAGCTATTAAATAATAATGAATAAATGTTGCCATTTGAAAAACAATAAGAAAAATCAACAATAAACTTAGGAAAAATAAATAAATAAATATTAGTTGAATGAATGAATAAGTAAATAAATATTTGTTAAATAAATGAATAAGGTGATGAATTTGTTGAATTAATAAATAAATAAATGAATGAATAAATAATTAAATAGATATTTGTTGAATGAATGAATGAATGAATGAATGAATGAATGAATAATTTAATGAATTAATGAACAAATAAATATATACATATTTGTTGAATGAATGAATAAATAAATAAATATGTGTCGAATGAATAAATAAATAAATAAATAATTGTTGAATGAATGAATAAGTATTTTTCAAATGAATGAATAAATAATAAATATTTGTAGAATAAATGGATAAATAAATAAAAGGATGAATAAATGAAAAAATTAATAAATAAATGAATGAATAAATGAATAAATGACAAAAATTTAATAAATGAATAACTGAATAAATAAACAAATGAACAAATGAATAGAAAAATAAATAAATGAATGAATAATTAATGAATGTTAAATTAGTGAATAAATGTTGAACAGAAGGACAGAAAGATGAATGTATAATAAATAAATGGCTGTTGAATGAATGCCTAGTATGATAAATTTCATCTCCTTGACTGTGTCAGGACTCTCCAAATGATGCTTCAGATCATCCAAAACTAAATAATTAATTTTTACAAAATTGAAATTCTGAACACTTTTTAAACACCCACTGTATGGTTGAAAAAGAACCCTAATTTAATGACAAAAAAATTCGTCGTTCATATCTGTGATAAACTGTACTTTTAATTCCAATTACCCAACTCTTAGAATATCTGTTTTTACTGATTCATCAGGGTTTCATTCCGAGCTAATTTTTAAATAACGAAAAGTAGTTAAACAAGGTATTAATAAACTTGCCAAAAATGAAATAGAAAATAAGGCAGCAATCGGCTAATTTTGAGGGGAAATGATCCATTTTAGAAAAAATCTGCCAATTATTTTAAGGGAAAACTATGTCAAACTTTGTGAGAAATTCTGCAAATTTTACCTAAGCCTGAGCTATCAAATTAAAACTGATAGCATAGAAATCCTGGAAGCTTACCGTTAACCGCTCCGGCCCAGTCCCCTTTCATGATACAGTGTCTGAAGGTGGAACTAGAGGGATCATCCTGTCTACACCCAGACTCTTTCATCAGTACATCACTAGCACTCTTAATAGATTAACAATGATCATCCTGTTTACACCCAGACTCTTTCATTAGTACATCACTAGCACTCTTAATAGATTAACAATGATCATCCTAACTACATTTAGACTCTTTCATCAGTACATCACTAGCACTCTTAGTACATTAGAAATGATCATCCTGACTACACCCAGACTCTTTCATTAGTACATCACTAGCACTCTTAATAGATTAACAATGATCATCCTGACTACACCCAGACTCTTTCATTAGTACATCACTAGCACTCTTAATAGATTAACAATGCTCATCCTGACTACACCCAGACTCTTTCATCAGTACATCATTAGCACTCTTAATAAGAACAATGATCATCCTGACTACATTTAGACTCTTTCATCAGTACATCGCTAGCACTCTTAATAGAAACAATGATCATCCTGACTACACTAAGACTCTTTAATCAGTACATCACTAGCACTCTTAGACATTTGAAATGATCATTCTGACAACACCAAGACTCTTTAATCAGTACATCACTAGCACTCTTAATAGAAACAATGATCATCCTGACTACACTAAGACTCTTCAATCAGTACATCACTAGCACTCTTAGTACATTAGAAATGATCATTCTGACAACATTTAGATTCTTTCATCAGTACATCACTTGCACTTTAATTTGAAAATAATAATCCTGCCTATACTAAGAAAATAACCATCCTATCGCCTCTATTTTAAATCATACATCGCAATAGAATGGTCATCCTTACTAACCTAGGAGAAAAAAGACTTGGAACAAATTAGATGTTTACCTTTAATCCTAAGTCACTGAGATGCTGTCCAATTAGTCTAACAACCTGATAAAATTGATGGTTTAGAACTCCAAGAGGAAAAAATAATAGTTTGAAACAAAATATAAATCTAATCTTCTATTTATATCTAAATTTTTTTCACATTTTTTTCAATTTTTTTTTCACGGGCCCTTTAGCTAGTAGTTCATATTACACAAAAATTCTGATAATGGTACTGTCAGTTATTTCTTAATATTTTTTGTCACAACCAGGGTAAAATTAATTGACTTGAAAACTCTGTTGAGACGGATAGAGAAGGGTGACCATCCCTTATAGTTGATATTGTTAGGAACGGACTTATTTAGGAAATAAACATTTATTCTAAAACTTGTATTGCAAGTTGTATGTACTCAACCCTGGACCTCAAGGTAATAAAGCCTGGGGGACTTTGACTGTAGGTTCCATAATAATGATAATACTTATTACTAATACTAATACTAATACTAATACTAATGATAATACATAATACATAATACATAATACATAATACATAATACATAATACATAATACATAATACATAATACATAATACATAATACATAATACATAATACATAATACATAATACATATACTGATACTAATACTAATACTAATACTAATACTAGTACTAGTACTAGTACTAATGATAATACATAATACATAATACATAATACTAATACTAATACCAATACTAATACTAATGATAATACATAATACATAATACATAATACATAATACTAATACTAATACCTAATACCTAATTCCTAATACCTAATACCTAATACCTAATACCTAATACCTAATACCTAATACCTAATACCTAATACCTAATACCTAATACCTAATACCTAATTCCTAATACCTAATAATTATAACAATAACAATAATAATCATGATAAAAAATATAACAATGGGAACATTCTTGTGATGAACTGGTTTGTACTTTTTTACCTCTTGGTCCGTCTTTGATAAATCACGTCTTGTCTTGATTTTCCTTAGGAAGGCCGGATCCAAATCTGGAAATTATATTTATTTTTAATCACAAATTTGGAAAAGACAATTATCTAGAAACGACAATTACCTGGAAATGACAATTACCTTGAAATGAAATTTACCTCGAAATGACAATTACCTTGAAATGAAATTTACCTGGAAATGACAATTACCTGGAAATGACAATTACCTGGAAATGACAATTACCTGGAAATGCTAATTATCAGGAAATAATAATTATTTAGAAATGACAATTTTCTTGAAAAATTAGTTTTTTCCTCATGAAAATTATTCCCCCCCATCGCCACCCGATCTTCGATTTCTTTTTTAGGGAATTATCCCCTAAATAAGGGGGAAATGATTGTAGGGGGAATTACTAGGAAAAGGATGCAAAATTTGGAGGTGGATGTACAATTAAATGTTGAAAAAGCATTTTTTCCTAAAAATTAAAATTTAAACTCCCCTTTTACCTGAATTTGGAACATACTCTCCTTCTTCTGCTGAATTCTCCCCTGACTCCCCCATCCCAGCAGGAGAAGTAGTTGAGCTCCTGGGGGTTCCTCCCCGCCCTGTTCTTCGTCCTTTCTGCAACTTCATCGCCTTACGTGCACTGAACGATCAATATTTAAAAAAACTTATTGTTTCACCAAATTTTGGAGGAAATTAAATTGAGTGGAATGGACTAAAAATGGTTAATACTGAAAAAAACATTACCAAAGACAGATGCTGTTAATGGGGGGGGGGGGACCTTTGGGGCGCAAAAAAATGAAAGGCTTGCTTAAGGCTCCATTAATCGGACTAAAGATATTATTTAAAAATTCATTTGAATGTGGCGTCCCTTTATCAGCAAAAACATTGGTAAAACGACCAAACCATTAATATTTTCAAATTTTAGAAAGGAATTACTTTGGTTTTAACAAAAGGGTTTCTTCTTCACTACTCAAATAGTAGGTCTTTAAGATTTTTCCAAATTGTACAAAAAATCTGATTATTATATGTTTTTCCTAGACCGAATATTGGTTAATTCACATTGAGAACTAAATCTACTGGGAACATCCAAGAAAAAGAAATGCAAGAGCAAAAATTGGCTTGGTTCTATGTAGAGAATGTAGCGGAAGGGAGGATGAGGAGGATGAAGATGAGGAGGAGGAGGAGGAGGAGGAGGAGGGGGGGGACGTAATTTCCTAGTATACGATTTTTGGACCCCTCCTCCTATCAATTTTGTACATGGATCTCAAATGTAAGAGGATCTTAAATGTAAGACATGTGGCCGCAGCGCTCGGCCCCCTAGCCTGTCCTAGCCGCAGCGCTCGGCCCAGAAAGTGTCATAACCTAACCTAACCCTAAATAATAAATAAATAAATAACAATGAATTTGCTGAAAAATAAGTGGTTATGTACAAAATTGATAGGAAGGGGGGGGGGGGCTTGGGGTTATAAAATCGTATACTAGGACGGACCCGGGGGGGGGGGGGTCGTAACTCGTAATCTATGAAATCTTAAACCTGTGTTCCAAAGTTGCAGATTGGTCCTCCTCCTGGAGCATATCGTCCAGAATTGAACTACGAACTCGCTTTCTCGGCACCCCAGACATATATTATCCAGTCCAGTACCTTGCAGGGGGCATCCAACATCATCAACAATTGTAAACATTGGAGTAATCCAAAACAGACAAAAAGTTACCGAAAAAAAAACTAAATTTTTTCATCAAATATTAAAATTTTTGCCTTAAGCTTTAAAAAAAGTCTCTTCTTTATTGCATGGGAAATGGCCTGGTTATAATCGACCCAAAACTAAAGATATAAAAATCTGTATTATATTTTATAAAAAATTCTAATCTTATTCAATTATAAAAAATGTTATCGTTATTGCTGTTAAAAACTAAACAAAGTGATAAAAGATAAAGAGAACAAAGCAAAATCTTCTACTACGCAACAAAAATTCAAATCAGCTGTTTTGAAGCATTTTAGAAAGATTGAACATTATTTTTTGATGCCCCCTTGCCTGCGGAAAAGTTAGATACATGTACAGATTCTTGGACACCCCCGCAAATAAAAAAAGTAGCAAGAAATTGAGTAAAAAGTTTCCAAATTCTCACAAAGAAATCGATGTAGGCGACGCAGACGAAAACAGAGTCAGCTGTTTCTGGCAGGACACAAATACACAAATAGATAGATAGATAGATAGATAGATAGATAGATAGATAGATACAATCAAAATACGATTATATAATATAATAATATATAACTATATAATAATTTTACTTTTAAAGTATTTCTGAAAAACGAAAAAGGATGATTTTTGCTTACAAGTAAAAGCACAATTTCTTAAGTTGTCCAATTATGGCTTTGAAATTATGAATTTTAAATTTTTAAAAAATATTTTATTTAGATTTGAAACAAAATTAACTTGCATAAAGTCCAACCAAAGTCCCGATATGCCTGCAGTTACGTTTTTTTCTTAATTCCGATGTGTCTGTAGTTCGGATGACAAAGCGTCAGTTTCCAGAGTCCTTGAAAATATAAAAGACGACTGAACTATTTTATAAACTAACGCGCGGGAATGAGAGCATTCAAAAACCCGACAAAATTGTGCCGATTTCTATGCGCATTATTGCGCAGTGAAGAAATCGAAATTACTTATGACGCCCCTAGTACTGTTGTGTACGGAGTGTTCGGTCTGAAACTGGTTTAGCTAAGGTTGTACCGAAGGCAGGTGAACGGGTTCGTTAAATTTAAAAAAGAGGATTGATTGATTTTTGGATTAGTCGTTGATTGATTGATTGATGGATGAGTTGTTTGTAAGGTGGAGTCTGACTAGAGTTGGGCTTACCCTACTCGCTGGGTCATCATCATCATCGTCATCATCTTATAGTGGAGGAAGGTACAGGACAGGGGTATCTTTGGTAAGTCGTTAAGAAATATATTGTGATGTTTTCTGAGTAATGACCAATTAAACTGCTCTAGGAGGACTAGGAGACCCGTATTCGGACGGCCGAAACGAGAGGCTCTTTTCCTGGACAGCTCCGACAAAGCCACTAGCAGGAATATAATAGTAGCGTCGGATTCCGGTTGGGGCCCGACAGGCGGAACCCGACATTGCTTGTTTATGTTTGTCGGAATCCAAAAGTGTCGGGGCCCGATAGTTTGTGTCCGGTTTATTCCTAGAGTACGATTTTTGGACCCTCCCCCCCCCCCCGGCCCCCCTTCCTATCAATTTTGTACATAGATCTTAAATGTAAGACATGTGGCCGCAGCGCTCGGCCCCCTAGCCTGTCCCAGCCGCAGCGCTCGGCCCAGAAATGTCTTAATTTAATCTAACCCGTGGCTGCAGCGCTCGGCACCCTAGCCTGTCAAAGCCGCAGGGCTCGGCCCAGAAATTGTCATAACCTAACCTAACCCTAAATAATACAAAATAACTTAAAATTAAAGGTTATGTACAAAACTGTTAGGAGGGGGGGCGGGGTCCAAAAATCATTCTCTAGGACAGCCCCGACTTTTTCGGGGGTACCGGCGCACAAGAGCAGGACGGTCAAAGTCTTGTTAGACTATGTCTGTAAACTAGGACGGGCCCGAAAACTTTATCGTTTCAGATTTGAAATTGGTTAAAAATGTCGGACCCAGTGAATAAATTTCTGAAAGACTGCAAAACATTTTCCGCCTTTCTGGATGATTTGGAGAAAAAGGTAATTGTAACAATTATCTAAATTATCGAATATTGATCAATACGTTATTTCTAAATGGATTTCTTCCTTACATCTGGGATTTGCTTTTCCTGGGGCAATTTTTCAATTTTTGGCAATTGTTATATTTTTCTATTGCAGTTTGCATTTCGCCTTTTAAATTGAAATGAAATTTACATTCTGCTTACTAGGTCTTGGTGAATATTTGCCCCGTGGATCCGCACATGTTTGCGGATCCGGATCAAGTATGCCCAAATCCGGATCCGGATTCGATGCACTACCCCGGAGTATAATTGTGAAACAATGTTTAGACCAGCAAACTGGATCTGGAAGTAAATGTTCTAAGACGAACAGCGGACAAGGGTGACCAACCAAGCAACGCGGCTTTACAGGTTTAATCATAGTGTCTTTCTAAAGAATGCCCCCCCCCCCCATGACCTCGATGTAACTATTTTTATGTTCAATAAAATTTTCTTTTCTTTATTTGCACTATTTTTTGGTGTATTTTTTGCTATTTTGTTGTTCATTTAAACCTTTTTTGAATTAATATGAACCACTTGTGTGTTCATTTGTTAATTAAATATTTTTTATGCATTTAGAGTATTTTTTGTGGCATTTGAGCTAGTTTTGTTTGTTTGAGGAATATTTTTATGCATTTGAACATACTTTTGTGCTTATTTGATCTATTTTATTGTGTATTAGAACTATTCTTCAGTTGTGTCATTTTCTGGAGGATTTTTTTTTGCAAATGTTTACCTTTCTATATTTCTTGTTCCTTCACTTTCTTTCACCATATTTCGCCTAATTTTGAAAAAAAAAATATTTTTTTGGGTCTAAGTAGCAGCTGCAGAGCTGCTACTTAGAACTAGGTTGAGAGGCTCCTGCTTTCCCATTTTTCTGAACACTGTTTTGTTTGCACACATTATATCTGAGTCAGCATTTAAACACATATTCCTGTTATTCTCTATTCAGGGTTAAATGGGGGGGGGGGAACGTTTCCCAGCCCCATATTTTTTGATAACTGAAAAGGGGGTTCTCCATTCGCTAACAGGGTAAAAGTTGACAGTGTAAAGCTTATCATTAGAGAGTTCTCTTCCAGTTTTCCTGATCAATTTTCTTTTTTCTTTTTGTTTCTGTAATTCCTCTTTTGAGTATTTTAGAGTAGCTCTTTCCTGACTGGGGCATTTTCTACTTTTTGAGGCCTCTCAAAGTAGTCCTTGTGACATCCTGTTGAGCAGGAAGGAAGGAGATAATGTAGTTTGAAGGAGCAGGTTATGAGGGGTTTCAGTAGAAGATCCCTGCTTTCCTCCATTTCAAAGTCTTTCCGACTTTGGCGGAATTAAGGAGAACCCATAAATGCACTGCCTATGCAAAATTGGAAGTTGAAAGGCTTAAAGTCCCATCAGGTGGAATTTTCCACAGTAGTACAGTCCTTACAGCCAGCTGAGGAAACAACTGGTATCATTGTGCATGGCTTGTATACCTATCAGGGGCTGTATTTCTGTGTTCCTTCTTTCAACTGAGATGTTGAGCCTAGATAAGCTGAAGATGGAGTTCTTGTTAACCGTTTAAATCCTATGTTTTGCAACTTCCCTGAAGGAATCGTCATGAGCAACTATGCAGCGCTCTTCCGAACTGAGAAGCCATGAGCTACTTAGGGAAGGTCCGAACCTCGCCATGAGCAGAAAGCAACTGCAGGGGCAAAAATAAAAATCCAAAAAAATTTTTCAATTTTTTTTTTTTCAAAAATTGTTTTTCAATTTTTTTCAAAGGCAACGCCGCGCCCTTCAGCTAGTAATTCATAAAACAGTACCCTTTAACCTTTATAATGTCATTTTTTAACTTGGAATGGTTTTAATTTTGACATTTTCCTTTGACATTTTCATACATGGAAAATGGAGGAGTGAACCCTCATTTTTAAGAGGAACCCACAATTTAAAAACAATACATAATCCAAATTGAAATCTCATTTATTCTTGATCAGTAAAGCGATTAAAGGTACCGTTGTGAATCGGAAATGTTGCTCATCAAACGGAAGTTCACTTGACATTACGTCTACTGTCCTTTTAATACATTTAATTTTCAGATGCTGGTCGACGTTCGGAAAATGGATCAGGAGTTAAAGGACGAAATCAGGAAAATATTAGAAAGTCACAATTAAAAAAAAAAATTTGGGCGGTTCGTAATGAACTCGTGCAGATCTAAGGATTTATGAAAATCACTTTTCTCAGTTGGACTTCTTACAGAAAATTGTTGCCAATTCTTTAATCTAAAGTTTAGAGCAGTGCTTAAGATTCATTTAATTTTGATTTTTGTCAATTTTATCATTGTCAATTTCTTCATTATCATTAAAATTTTACCACTCCTAGTTAATTTTCTTTATAAAAGGGACTGTTAGCACATGTTTAAAGAAGACCGTAAAGAATCTGACATGCCTTTGTTTAAATGGAGGCTCACTGGAAATTACGTTTAAAGTTGGTTTGAGTACACCCCTGTTGTACTGTTGTACACTTTGTTATACTGTTGTACACCCCTGTTGTACTGTTGTACACCCCTGTTGTACTGTTGTACACCCCCTGTTGTACTGTTGTACTCCCTGTTGTACACCCCTGTTGACTTATATTTATTGTTAAGAGAGCTAACTCAAACTACAGAGGACAACGTAAGGTTTCTTGATGGAATGCTTGAGCAAGTTCTTGCACAGAAGAAAGAGGTATTACACTGTAAAGCTACGGTGCTAGTACTGAATCTACTATAATAAGCAGCTAGAATTTAGCTGTACATGACCTAAGGCTTTTTTGCGCAAAACTGTTCATGGATTGCAAGTTTGTAAAGCAAATTCAAGTTCATTTTCCACCAAAAGTGCGCGCGCTCTTTTGCCCAGATTTTTATAAAACTGAATTTTGCAGTATGCATAATTTATAGTTCACATGCAAAAAATCAGCGTTCTACGACAACTCTAAGGTATGTTTAAGCACTGTTTAAATTTTCCTGATTTTGACGTATAAATGATCAATGTTAGATAAATTAAAATCAAGGTTTTTTCCCCTTGTATAAGAATTTGGGTTGACAGAAGTATTAGGAATTTTAGCGCGAATATTGTTAGCAATTTCAGAGAAAAATGTGTTAAAGGAATTCGCAATTTCAATTAGGTTCAGTTAACAATTTACCGTCCACAGAAATTTCTCTCAAAATACTAGATTTAGCGGAAACCCTGTTTAAGGATTCATTCAAAATCTTCCAAACAGTTTTAGGATCTTTCTGGTTTATTTTAAGTTGAGATTCAAAATAACTGACCTTGCTAGCTCTAATTAACCGGTTAAAAATATTTCTATAATTTTTGTACACAGCAAAATTGAGTTCAGTAGGACTAGCTAAGTAAGTTTTATAAAGCTCAAGTTTACGTCTCCGAGAGATAAGTAATCCTGCGGTCATAAATTTATTAATTTTGTGATAATTTTTATTAAAGGATACTTTTCTGGATGGAAAACTCAAATAAAAAAAAGTCGAAAAAATGTCCCAAAATCTTAAGAAAGCTACATCAGGGTCATTACAATCAAGAACTTCGTTCCATTCAAGGTTAGATAAACAATTTTTAAAATTATTTAAATTTTCTTCACAAAACGAGCAAGAGGATTTCTGGGTATTTTTTTCAACTTTCCTCTTAATATTTAATTGACAGAAAGGAAAGCAGTGATCAGAAATATCATGAATAAGAACTCCAGCTTTATAATTAGAATTAATAGACTTGGATAAGATTTGATCAATGAGAGAGTGGTTATCTTTAGAGAAACGTGTCGCTTTATAAGTAGTATTACAAAAACCATGGAAAAGTAGTTTATTAAAATAGTCGGAACTCAATTTATTTGAATTAATTGAGAGAAGATCAATATTACTGTCAGTTAAAATATAAACGTCCTTATTTACTCTAGAGAGGTTAGAAAGCAAATTTTCGAGAGTTTCCAAAAAGACTTCGCTATGTTCAGACGGAGGTAAGATGTTATGGGAAGGAGGTCTATAGAGAGAAATAAACAGAGCAGAATTATTATTGGAAAATTCCACCTCGATACATAGCGATTCAAAGATGCGTTCATTAAAGATAGAAAATCTTTAATTATCTTAAATTTCAAATCTCTCTTGATATAAAAGCCAACCCCCCCACCCCTAGAACTAGACCTAGTTTTAGAAATAAATTCATGAAAAGAAGGCAGGGTAAGAGAATTAACATTTTTTATGTCCCATGTCTCTTGTATTGCTATCACATCAAAAAACAAATTATTTAGTTCAAAATTAGAAATCATATCAGAAAACTTCTCAAATTTGCTGGATAAACTCTGAATATTGATGCTAATGGCGATAGGATTTTTAGAAGATGAAAAACTTGATATCATGGATTGTTCATCATAGTATTTACAATCAATTGAGTCATGATCAAGTAAATCTTGATCATTATTAATGTCCATATTTAAATCAAAATAGACATCCAGACAAGAAGACAAATCAAGAGAATTGTTAACATTTATTGAGCCCAAAGTACTTATCGGTTCCATATTATGGAGTAGATTGATTTGCGTCTCCGCACTGCCTGATTCAGCCCGCCGGTGCCACATACATAGCCACAAAAACTAAAAATAAATATAGTTAAGGTAATTACAGTATTGAGTAAAGTATACTGTAGGGGACGTGAATATAAATGCAACAATTTGAAGAATTTGAAAGAGATAAAACTGAATATATTCATATTATAGAAGAACAAAGGCTAATATAGGATATGCTATTGAGCAAATTTAAAATATAACAAATTCTAGATAAACACACCTGTGATCATTTAAAAAAAAGAATAATTACTGAACAGAGCTTTAAAGGTTGCTTCATACAAACAGCTACACAGCTACACACACAGCTCACAGCTTCATACAAACAGATACACAGCAACACAGCAACATAGCTACACAACCCACAACAGGACAGCTACAAGGCTGCTCCAGAAGAACAGCTACAAGGCTGCTCCAGAAGAACAGATACACGGCGGCCCAGAATAACAGCTACAACAGCTGCTCACAATAGAACAGATAATCAGCTGCTCACACAGAACAGCTACACGGCTAACCGGGGGAAATACAAGGGGAGAGGGGGGGCGCCAGGGGATTCCCCTGGTGCGGAGATAGGAGTCAGTTTACAAGAATTATTCGACTTAGAGCAAGTGATTTCTTTTGAACATTGAAGATATATTAGATTAGATTGGATATTAATGATATTATTCAATGATAGATTAGATTAGATTAGAAAGAAGATAAAAGTTCTACAGATTAAATTAGATTGGATTAAATTAGATTAAATGATTAAATAGAAGATAGAATTCTGTAGATTTGATTAGAGAAGATAGAAGTGTTGTAAATTAGATTAGATTAGTTAGAAGATAGAAGTGCTGTAGATTATATTAGATTTGGTTAGAGTAGATTAGATTATATTAGATAGAAGTGCTGTAGATTATATTAGATTAGTTAGAAGATAGAAGTGCTGTAAATTAGATTAGATTTGGTTAGAGTAGATTAGATTATATTAGATCAGTTTAGATTATATAATATTATATTATATTAGATTGAAGATAAAAGTTCTACAGGTTAGATTAGATTAGATTAGATATGTAGAAGAAGAAGTGCTGCAGATTAGATTAGATTAGATATGTAGAAGAAGATTAGATTAGATTAGTTAGAAGATAGAAGTTTTACAATTTCTTGAAACAAAAATACAATTTTAAAATAAAACACATGAAGAGTAACTATTGCACTTATATATTTACAGTGGTGATCTATGTTTGTCTGTATATCTGTATGTCCGATCATAACTCATGAATCCCTTAAATCAATTTTGCCTTAGACTTCAATTTTAGAACTTGGTAGAACCATGGACATTTTTAGCTTTAGAATTTGAAGCAAATTGGTTGAAGGGGTTCAGAAGTTATGATCGGACAGACAAACAAACCGATATTACTACTTTTAAATAGAAATAAACGAATCCACTTAATGTTTGAGGCTATAATCTATATACCATCGAAGCGGAACAAAAAGAATTAAAAATGATGTTTCTTTATATTTTAGCGGAATGGAGAAGTATAAAGAAATTTATGATAAAAAATGTAGTTCTGGAGGGACTAGCGGGGGATCCGGGGGGTTTTCTATAGATTCAATACTTAATTCAGGTAATTAGTAATACATTTTATAATAAAGCTCTTAGCTTGCATATATATATATATATACTTATGCATTTGTATATGTGTTAGCTGTAGCTTGACAAACGGCTAGACCTAATTGACTGACATTTTTTGAAGGAACCTTTGAGTACCCTAAAAAATCGATTTTTTCAAAATTTTATATTTTTTCTTCCAATGTTTCTAAAATTCCACCGACTAAGCCTGGCCTTACAGCTAGTTATTATTATTATCTTATTAATTATTAACATGTAAACCAGCCCTGCTAAGGTTACTAAAATTACTCTCGCCGTTTACCCGCACTTGAACGATTTTATCGGGAAACCAAATTTTCACTATAAAAGTCGATCCACTCAACTTAGAATCTCAAAGCAAAGTTAGGAACATTCTAGTAGGTTTCCGAGTTCCTCAATTGAAATTTGAGTCAAATCGGTGCAGTGGGTTCCTCAGTTATGATCGGACAAACAGACAGACAGACAAAACAGAGATTACAACTTTATATAATTATGCACGTAAACTAATTACAACGAAGTCATCCTTCATATTTTCATACCTTATACACTTTAATATGTAAAATATATAGCGTAAAATACTTTATACACTTTAATACGTAAAATATATAGCGTAAAATACCTTATACACTTTAATATGTAAAATATATAGCGTAAAATACCTAATACACTTTAGTATGGTAAATATATGGCGTAAAATACCTTATACACAATAATATGTAAAATTTATATCGCAAAAAAGTGTAAAATTATAGCAAATACAAAATACATTTATTCCAAGGATTAAAATGGGTTTCAAAGTTAAGGCAGGACCAACAATCTACCATGTATGATTTCCATGACATTTTTTTTTATCAGCATAACTTGAATTCTTTGATCGACAAATCTGCACAAAAAGAAAAGACTTTATAACTCTCGAAAGGGGCGCGCACTCTCTATTTAAAGAGGGTAATGATCGAAAAGCCCAGTATGTACTTTATAACAAATGTATAAACTATTTTGAATAAGATAAAATTGCACCATGATCTTTCATAGTTCTCCTTAAATCTATTTAATTGAAATGTTTTTCTATTATTATTTAAATTAGGTGGAAAAAGTATACAAAACAGCCAAGAGCTATTTTCCACCTAAATGCTTTATACTTGTACTGTTTATATAATCATCAATTTGTAATTGTAAACTCGTTCTGTACACAGATACATGTATTTTAGCAATAAACATAATCTATCTATCTACTATATAGCTTGCTGCACTGCGTTTTCTGAAACAATAGCATGGTTTGGGTGAACCACAGTGAAAGAAACCGCAATTTAAAATAATTATTTTTCCTAAATTTCAAATCAAATCAAATCAAATCATTTATTAGGCCACAAGTTAACAATATTCATATTAATAAAAATGACTATACAATTACATATATATATTTTGTGGCCGGGGAGCTANAATGTGAATCTGACATGCTACTCTATAAATGTGAATCTGACATGCCAATCTGTAAATGTAAATCTGACATGCCACTCTATAATGTGAATCTGACATGCGACTCTATAAATGTGAATCTGACATGCCACTCTATAAATGGGAATCTGACATGCCACTCTATAAATGTAGGCAAATTTGAAATTGTGTTTACAGTCCCTTTAATATAAAGATCAATTCAATTTTTTTACATCAGCAGTAATATTTTTAACGCTAAAAAGCCGGTTTGCTCTTTTTAATATTCTCAAGTTTCATATTATTGTCCAGTTAGAGTACAAGATACAATATTATCAACCCAACATAGGGTTTAAAGGGTGGTGTTGTCTATAGTACAATCCAGTACAGAGTTTAAAGGGTAGTGTTGTCTATAGCACAATCCAACGCAGGGTTTAAAGGGTAGTGTTGTCTATAGCACAATCCAATACAGGGTTTAAAGGGTGGTGTTGTCTGTAGTACAATCCAATACAAGATTTAAAGGGTAGTGTTGTCTATAGTACAATCCAATACAGGGTTTAAAGGGTAGTGTTGTCTATAGTACAATCCAACACAGGGTTTAAAGGGTAGTGTTGTCTATAGTACAATTCAACACAGGGTTTAAAGGGTGGTGTTGTCTAAAGTACAATCCAATACAGGGTTTAAAGGGTAGTGTTGTCTAAAGTACAATCCAGGGTTTAAAGGGTAGTGTTGTCTATAGTACAATTCAATACAAGGTTTAAAGGGTAGTGTTGTCTATAGTACAATCCAATACAGGGTTTAAAGGGCAGTGTTGTCTGTAGTACAATCTAGTACAGGGTTTAAAGGGTGTTGTTGTTTATAGATAGTACAATCCAATACAAGATTTAAAGGGTAGTGTTGTCTATAGTACAATCCAATACAGGGTTTAAAGGGTAGTGTTGTCTATAGTACAATCCAACACAGGGTTTAAAGGGTAGTGTTGTCTATAGTACAATTAAATACAAGGTTTAAAGGGTAGTGTTGTCTATAGTACAATTCAATACAAGGTTTAAAGGGTAGTGTTGTCTAAAGTACAATCCAGGGTTTAAAGGGTAGTGTTTTCTATAGTACAATCCAACACAGGGTTTAAATGGTGGTGTTGTCTATAGTACAATCCAATACAGGGTTTAAAGGGCAGTGTTGTCTGTAGTACAATCTAGTACAGGGTTTAAAGGGTGTTGTTGTTTATAGCTACGAACATCGAATAAACGGGAAACTTTTTTGAGAACGCAGTTTTATGATTGATACTTATTTGTAACTAAATATGCAAAATTATTTTTAGATAGAGATATCTCCTCTTCTCCGCCTTCGCTTCCATCCTTCCCGACCTTTCCCTTTCCATTCCCCTCTCTTCCCCCTTATTTTCTTCCCTCTGCAGATCTTCCAATATTTCATCAGAGTCATGAGAGAAAAGGAATAGAATCTAGTCATAAACTTGCAGATTTACCCTTTCCAGGTAAATATTCTTTTTCCATGTAGCCATCTTTTAATTTCTAATTTCCAGGTAGCCATCTTTTTATTTCTAATTTCCAGGTAGCCATTTTTTTATTTCCAATTTCCAGGCAAACATCTTTCTATTTTTAATTTCTAGGTAGCCATCTTTTTATTTCCAATTTCCAGGTAGCCATACTTTTATTTCTAATTTCCAGGTAGCCATATTTTTATTTATAATTTCTAGGTAGCCATAATTTTATTTCTAATTTCCAGGTAGCCATATTTTTATTTATGATTTCTAGGTAGCCATAATTTTATTTCTAATTTCCAGGTAGCCATCTTTTAATTTCCGATTTCCAGGTAGCTATCTTTTAGTTTCCAATTTCCAGGTAGCCATTTTTTTATTTCCAATTTCCAGCTAGGCATCTATTTATTTCTAATTTCCAAATAGCCATTTTTTTATTTCCAATTTCCAGGCAGCCATATTTCTATTTCTAATTTCTAGGTAGCCATCTTTTTATTTCCAATTTTCAGGTAGCCATATTTTTAATTCCAATTTCCAGGTAGTCATCTTTTTATTTCTAATTTCCAGGTAGCCATTTTTCTACTTCTAATTTCCAGATAGCCATCTTTTTATTTCTAATTTCCAGGTAGCCATCTTTCTATTTCTAATTTCCAGGTAGTCATTTTTTATTTTAAATTTCCAGGTAGCTATTATTTCCAATTTCCAAGTAGCCATCTTTTATTTCCAATTTCCAAGTAGCCATCTTTTTTTCCGGGTAGCCATCGTTTATTTATAGGTCGCTATATTTCATATCCAGGTAGCCATCTTTTATTTCCAGATAACCATCTTTTATTTCCCGGTAGCTATATTTTATTTAACGTTCGTATAATCTTATTCGATCGCAGCCATATCTTGTATATCTAGTCTATGGTAGCTATATTCATATTCTGATGTTAGCCGTATTTAATGTTAAGGTATTCTCTTTTATTTATCTTTATCAACTAGAAATTTGATATTAGCGAACAACATCCGTTAACATGCTTTGTTGTAATAGAGATGCGTAAACACAATGAGTACGCACATTAAGGTTGCACATGGAGGACGCACATTGAGGTTGCACATGGGGGACGCACATTTAGGTTGAANGGAGGGTAATTCTAAAAATATGCACCGCATATTTAGGACGCACATTGAGGACGCACATTGAGGTTGCACATGGAGAACGCACATTGAGGACGAACCTTGAGGACACACAAAAGCATGACCTGTCTTTAATGCTAGCTGCCTAAAGTTAGGTCCGGTACTTCAAATATTTTTCAGAATTTCTTTTATTCAGGATTTCCCGGAGGTTTTATGTCGTACCCCGATGCCATAAATTTACATTCAGGTATTCATATTTATTTCATGAAATAATAATAAACCCTGCCCCACATCCACTCCCCGCTCTATAATGCACAAATCAATGAAACTGGTGGTTGGGGCAGAGGGGATATGACCCCCCCACCCAGAAATGCAAGTTGGAAATTTAAAAGGTATTATTAGGTCAGGAAAGGTCGCCTTTGTATTTATATCCCTAAAAGAAACTATAAATAACTTGAGGAGCGTCGCCTCAGTAAGAAAAGGACCAAGTCTAAGAAGAGATAAAACCATCTGAGTCGGTTCAACTGAAAACCAAGTCTGGCAAAACCTTGAGTCTTCACTTGGTCTTTACTTAGGCGTAGAGCCGGCTTTCACTTTGGTTAAGTTTTAAAAATTTCAGATCTCGTATTTAGGTATGTTGTCGCATATGCTGCTGTCCCTGAGTGCTCGTCAACAACATTGCAGTACACTTGGTAGTACACTTGGCAGTACGTTTAATAGAAACAAACTCTTAGAATCACAAGGTAAATAGTACATTCGAACCTTACAAAAAAATCATTCTTTTACTTAGTCTTATCTCGTTCAAGGCTTTATTAAATTTTTCGATTCCACGGGCAACGCCGGGCACTTCAGCTAGAAGTGTTATAAATAGTTAATTATAAAATCATGTTCCAGGAAAGCGTCTGATCAAAGAGGAGAAGATTAAAACCGAGTTTGAAGAAGAAGAAGAACAAGATTTAAGTCAGGAGAATCCTGAAATATCTAGCACTCAAGGTAAAAAAGATTTATAGCGAACTTAGGCTTCTAGGGCGCTTCGCACCCATCTTTCATTTCAATTGTGAACATTTTCTCTTTGTAAACATTGTAAAACAAAAACCAAAAAGTTCGTGGATTATAAAAAAATTTGAGCCAGATCATTGTGATTTACAGGTCTCAAGCTCTCAACCAAAAATCTATGAGAACTTTGCCAACATGTACATGTAAAGGTCTACAGAAAAGTATAAGTGAGTTATAGCGATGCAACAGTTCAAAGTCGACTCTGCCTTAAAAACTTGACGAGACTTGAATCTATATGGATTCGACCGTTTTTACGTTTATTGGATACAAACAAACAAACAGACAAGCAAAATTATATATATAGATATATTGATATACTTTTTTATTGCAAAGCTTGGAACTCTTTTAGCACTATACAATTTTGTCTGAATATCTCAGTCATTAAGAAGTTGTTAAAAATCTCTCACAATTTTTAATACATTTATGACACTTCTTCTTATATATTTCTAACTATTTGTTATACTTTTTAAACCATTTGTTATAAACCTCTGACTTTTTGTTGTTTTATTAGAGGCCTAGTTAATTAGAAATATTGCACAAGTTGATAGAATAAATTAAGATATTCCTGATGAGGGAGAGAGTGAGGGAGATGAAGGTGATCTAGAGGGAGGTGAAGGAGGAGAGGGGGGTCTTCTTCATAATACCCATCAACATGGGAAAACCAGAAGGAGGTATACAAATCTGTAAAAGATGAGGAGATGGGGGAAGGTAGGGATAGGGGAGGGAGGGGGTAGTAGGGACTAGGGAAGGGTAAAAAAATTGTGTGATAATGATATTTATCGAATCCAGACATGGGGGAAAAAGCCTGTGATATTAAAACACCCTTTAAAGTTCTTTAAAAAAGTTACAGGTAAAAAATCATCTTCTTTTTGTTTTAAACATTTCTTTTTTGATTTTTTTAGGATGGAGACCTAAAACCTTTTAAATGATGCAAATCAATGTTAATTTGAAGTTATGTGAGAACAATTTAACTTTTATAGTGTTCTGTGATTTCAGTGCAATAAAATATACCATTGTGGAGACTTAAAAACTACCCAGCTTATATTGCTGCCCATATCCAAATAGCAACTAAAATTTACTTATTGTTAAATATTTCTAATGAATGATTGAATAATTGGTTGATTTCTTTTATCAGAAGAACAGCGTTTACAAGTGAACAATTGCTAGAACTGGAAAAAGAATTTCACAGTAAAAAGGTGAATAAAGAAGATAGAAATTCATAGTCCTAGTGCGTAATTAATTTAAAGATTAATTAACATATTGATAAATTAATTCACGGATTTGTAAATTTGATAATAAATTTAGTGATTTATTTTGTTAACATAATTTTAATAATAAATTTGATGAATAATTAGTTTATTTATTAATTTAAATCAATGTAACGATTAATTTAATGATTTATATAATGATTAATTTAATGACTAAATTAACGATTAATTTTATAATTAATTTAATGATTAATTTATTAATTAATTTAATGATTTATTTAATGATTAATTTATTGATTAATTTAATGAATAATTTAGTACCTGAGTTTATCGGAGAGAAGTCAGATAGCGCACACCCTCAGACTTTCTGAAGTTCAGGTACATTTGAATTTCCCAGTCGGGTCAACCTTTCCGGTCCCGGACATTGGGTAAATAAAGCCAGCCGGTGCAACAAGGTTAGACTTTAGGTTGAATTTACTTTTACTAAAGGTCCGAGGTGCGTGAAAAGGAGTTATGATTGAAAATATATAAGATTTAATTTAATTTAATTAAGCTCATCGTGAAATCTAGCAAAATTCAAAAATAAATTTTAAATATGAAAGATTGTGCGACATCAGTTGTTAGAGATATAAAAATGTTTTGAAAAATGTTGCAGGTAAAGATTTGGTTCCAGAATAGACGAGCTAAGTGGAAGCGTGTGAAGGCTGGGGTAGCACCTGGAGGTCGGGCCGGGCAGACAAGTAAAATTGTTGTACCAATACCTGTACATGTCAACAGGTTAGTTGGATAGAACCATCGACTAATGTGGAAATAAATTAGATTTGTTATCCCATGTCACCCCCAGGCAGGCCAGGCTACCAATCAAAAATGTTCTTAATCTTGAAACAAACAAGTCTGAAGACCTTCTATATATAAATTTGGCTTGTCTGTCTGTTTGTCTGTCTGTTTGTTTGTATCCAATAAACGTCAAAACGGCTGAACCGATCGGGCCCAAAATTTACTGCACCCCTTCTCCTAAATCTCCTCCTCTAACCTACACCCCTGCTCTGTCCAACTCCTCAAGTATGCAGACCTGTATCCGACCTTTGGGTAACTATTTTATATTTTAAGCAAGGGTGTATATTTTTTCTAAAAATAATTCACCCCCTTCCCCCTTTTGAAAATACTTTTTCCCTTAGGAGTTATATTTGCTTGGAGCATAGGGTTGAATTCTCTGACTGGGGAAAAATAAATCAATGTTTGGGGTAAAAAGTATGAGAAAAATCACCAATTTTGCTTCTTTCCCCCGAATCATCTACAAATTGACAAATATATATGATACAGTATAAACCCCTGGTTTTAAGAAAACAATTATTATTTTTTTTATTTAGGCCCCAGCGTAGTCGGAGAGTCCAAGTTTCTACCCTTCAGTTCTGCAAATTAAAGAGAAAAATTACAACTTTTTTCCAAAATTAAATTTACTTTTGCAAGAAATCCGCCTGGAGCAGTACAAAAACATTTTGTCCTGTTCAAAGCCCAAAGCAATACATACCAATAATGAATAAATAAAATGAGAACCAGAAAACTGTAGAATAGAAAGACGACATTAAAGCAATACTCAAGTGCATTCAATACTGTTACAAATCAAGAAGCTTTACTAGTAAGTTATCAAATCAATTATTAAGTGAAATGGGTCTGTTTACACTGCACATTTGCTATGCCTCATTTATTTTAAGTCAAAAAGACTTCCTATTCCTGAGTTTTCTGGTTATCACTGTATTTATACTTGCCATGTGCCAATGTCAAAATAATTAGTCATACAAAAGTATTTTCAATACAATATTTGAACTGTCAAGAGCTGGGTAACATATTAATAGTTGATCTACTGTATATCAGTTCAGTAAACTGTCAAGAGCTGGGTAACATATTCATATGTAAACTGTTGATCTACTGTACATCAGTTCAGTAAAAGTATTTTCAATGCAATATTTGAACTGTCAAGAGCTGGGTAACATATTAATAGTTGATCTACTGTATTTCAGTTCAGTAAACTGTCAAGAGCTGGGTAACATATTAATAGTTGATCTACTGTACATCAGTTCAGTAAAAGTTACTCAAGTATATTTCTGATGTACAATGTACAGAAAGTGATTTTTTTTGATAATTTCCTGAATATGACAAAAATATACATTCATCCTTGTATTGTTAAACCAATATAGAAGTTTGTTAAAAATATTTAAACAAATTTCTCTCATGAGCTTTATATCTAACATATTATTGTATGCTGAGTGTCCCAATAATTACATGATAATTTCTTGATATTAGATAATATAGTTGTGTGATACCAATCTCTAATTAAAGGGACTGTAAGTGTAATTTCAAGTGAAAGATGACATGCCCCAATTCACAACGGTACCCTTTAAACCTTTATCTGATCAATATTGTGGAAGATAGTGTTGTTATTCTAGGTTTAAAAGTTATTAATTCTGTTATTTCTCATATATACGTTTTCCAGGAGTAGAAATGCGCAAGTCCCTTTTGTAGGGAAACTGCAACTAAAAATAACCAGTTTTCAAAATTTAAAACATTTATAGCTAATGACCATATTTGATCAGACAAAGCTTTTCCGTTGTGAATCGCGCATTGCCGTCTTTGCATTGAGGGTCATTTGTAGTTACGCTTACAGTCCCTTTAAATTTAGCTATTACAGCATAAGTCATTTTTAAATTACAAAGCAAATTACCGATTCAGATGGACTGCAGACCTAAGTGGCTTAGTTTCCGATTAACAACAGTACCCTTTCAACCTTCGTCTAGATATTCATAATTTTCTAGCTTAGAATTGAAGTGGTCAGTTTGAACTCTTTTATGCCAGTAGTAATTGTCTGTACTTGGGTTTCCCTACACTTGATTTTCAGACAAATTTCAGACGAAGGTTTGAACCACTTAAAGGGACTGTAAAGGAAAAATAAAAGGGAAATGTTAGGTTTCAGCCTATACCCCCTTTTATTTTTCCTTTACAGCCCCTTTAACTAATAAAAAAGTCACTTGAAATTACGTCTCACATCCCTTTAAGCACCTTTAAAAATAGAATCTAAACACAAATCAGCTCGTATGTAGAATTTTTCGGAAACGGTGCACTTATCAATAATTTAAGATGATATGCTGTTTATCAAAACTGTTCTTAAATTATCCTGTTTATCATGGGACCCACTGTAAGATGATATACAGTTTACCAAAACTGTTCTTGAATTATCCTGTTTATCATGGGACCCACTGTAAGATGATATACTGTTTACCAAAACTGTTCTTGAATTATCCTGTTTATTATGGGACCCACTGTAGCATAAAGTTCATTAAAATGAATTACTTATCTTATTTCTGTACAGTTCATTTTTTGCCTGTATTCTAAATTTACAATATTAGTTAATTAACTAAATAAATAAATTATCTAAACAGTGAACACTTTATTTATTATTTTCATGTGGACTCATGTTAACGTATGAGAAACGTAAGGAACACGGTTTGTTAACCCCAAGGTACTAATGCAAGGGAAGCTAATTGCGGTCGCGTATACTCTGCGTACATATTGAAACCAGTTCTCTCTGGGCGGAATTTGTAGACAAGAAGAGATGCATCACTGTTCGTTTAGTATCCGTGGAGGTTAAAAGCATTTAATTTTGATAATTTTAAAAATTCACACAGTAGTTTCCGTTGACCTGAATATTTCATAGATTATTTTTGTGAAAATGGATTCCATGTCAGTCTGTGACATCCGTCTTGTGTTTACTTTTCCGCCCAAAGACAGTATACTGCAGTACACAAAATGTGTACACCTCTGAAATAACTTTCCTTGCATTAGTACCTTGGTTAACCCTATCCCTGCTGGGTACTTGAAAACCAGTATACGTTCTAAATCCCATTTTTAATGTCGAAATATGACAAATGAAACATCATTGGAAAGCTCTTGTGCTCTACTTCCAGAATCTGCAAAAAATTGCAAATTTGCAATGATTGAAATTTTTTTATAGCTAAATTCAGTTTTATAGTTAAAATGTTTGCAGAAAAAGGTCGAAAAATTATAAATGATAAAATTTTGAAAAGCCGTCATGGCCTTACCATTTCAAATATTACCTGATGTTGAATTAGGAAAAGCTTGCAAATTTATAAAAGCCCGGTTTTATAGGTAAAGGGAGGGCTATGAGTGTTTAGGAAAAATCAGAAAATTCCCCACCCCNGGGAACCAAAAAGAGAAAAGGAGAGGAGGAAAATCCACAACAAAAGGTTTAGTGTTCTAAAAATATGTTGCTTTCCTTGTTGCATAATATTCCTGTTATAGGAAGAAAATTTCAGTTCTATTTTATAGGGTGACCCACGAAACATGACAGTTGGTGAATAGTTTTGAATGTCTTCTTCCATATACTGTATTATTAATAGCAGTTTATTTCGTTAAAAAATTATTTTACTCGAATATGTTTTACTTTGAAATCAATTTTACTATAATATGACTGCCAATAAAGTTGCATCTAAAAATTATTTGGGAAAAAACACCCTAATTTCTGGCAGATAAGAAGTCCGACCTGAGGAAATAAATATCATGGATATGTGTATTTACAATTATTTTGAAGGAAATAAAATCAGGAGTTTTCCCAGGGACGTTTTTAATTATTATTTATTTTCTTATGGTTATAGCAATATAAATCCGAAATAAAACAGAGAAACTGTTCCACTCAAAGAATTATAATGAAAAGATAGTTATTTCAGAGGTGTACGCATTTTTTGTACTGCATGGTATTGTCTCTGGGCTATAAAGTAAACAAAAGATGGATGTCAAACAGCCTCATATGGGATCCATCTTTCACGTAAAAAATCTATGAAATATTCTGGTCATAGGAAACTATTATGTGAATTATCAAAATTAAATGTTTATCCTCCTCGGATAATAGAGAAGCACTGATGCATCTATTCTTGTTTACAAACACTGCCCAGAGAGAACTAGTTTCAATATGTACGCAGAGAATACGCAACCGCAATTAACTTTCCTTACCTTATTACCTTGTTCCACTATTTTCTAAGCCTCAAAACCGAACATCTGCAGAGGTAGTTCTGATTTAAAAAGGCAGTTAATAGCCTACTTGGGGGATGATGTATCTCTCTTTAGGGAAGTTCATCGTATTGGTAATTCAATGTTATCTTGCCAGGCTACATTTGTTACATTTGGTGGGTCGACTCTACACTAGGTAGCCTGACTGGACGGTACGACTGAATGCATATACAGTTCGTTTTGTACCGGCATGGATCAAGCAAATTTTTTCCTCCGGAAAAGAACAATTCTTAGATCCAGGCCTGGTGGTCATCAAACTACCAGCTGTCAATATTCTAGAAATAAATCAGAACAAGGAAGGGATTGTTACCAAATCTTGAAAAGCATAAAATATGAAATATGATTCTTTTCTGTCCTACGACATTGTACACAACACATTCTTGTCAACTGAGCGCCCAGGTGGCTTGAAAGCAGTTTATCATATTTAAGAGAAACTCAGGGGGAATTTCAAGTATTATAGGGGAAATAAGGGGAATTTGTAGTGAACGGAAAAAGAGGATGAAAACTAAAAATGTTTAGAAAAATCTTTTCTTGTCGAAGGTTCAAGTTCAGTCAAACCAGCCTAAATCATTGCAGTTTAAAATAAACTTAATGCAATAGAGCATGAGGGAGCATGAATGGAGCTTACCAAACATCAATGAACAAGGCGTTCTCAAAAATTGATATTTTGAGTTCATTTTAAAAAAAGCCTGAAAAGTCTGCGCAAGT